CACTTGTGTGTGTGTGCGTATTTGTCAGCTTTTTTCAGGGGTCACTATTTAGCAAATGCATGATGAATGTGCGCTGCAGAGGATCTCCCACCAGAGTCTTAAATTTTGCACATTTAGTGGCTTTGTGTCACATTTTTGCAGCTTTAATTTCCACATGAACAAGTGGTTTTCCATCATTTGCATGCACTTAGGGAGCAGAAACGTGTTTTGTGTGAAGACTGGTGCTACTTAAAAAGCATATGGTTCACAATTATGTGCAAAGTCTGCTGCAGACATCATCATTCCTTTTATGATCTATTTTTTGTTGTTGAAATGATTGAATCTGAAATTATTAGAATATATGAACATGATCTTAAACCATTTATACAACTCTTAATCACTGCTGGGTATAACTAAGCCATGCCGAAAAATACTGTTTTTACATTTATTAAATGTTTTTATTAAATTGTCAGATTATTAAAAAATTCACAAACCATTATGCAATCATTTCCATATTTAAATGCAGCTTAAATCTCCATTTTAAACCACTTAAAACAAGGCTTAGGATCTTCTCTGGATTACATGACTGTGTGCAAAATAGATGTGTTGTACCTAACAATCTACAAAATTAATATATTAACAATTAAAATATGATCAGAAACTGAAACAGTTGCTCTCTTTTGTCCACCCACAGCACTCATACTCATACCACCACTCATGCAGTGCTTCGTTATACATCACACACTATTTTAGGTTTTGTCAGAACTTCCAGAGAGGAATTTATTCTCAACGTAGTTTTACTGACGGGTGCCTGGATAATTACTGAATTACTCATAAATCAACTCAAATCATTCAGTAAAGTTTTTTTATTCAGTATTTGCCGTGTTTTCGGGGGACTGTCTGCATTATGCAAGTGGCCATGATCTCTCAGCAGAACTAAATCAGCTTCAGAACAGTCAGCCATGATGGCGAGGCAGTACAGCAGGTGTCACAGAGTTCGTGCTGAATGGACCGGGCAGTCATCTAGAGATGGGGATTTGCTGGTACATAGTTTTGAGGGCAGCACGCTCTTTTTTCATGTTTTGTTTTGTTTTTGGGATGGTTGGTTGTTTTGAGCAGGACGAGAGGTAATTTTGATGTGTGGTTCTGTGTAAAATGAATTAATGATTACTATTTCACTCATAGGTTAACAGGTGGCCATTTGGGGGGGATAGGATTTATACCCTTCAGGACTGATGAAGGTAGCTCTTTCAGGGGTCAAGTCCAGAGGGACGTGCTTAATATTTCTGCTGAAATAACAACGTAAAATAATTTTCAGGTATTTTTGTCATGAAATGCTGTGGACGTTTAGAGGTTTGAGTCATTTTAAGACTGCTGCATTTGGGTCGACTGCATCCTTTAATAGCCCGTTAGTTCATCAGTCCTAAAGAACAAAAAGATCTTTCTCTAAAGTAGTCATTCAGGAAGCTGTCTACAAACGGTGAAGTGGTGCTTCTTTGTTTTTACACAGAAAACCACTTCAAATAGAGCTGATATATCCTTTTAAATACCAACATTCAGTTTGTGTTGCTATAGAGCACATCAGCGATGGTGAAGTTACATTAGCAGTCACACATGTCCAGGTTCAAAGAAGCATAGTCAAAACACATCAAAGCAAATCGTTTGTAGTGGTGTGCTTTGCTTAGGTGTGAACATGTTTTTTCCACTGTCTCAAACCAGGGGTGCCTCGTAGGGGAGTTTTCTTGTTTGTATGTTTTCTTGCACAAAGCCTCCTCTCAATATTTTTGTGGTTTGCAGCTTGGTTTAACTCTTACTTGTTCCAGTTAGAGTTTTAGGTCAAATTTACACTTTACTGAACATTTAAATTCCTATTTGAACTCCTCTTCAATGCTGCTTCTGCAAATCAGAAATTTCATGCTTTGAGTGCTTCATAAAAATTTCCTTCATGCAAAACACAAGAAGCGTTTACCTTCTCAGTTACCTAGTGGTAGTGTCTGCCTCGGGACTGAGAGATCAGGGTTCAAATCCCGATCGGGTCATACCAAAAACTTTAACAATGGGACCCAATGCCTCCCTGCTTGACACTTCACTTTAAGGGGTTGGATTGGGTGGTTCACTGCTGCAGCTCACCGCTCCCTACAGGGATGGGTCAGTGTGTGATGAATTAACGGGGCTTTAACTTTAGTGGTAAAATCTGCACAGAAAACAACATTGAAATTGTTATTTTACTCCTTTTTTCTTTAGGGATTATTAAATAGCAAAGACCACCAATAATTTTTTATTTTGAGTTCATTTTTTTAAAAATAAACCTTGTAACGGATTGAAATGACTGTTTTCCACCTAAAAGTCATTTCCCCCCTCTCCTCAGCAAGAACTAATCTGCATGAGATATTCCCTCAAGGTCTCATGCATTTGCTTCTAAACTGTTTTCCTTTCCAGCCCAAGAGAAGAATGAAGACAAAGGACTCTTTCTTTTTTAATAAAACAAAGAATTAGCTTATTAAAAATAAAGTGTTAGTCAATAATAAAATGTGAAACAATTTGTGAAATGAAAATATTAATTACTTGATATTATATATTCCTATAGAATATAATAAGTAATATAACTTTAAATGTTTCCACAAGAGACTGATCACACGTAAGGCTAAGCCACATTACACATTGCTTTTACTGATCCAATCAGAATCTTCCAGATCTGACGGAGGCGTGGTTTTGGTGGTGCTTAGTAAATCTGTCCTCTTTTCATTTGACCGTAAATCAAAACATCCAAATTATAAAACTATGCCCACGTCATCTTTAACGCCAGTTCAAAGCTCCTAGAGAAGTTGTCCGAGTGGCCAATCCGTAACTTTCCTCTTCAGCCGAAAGAACCAACGACAAGCTGGATAAAATCTGTTGCTGTTCCAACTGCTGCAACGGTTCCTTTCAGAATAAAAGATGAACCATCACGACCCCTTTTTGGGTCTTGCTAGATGCCAATAAACTGTCGTGACCCGGAAGTATCTCAAAGACTGGACTGGTCGGCGGCCGCGGCTGTTCTACAGGCTTCGGCTCCAGAAAGGTCCAAGCTGGACCTCTACACCTCCTGATCTAGACGGGGACTTCCGCCAAGGGTACGTAGACCGACAGAATGGCGTCTCAATGTGTGTTATGAATCTCCAAATCAAAGCTTAGCGCGAAGACATCACCTTCACTCCCATCAGAACTAATCGTTTCTCTGGATTTGCTGGTTCTGAACAACATTCCACATTACACCATTCTCCGTCTCACTTCACCTTAGTTACACCATACATTTAGTGTTTAAAGTTGGTCTAATTTTAATTTGTTTAGTAATAAATCTTTAAACTTTTAAAACTTGACTCTTTTGTCTCTGAGTTAATACGAAGTTGTTACTAGGGATGAGCGACTACACCACTATCTGTATCTGTATCTGTTCAACCAACTAAATTATCTGTATCTGTACTCGGAATGGGCGTGACACAACCTGGAAGTGGGTGTGATTTAACTGGAAGTGGGTGTGGTTTATGTCAATATATTATTTTAAGTCTGAAATTGATATGGTTTGATCAGAAGTTGCTATGTGTATTGTTTATTTGAAAACTTTACAGAGCAGCCTCTGAATTGAGATTAAATTTTTTGATCACAATAGTAAAGGAACTTTTACAGAACAAGTTTTTCAGCAAAATCAGAACATTAATATTTAAGTGCATGAATTAATGCATCTGAACTCATGCAGTAGGAACTAGGAAATATGAAATGCTAGAACCAGACACAACTTTATGTATATATTTTTATTTTTATTTGATTAAATTGATTTTTTTTCTTAATGTTCTTGGCATTTTGCCCCACACAAAGTTAAACAAAACAATGTTGATTAAGGTGTGTGTGTCTGAGAGAGATAGAGAGGGAGAGAGAGGGAGTTAAAAAAAATTAAAAACCCGACCGGAGCGGAGGTAGTGAGTGACTGATGCAGCACGTCAGCTCTGTCTTGTCAAATGCACCATGTAAGTTACGAAAAAAGTAACTTTAAATATTCAACCGAAAAAGAGGCGAGCTGAAGAAAACCTAGGGGAAAACTCAAGAAACGTGAGCAACAGTGAAGCAATCACAGCGAGATCCATTACTGTCTATGTGTGTGTGTGGATGAGCCGGACGGACTGCGCTCCCGGCCGGCTAGAGAGTTTTGTGTGTAGGGAGGGGCAGGTGCTCTATGTGACTGGCCAATCATAGAGCGTGAAGACAGTCAGTTACCCAATGAGGATTTTCCTTCAGCACGATTACAGATATTTACGAGGTTTACTCGTTTCATGCTCGTATTCGTCAAAAATGCTTTATCCGGCTCATCCCTAGTTGTTACATAATCCATGCAATAAAAAGTTCCAATCTTCTGGTTAAAAGTACGCAAAGATCCATAAGATTGATTTCATATTTACTATGGAATCTCATGTCTTATGGTTCATTAAATAGTTATAAATTAAATTCTTACAACCTCTTGGCTCATTAGCAGTTTGTCAGCCGTCCCACCTGTACTGGTTAAGTAGAAAGACACATGGCCTGACATACTGCCACTTTTGAAGTTCCTATCGATGGGGCTCCAGCAGCAGCTTAAGTTTTGCTTTTGCAAACAGAATCAGCTGAGATGGTAAACTGGAACGATGCAGATCTTTCTGAGCTTCTCTCCATTTGAGCTGAAGCTCAGATCACCAGACAGTTCACAGGGAAAATGAGCAACAGTCACCTTCTGGAGCGCCTTGTGAAATGAACTTAAAGTGCAGCTTCAATCCCAATAAAATGCAAGTTATGCCCAAGCTAACAGGAACTCAGTTACAGCGCAGACACTGGTGTCATACCCCCTTTTTATCGTCATTGTGTAATCATTTGTGTTCACACCACAGTCTGACCACTTATGAATGACCAAAGGCTCCCTGATGCTGGTTCAGCTTTGCAGCAAACTGGCAGCATTATTTTATGAAAGAGGCTGAAGTGAACTCAGTGATGCTCTTTCTTTTTTGTTTTTGTAGGAACTGAAGGACCTGACACAGCGTAATGAATGCTTAGATCTAAAAGGTAAGCAGATGAAACACCAAAATGTCCCACATAATGTTCATTGTTATAGTCACACTCACCATAAATCTGCAGCACACACTTGTTCAGAACTAAGGTTTCACACGTAAGAATGTACAAAAGCAAATGATTGACAGGTCTGTAAATCAGGTAGCTGCAGCCTCCAATAAAAGCAAAACAAGATGGGTTTCTCATTATTTATTCACCAAAAACAGGCTAAATAGTAGAATCTAAGTGTGAAATGCTAAACCTATAAAACTTTCAATAACATTAAAAAGCAGTAACTAATTCTACTGTAGTATCTTATCCTTTTCTTTTAGAGAGAAATTCTGACCCTCTTTTTGCAATGTTGCTTCAGTATTTTGAGGCCAACGTGTTTTTGGTGGGATGACTCTTCTCACCTCAGTATTTCAAATTCAAAGATACTTTATTAATCCCAGACGGAAATTAGGGTTTCAGTACACACAATTCTGAGATCAGACATACATACATAGGCAAAGACACATGACAACAATTGGTGACTGTGGTCATTCGCAACCCGGGTCACGCTACCTTAATAGAGAACAGAGGGGTTACATGAGGATTGGGTCAGGTGGAGGGGAAAAAAGGCTTTTCAGAGTTACCTTCCACAGGGAGGGCAGCTTTGCTATGCAAAGAAAACACCTCAGACAGAAATGCAACAAACTTCAGACATTACACAACGTAAGTGTCCACTAGGTGGGGTGGTAGGGTTTTGGGACTCTCCACACATCAGGAGCAGCAGCCCTCGATAAGCAGCGCTCTTCACCTCCGTCTGGAAAGGGGTGGGAGGTCGTTGGGTTTACAGAGCACAGTGACTCCTGGAACGATTCAGCAGCCTTCACAGCTCGCGGTCCCACCCAGGCCGGGATAGGGAGACAGATTTGCCATGGCGATGGCAGCATTCCACATTTCTTCTGAGGGGGGGTATTCGTTTCAGCCGCACAGGCTCAAGGGCACCAGATTCAGATAAGAAATTGTTTTGGGGCCAGACAGAGATAATTTCTTCTCTGTCTTGGAGTTCTGCTGGTCCTCAACCTCTCAAAATCCAATAATGGCATAGATTAATCTATCCCAATCCCTGCTGATACGTCCACTCGCTCCTTGATCTCATCCATCTTTTGTGCCAACGCATGAGTCTCAGCCAAAGTTCCAAGCTTACGACTCATCTCGACAATTATGAGTTTGTGAATTCACAGCGCGGTGCAATCCATCTCTGAGCTCTGGGAGTGAGCCAATATTGCTCGGCAGCTCGTTAATTTTCCGGTAAGTCAGGTAACCTCCAAGGCCAAAGAGCAGGAAACCTGACACCAACACCACGAATATCCAGACGTCTTCAGAATCCTCTACAGACAGCTGAGATAGGCAAATCAGGTTCCACTGTTTCCAGGAGTCCATGATGTGCCCAACTGGATCTGTCCCAGAGGGGCACCCGGGAGCCCCTTCTCCCGTTCTCATCGTTGAGAAAATTTTGTCAATCGCGTTGAGTGACCAACTGACCAGGTCCATTTTTAATAATTTCCTGTTTCCAGAAAAAGTGTAGAAGCTCTGTACACCCAAAGACAGACATAGAGCCTTGGGGATAAGATAGGGAGGAGAGGAGGAAAAAAGCGTCTATACTCTCCAAGAGCCGGAAGAAGAATGACAAAGGAGGTTGAAGTTTTCAATCAGAAAATTTAAACACCTGCATTACTTTCAATTTCACTGTTATATAGATGTGCTATTGTGTTTGCAATGTTCACGTAATCACTATTGGTGCACTATTCAGTCATGACTCCTACTCCATGCTTATTGCACACAGGCACTTACTCAGCTTACAGTTCTGCCTTTTACATCGCTGTGTTATTAATAAGCAGTAATTAAATTAATTTTGAACATTTTTAAAAGGTCTCTGAAACGTTTTTGTCCACATCGTTTGATGCATCAAAAAAAGATGACATCACCCACTCCATCTAAGATATTGCCCATCTGTTTCTCTTCTCTCTCCCTCTCCTTTATTTTATATATATTTTTAGCATGATTCAGTCTGACCTCAAGGTGAATTTGTGAGGACATTTGCTCCTTAGAAAATTGGAAACTGTCTAGAGTGTACTTTCAAAGGAAAACTTTCTATTGCAGAAAGATGGACTTTGAATTGTTTGGGAGTTGTCTCTTCCTTTAAGGGAATTTGTTTTTGGGAATTGTCTCTCTTCTAAGGGTTGTAGGAGCAGCAGACTCACAGAAGTCTTAAATAGGTCCTTGTACTTGTTTATGATGAAATAATCAAAGTGTTTGATTATCAGCAGATGGTTGCTACTTTCGCTCTAAATCTGCAGTATCGTAGTTTTGGTGAACTCATTAGCTTATTGGCTGGTCCTTATCCGTGTGTTTTACTTTGAATTTAAGACCCGGAAATGACCAGATGATTTTTTTTGACCCCCAATATGTAAAATCGCAGGGCCAACAGAGGTCTTTTTTTTCACTACAAACTGCAGTTACATAAAGGCATTGTGGATATTTCTATTTCCTGTAATGTGCAACAAACCGCATCTTCATTGTTAAATAACCCTGGACCTGTGCATATCTTCAGGTGAGAAGCTGGACTACAAAGCATGCGAGTCTCTGGAGGAGATTTTGAAAAGAGTCCAGTTTAAAGTGATCGACCTGGAGCAGACAAACCTGGATGAAGATGTAAGACCTTTAAAAAAGAGCCTTTCTTGTTTTGTCGTCTTTAAATGTTTTTATTTGTGTCTTTTTGCATTCGGTCTCCTTGTGATCATCTGTTCCGCTCTTTCTGCTCTGACAGGATGTGGAGTGTTTGTCATGGTTTGTCTGATTATCCCAGATGTCCGCTTGTGTAAACACTAAGAGATGTTTGGGATGTGGACAAGCACAAATAGATCGTGTTTCTGTGTGAGAACCCTAGACATGTCACTCCTGAGCTGATGCATCTCACAGACAGCACAAGTTAATGCTTATTGTTTTCATCTTCTTTTTACTCACAAACTTGATTCTTCTGCATGATAATTAATGTACTCAAACACATTTATAGATGAGAGAATTGTGCTTTAATGTCAGACTTCAAAAATCCTTCTAGTAGGTTTATCTTTTTTAATAATTTTCTAGACTTATTGAAGCCATAGTTATCCGAAGATGTCCTTAAAAGTCTGTCCCGTTTTGTTTATACTTCGTGCATTCTGAGAAAAAGCCTGTGAACATACTTGGCCAAGCCAGACTTGGCATGTAAGACTTGCATCTCAGCAAAAGTTCAGGCAGTTCAGCAATGAAGGAAATATTTTATAGCTTGTTTTAAATGTCAAATAACATTTTATGCCAATTCTTTCAGTTGATACTGAAAAACACAAGAACACATTTTATTACCTGGTGTACGCAGCTCTCCAAGATGTCTCCACTGAGGAGCACATTTCCTACACAAGATGTCACATCGGTTCACAAATTCCTGTCTTTATTGAGTTGTTTTAAAAACAGTTTATTTTGTAAATATTTGCATGAAAGACACAGTGTGATGCACAAGAGCAGGAAGTGTTTTCTAATGTGTAGTGAAAAGTTTTTAACTGTCCTTCAGATCTTTATTTATCCAAGACTGTTGAAGCTCTCTTTCTTGGGTCTTAAGAAAATGTTCATGGCACACGTGACTGTGTTTTTCTCCTCTCTTTTAGAGATGATTGTTCAAACAAATAACTAATCAGTCTATACAGATAACAACATTCAGCAAATAGAAACATAAACTGTGTTTAGTTATGATCCTGTGAACTTTAGAGTGAGCTGAGAGTCATGTTGAACTGGCCCAGATTTTTAAAACATCATCAAGCTTATTTTATTTTGAAGTTTAGTGCTAAACATAGTTTATTATAATAATTTTCAGCTTACTGAAAAGCAAACATATTTTAAATGTATCAATAACAAGGTGTGGCGGCTGTAGTCAGATTTAAAATTAAAGCTGGATAGAAGTAAGGACGTAGAAATTCCTTCTACTCTGAAGACTCGAAGTGTGTGTGTGTGTGGGGGGGGGGTGAATCAAGTTCTGAAATAAAATCATGGCAACATTAAATCACGATACTCTTCATGAGTCATTAAACAAGTGTGTGTTTTATGAAGTACAAGCTTTGCAAACATCTAAATAAACAGCATTAGGATATTTCTTTTTACCGATTTGATTGACTTTGTCGGAAATGTACATAAAGCTGCTGAATGAGTCATGGAAACGAGCTCCCGGCCTTGAACTAAAAAAAACCAGACTGTGAAAAGAGAAATGATGAGAGGAGTGTTGCCGGTAGAGCTGAGATTGGAGAAATGGAGATAAATCAGGCGGTAAATTGATGAGAGAACCAGCTGATCTTTAGAATGGGTGTGAGGTTTGGAGTAGATGGTTTCATTTGACTCGTATCTGCTGCTTTGGCATCTTCTTGGAGGTGATCTGGAACAAGGCGTTTTAAAAGCATGTGAAGAAGCAGACATGGAGAGTGTAGTCACAGGGTGGCTTTTATTGGCCTAAATGTGACTCATCTTTACCCACCCAATACACACACACACACAGGGAGAGGTTAGCAGACGTTACACAATAAAGCGCTTTAAGACTTTTAGTAGATTATCCTTCAACTGGCTGCACAGGAGAATCTCTTCTCATTGATCAAATTGTATTTTAAACCAGATAATTTTTTTGTCCTGAACTAAAATTTAAAACATATGTTGAGTCAAACTCTAAATAATGTTTTTTCAGTTGTAACAAATAAAAATTGTCTATCTGAAACAATTTAGTGCTACCTTAAACTTGGACATAAAATAGTTTCAAAAGTACCTTTTTAATGTTTAAACGTGTGTATGTGTACATATTATTTTCATTGTGTATTTTGTCTTTAATATAGATGCAAATTTAAGATTTTTTTCTTGACCTGCTTTAAATATAATTTGAGTAAACGGTTTAAGACGAGTTGAATTTTGAGCTTTGAGTTTCACAGAACTAATTATAAATTAAAAATGTGCAAGACACTGTATTAGTTTGACAATAATCTTGGAACTAAATTAGCATTGTTGTCTCTTTCTTGTTTTCTTTTAAAATCTGTGTGTTTATAGATTACAAACACCTGAAGCCCTCAGAAAACTCAGTGTTTCTCTCCCGCCCTCCTGAGGGCTGTTACCCTGGCAACCTCAGCTTCTTCTGTTAGCGTCTCATAAAGGTCTTGACTCTGTGGCCAACTTAGAGATTTGTTTTATTGGATTTTAATCGCTTTTTTGGCCTCTGTTCTCTTTCGTGTGTGTGTTTGTGTTCTCAGGGGGCGTCGGCTCTTTTCGACATGATAGAGTACTACGAATCAGCGACACACCTCAACATCTCCTTCAACAAACACATAGGGACACGGGGATGGCAGGCCGCTGCACACATGATGAGAAAGGTCAGAGGTCATCTTTATACATGCTAGCAAACATCTACATCCTGCAGAAGGAAAGTCTAAGATGGAGGAAAGGCATAAATCTCACCAGTTTATTTTTCAGATAAGAAACTCTTTAAGATGCAAAAACATTATAAATTTTATAAAATCAAGCAGAGAAATGTGCAAAACCACATTACAGAGACAGTCCCTTCATCTACAACCAGTCAACATCAGATGATTAATGAAAGATGGCCTGGAGACACCACACACACTCACTCACACAGGAGGATCGTGTTACAGGCTGCCATTACAGAGCTGCAACTTTTTTTAGCAGAGCAAATAGATCTTAATCAGCTCATCTTTTGGCAAATGCGTGTCTTGGATTAAACGGATTAGAAATAAACTCTGGTGTCTTTATTTAGACTTTAGAATTCATGCATTTTGTTATATCACTTTTTTTCCAGAAAATTGTTTATGCTTTTATTTTGAAATTATTTGGGGCAAAAATAATTGACATCAGAATCAAAGGACCTAACAGAACTATCTTGCATGGGTGAAAAAGTACAGATTTGTGTGTTTAACACTAACTCATTTGAGCACCTGCACAATAAATCCACTCACGCTTACCTGTGCTGTGTCCCCTCTCCCCCAGACGAGCTCTCTTCAGTACCTTGATGCCCGTAACACTCCTCTACTGGACCACTCAGCTCCCTTTGTAGCACGAGCGCTCAGGATCAGTGGCAGTCTGGCCGTCCTCCACCTGGAGAACGCTGGTCTGTCTGGCAGACCGCTCATGTTACTTGGTAAGGCCTTTTTGTCCTCCAGTTCCCACCATCATCCAGGCTTTTCATCCTTCTGTATACATTTATACAAGGTTAATTTTCTTCTGTGGGTTATGTTGGTGGTCAGCTACGGCCCTGAAGATGAACATGAACCTGCGGGAGCTGTACCTTGCTGACAACAAGCTCAACGGCCTTCAGGATTCAGCTCAGCTCGGCAACCTGCTCAAGTTCAACTACAACATTCAGATCCTGGACGTGCGCAATAACCACATCCTAGACTCCGGTAAGCAGCGCAGTAGTACTCTTACACAGGCTGATGTTCAGGTTTTGTGTTTTATAGACATGCACAATTGACCGTGTGTGTGTGTGTGTGTGTGTGTGTGTGTGTGTGTGTGTGTGTGTGTGTGTGTGTGTGTGTGTGTTGTCTCAGGTTTGGCTTACTTGTGTGAAGGACTAAAAGAGCAGAGGAAAGGCCTCGTCACTTTAGTGCTATGGAACAACCAGCTCACACACAATGGAATGGGCTACCTCACTGCTGCACTGGTATACCACACACACACACACACAGATTGATCAGTAGATGAAGAAACATTTACATTTGAATCTTTTCCATTTAAAAAGACCATCAGAATAAACTCATGCGTTTTGTTAGAGAAACTACTCTCCAGTTTCTTTATGTGCAGCTGGGAGAGAAAGGTGTGTGAATGAGGGATTCATCTGCTCCATAATGAGTGTTGTGACATTTGATGCGAGTTGACATTTTCATGAGGGATTATCGTTAACGCGCCTGACTGTTTTTGCTGTTCTCGTCGCATCTGTGCCCACGTTTTAGACTAAAATGTTTCCACAGCAGTTTATTCTACCGATGAGCTGTTGTGTTTTTGTTTTGCTTTCATTATCTTATCCTTTCAGCTGTTTTCGCAGAAACTCCATTCATTATCTCGGTGTTTGCAGCCAGACTCTTCTCTTTTTTTACATCTTTAGTTTCCCTAAACATAAATCTTTCCTGTTTTTACAGAGTAAACGCGTTGTTCTGGTACATTAGTATTAGTAACCCTGGTAGCAGTTTCACAGATATGTAAACATGCATACTTAGCTTTTTTTCACACCTAAGATTTGACCCTAAATTATATAATTCAATTTGAATACCAGCAAATTGCTGTAAGATTATCTAGGATCAGGACAGCTGATTAAAGATGCACAGTTGGATGTTGACCAATTGAGTTTTTTATTATGGCACCGGGTCTTTCTCTTGTTTGCTTGGACAAACATCAGCTGACAAGACTTTGGTGTGCAGTGTTTAAGGCTGAATCTGTATTTTTGTGTCTTTCAGCCGTGCACCCAGAGTCTGGAGACTCTGAACCTCGGTCACAACACAGTCGGTAACGAAGGCGTCCTCAAGCTAAAAGAAGGACTGATAACCAACCGCTCTCTGCTCCGGTTGGGGTTGGCTTCCACCAAGCTTTCCTGTGAAGGTAAGCATTGTTCGGTTGATGTTTGTGTGTGTGAGCATCTACTGCAGCTGCTGACTCAATCTTTTGTGCTTAGGCGCTGTTGCTGTGGCTGAATTCATTGCTGAAAGCCCCCGACTGCTGCGCTTGGACCTTCGAGAGAACGAGATCAAAACCGGTGGCCTGATGGCTCTGTCGCTCGCTTTAAAGGTCAACAACTCTCTGCTGCGCCTCGACCTAGACCGAGAGCCCAAGAAGGAAGCTGTAAGTTGAAAAAAGATTGATCTGAGACTATTTGTATTACTTTAAAACAAAAAATGTTTATTCTTTGATTATCCTATTGGAATTACCAAAATAAAAAAAACTAACCTAACTGGTAAAAGATCTCTGTAGGTTTTAGAAACGTTATATCTGAGCTACATTTTTCTGCGTTTCAGGTGAAAAGCTTCATTGAGACGCAGCGCGCCCTGCTGACTGAGATCCAGAATGGCTGCAAGAGGAATTTTATTTTTGCCAAGGAGAAAGAGGAAACTGAGCAGAAGATGAGGTTGTCTACATCCATGGCTGAAATTGCCACAGAGGACGGGACAAAAGAAGAAGAGGACGAAGAGTCCGCTTCTGTTAAAAGGACAGAAGAGGGTGAGAAAGAGCAGGAGGATGAAAACAAATCGCAGTCGAGCAGCCAGTCTGAAGAAAGTTCTGAGACGAGTGTTCCTCCAACAAACCAGGAGTCAGACTCCGACACTGAGGATGAGGATGAAGGGGAGGTGGTCATTTCTTCTACTCCAAACTCCTCATCTCTCCCAAATCAAACTGCTCCTCAAGCCTCAGCAGTGGCCTCACATTCCCCCCTCTGTGCCTCATGTACACCCTCACCCCCCTCCACTTCACCTGCAGGAGGACCCAGTGTCATACCTGGGATAACAGTCACAGAGGCAACAGTTCCTCCTGGGACACCTCCTTCTCCTGGGCGCTGTATATCCGTCTCCAGTCCAGGGAGGGGTCATAAGATTTTTATGGTAACTCGGGTTGAAAGCCCCCCTGAGCAGCAGCAGCTACAGTTTCAGAAAAGTGCTCCCGCATCAGCTCTTAGTCATGGTAAAGAGGTCACAGGGAGGCCTCTAGACTCAATCACATCCACGACTCAGCAGATTTTACCTCCATCCACACCACAAATACCAGAGGATGTGAACAGGAGCGCACCTGCTCCATCAGCAGAGGGTAAAATAACCGACGGGAGTCCCGCATCACGATTAGAGTCTGAAATAAACGTCACCAAGTCATTTAGTCAATCCAGAACTTTAGATTCAGCAGGAGCTGCAGATCCACGTACACAGACACCAGCTTTACCTTGTGATTCCTCATCAGTGCAGGATGAAGCGCAGCTCCCAACAGAGGAGGTAAAGGAGAACTCTAAAAGACCCTGCCCTGAACCCGCCTCTGTGGGAGGAGAAGAAAAGGAGCAAGACCATAGATCGGTAAATCCCTCCGAGTGTAAAGAGAAACTGAACGAAGTATCAGCGCTAGCAGCTGACTTAGAACAACAGACTGACCAAACATCAGAAGAGAAGCTTGCACCAAACCAAACAGAGACTGCTCCATCACAGCAGGGGGCACCAGTCAGTTTGATGCTAAAGGAGAAACCTGGTTCAGCACAGAACGAGGAAATGGGTTCGAAGTCAGAAGCTGATCCTGATCCAGACTCACCAGTCCAACAGGAGGAGTCAGCTGATGAGAGCTCGGCAGACGAGTGTTTTGCTGACGCTCTGGAGGGCGAGGTTGTTGGTTTAGCTCTGCCCAACGGTCTGAAGCCCGAGTTCTCCCTCCACCTTCTTGACAATGAAAACCCAAAACCCGGCAGCTGTGTGATGGAGCACGGTGAGAGTTTAACCTCTGCTCTGAGCTTCTGCAGCTGTTTGGTTGTTTTTTAGCAGGAGAAACCCACGTTATTAATGTGTGTTTTGCTTCTCTTCCAGTGAGTTCTAGTTGTGGGCAGGAACTGGAGGAGCTGCTCCTCGAGGCCAGCATGGACACTGGGAGAGACGCTTCATGAACTGGTGACGTAAACACCTGTCTGCCTTTTCAGATATAAAAACATTTAGATTGTTAAATCCACTGACTTTTGTTCACATCAACTCAAAAAAATAGTCGAGGAAGTGCAATTTGTTCTTTCAGAATCATCTCTCCTTTCTTTCAAATGAGCCAGATTCTGGTTTTCATCTTTTAAAATGTTCTAGATCAAACACTCTTTGAAGTTCTTTCAAAGGTTTTCTTTGGACTTTGGCTGTTTTCTGGCTTTACTGGAATAACTTGAGATTAGGGCTGGGCGATATGGACAAAACCTTATTTCAGAATCTTTTAGCTGAATTCCGATATACGATATACATCTCGATGTCTTTCCTCCTGTAAAATATTTATAAGTTAACTCCCATCAAGCTGTCTTGAGAAATCGTATACTTAAATTCATCAGCAGATTAATCAGCAGATCTCCGTAGCTGCTTCCTGATTACACGGGGAAGGGGTTCGACCCGTCTCTTCACACAAGCAAGATTAACAAATCTCCTCAGCTGCCACGGTGAAAAGGCTCGCTAAAACACAAACGAACGTCACCAAATAATTAAAAACCATGAAGCCAAATTAGGGCAGAACATTGACCCAGAGGTTTACTGATTGAGCATACATGTGAGATCACATGTATGACCGCTTGGTGACTAGCAGTAGCTGTGCCTGATAACTCTAAATACACTGGTTGTATATTTAACAATATAAACGATACTGAGCCATCTTGTTTCTTTCTAGAAATTATATCAATATATCGCCCAGCCCTACTTGAGATGCATCGTAGTTGGGAGTGATTTAGATCTTTAATTTCTTCTTAACTCCTCAACTTCCCTCCTTTTTAACGACAAACTGCATAATGTAATGCTTTTGTCAGATACAGGGACAGAAAATGAGTTAAGAAGCGTCATATGACCGAAGAAACATTTAGAAAGACAAGTGAAGAACGATTTATAAGGTTTAAAGAATAAAAAATTTATCAGTGAACTTAGTGGTTTTATGATGGGAAGATGATAAAAACAGTAACATTTCTCAGACTTTAATACTGGGACTCAGTTTTACATAAAAACGTGTGTGTTTGTGTGTTTTTTTGACCTTCAGAGTAAGTTTATCTTATGTGGTTTTCTTCTCCAGGCTCCGAGGGCAGCAAGCCAAAACAGCACTAAGGTGGTTTGTCCAGCTCTGAACATCACTGGTCGCTCTACTATGTTTTTGTCATTTTTGTCCAACTTGACTACCGACACATTTCCCCGTACAACAGGTGACTTGATGTTAGAGTCAAAGTGTCAAACATGAAAAAAACACAAGACAAGCGCATCTTTTGGAGCTCAGCTGTGACCAACGAGGACCCTTCTACATCCACACTACATCAGTCACAGGAAAACACGGGGAAAAGACACAAATCCCCCAGTCGTCACTACATTTAGTCAGTCTGGGATATTTATGCACAACTGATTGTGCGACCGAAACAAACCAGAAGATAAAACACTAACCAAAGACATTTTTCTCAGCCCTTAACCTGCTCTCTCTCGGTTGTTGCTGGGCAGAATACTTGCAATCAGTTTTTCATAACTGTCAGAGACCTGGTGAGAAGGAACACGAGGTATCAGCAGTGGGACCTGCTGAGAAGACCTGCTGGCTTTAAACACTTGAGATGTTAAAGGCTTTTATATCCAAGGAAGCTGAGGATGTTAATCCATCTGTCTAAATGTAAACAGTGTGTTTCCCTCCTCCTCTCTAAACTAAAACTCTATGGGACCTCTGCCAAAGTGACTCACTTCCTGTTTGTTTTCTTGTCTTCTGCTCGGTTTTGCTCCTCAAGATTTGACACAAAGAAGCTGAACCCCCTCCACCTTTCACTGTTAAGTCTTTAAAAGCTGGAGTCTGTTATGTGTCTCTCTCCCCACCCCCGGAAAAAATTGAATAACTTTAAAAAATCAGCCGTATGAGAAGTTAGGACGGTCAGATGAATGCTTTTGGTTGGGTTGGCCTAGTTTTTAAGAATTTCTGCACATTTCTTCTCCTTGTTTCAGCTGTGAGCCTCCTTAATTTGTATTTTTTTTATCCTTTTCCTCAATGTTGCCTTCGCTTTTTCATTGTTGCATTTTTCCTCTCATTCCATCACTTTTTTTGTATTTATTCTACAGCTTTGAGCTTTTTTCCAGTTTTATTTTTCCCCAATTAATTTTCTTTTGGTCTGGGTTTGCTTTTGAAGCTGACCCCTTTTTGTTGTATATTTCATATTCAGAATAGAGAAATTATTTAGATTAGTCATTTTTGAGTTGGGGTAATCTTTAACGGGAGGATTAATGGAATGATTTAGTTCTGGGACGCAGTCGTGAAATCAAATACAAAGAAGCTGCAATTATGTGGAGGTCGTTGCTGTTTTTGCCTTTGTGCAGCAGTGTCCATAAGGGGGCGCTGATGGCTTTTTTTTGTGCAGACAAGATCAGTTTGAGCTGAATTCCATTACACCAGAATTATAAACACCAACAATGTGTCTGAGATCTGGTTCCTCTGCCTTTTTTATTTTCCTCTGAAAATCAGAACCAGGCAGCGTTCAGCCGCGCCCCGCCCCCCACCCCTCACTGCTCCCCTTCACCCACGCCATAGCTCCACCCCACCATTTGTAATGCTTTAATTTTTAGAAATTTTTAATAATGATTTGTTAACTTAATTGAAATGTGCTGGTAATCACAAAGATATGTATGGCAAAATTTGTTTCTCTCAAATAAATGCATGTAATAAATGACTGGTGGGTGAGATTATTCAGACTTGAGGGATCTTTGGAATAAGAAAGGTCTTCTGTGTTTCTGTAAGGCTTTGGGTTTTATTTCTGCCACCTTTTCAACCGTAACTAAAATAGTTACAGGTGTGGGATGAAGATTACACGCTGTCCTGCATCTGTCACTCATGCTTGATTTTTGACTGTAAACAGCTGTACCGATTGCTCAGGGTGGATTATTGGTCTCACCAAACTCTGGATGTTGTGGGGTTGTGTTGGTCGACGCAGCTCTGCAATATCGCATGGACATCAGCAGTTTTGCTAGATTGGCAGACGGGGGGTGGGGGGGGGTGTCCTCCTATTTAAAAAGCCGGTCCACAGGATGTGTTCCAACTACAGGGGATCACACTCCTGAGCCTCCCTGGTAAATTCTTTTCAGGGGTCCTGGAGAGGAGGGTCCATCGGATTGTTGAACCTCAGATTCAGGAGGACAAATGGGGTTTTCTTCCTGGCCGTGGGACACTGGACCAGCTCTATACCCTTAGGGGGTCCTGGACGGTGCGTGGGAATTCACCCAACCAAACCACATGTTTTCTTTTTTGTAGATTGGGAGAAGGCGTTTGACCCCTTGGGGGGTACTTTGGGAGTATTGGGTACCAGGCCCTCTGATACGGGCTGTTAGGTGACAGGTGTCAGAGCTCGGTCCACATTGCCGGCAGTAAGTTGAGCTTATTTACGGTGAGAGTCGGTCTCTGCCAAGGCTGCCCTTTATCTCCAATTCTGCTCATAACTTTTATGGACAAGATTTCTAGATGCAGCCAAGGTGTTGAGGGGATCTGTTTTGGTGGCCCATGGATCTGTTTTCTGATTTTTTGCAGATGATGTGGTCCTGTTGGCTTAATCAGAATGTGTTGAAGCTGTTTGCAGCTGGGATGAGAATCAGCTCCTCTAAATCCGAGACCATGGTCTTGAGTCTGAAAAGGGTAGAATGTGTTCTCCAGGTCAAGGATGAAGTCCTGCCCCAAGTGGAAGAGTTTAAGTATCTCAGGGTCTTGTTCACGAGTGAGGGACAGATTAAGCACAAAATTGAAAGGCGGATTGGTGCTGCGTCTGCTTTGTACTGGTCTGTCATGGTGAAAGTAGCTGAGCCAGAAGGCAAAGTTCTCAATTTACCGGACGACCGACGTTCCTACCCTCACCTATGGTCACGAGCTTTGGGTAGTGACCAAAAGAACGAGACTGCGGATACAAGTGGCCAAAATTAGTTTTCTCTGCTGGGTGGCTGGGCTCTCCCTTAGAGATAGGGTGAGAAGCTCAGTCATCGAGGAGGGGCTCGGAGTAGACCCTCTGCTCCTCCACATTGAGAGGAACCAGTTGAGGTGGCTCGAGCATCTGGTTAGGATGCCTCCTGGACGCCTCCCTGGTGAGGTTTTCCGGACACATCCATTCAGGAGATCCAAATGAAGACCCAGGACATACTGCAGGGACAATGTCTCTTGGCTGGCCAGGGAATACCTTGGGATCCTCCCGGAGGAGCTGGCCCAAGTGGCTGGGGAGAGGAAGGTCTGGACCTCCCTGCTTAGGCTGCTGCCCCAGTGGCCCAACTCTGGATAAGTGGAAAAGAATGGTTGGATGTTTTGTTTTTCAGCAGAATTTATAAAGTAATTGTATTTATTTCAATCAAAACAAAGTGAACTTTGCAGGGACAAAGCTGATTGTTAATCTCAGAATCCCAGTCTGACTCCTGGAAAAGATGAAAGCTGTGCACTTGGTGAACCTTGTCGTCACGAGTGGAGCTATAGGAGCCTCCCCGGGCGCCAGGGTGTGGAGGACAGGGTGGGAAATGCTACAAATTCCTCTGAGTTAATCCAGAGATGTGATGGCACACTGAGAGGGCTGCGAGAACATCTAAAAAAATTAAAGGGGTGGAAAATAAAGCTTTATGTCACATGGACTCTAAAAGAACCTGAAACCAGAGAAGTGGGGGGTGGTTGTTTGCTTTTTTGTCATTGTATCAAAACTATTAAGTGTTCTGACCAAGTTATTATAAACGGTTATGTTTTACAATAAATATAAACACTTCAGGGGCTTTGTTTTCACTGAGATTAGAACTGATCATTTGGAGTTATTTTCTTACAGAAAAACTAATTTCTTCATATTTTGTTTCAGAGGATTTAGATTCTCGTAGTGCTCATATTTTCTAGAAGCACTGATCATCTCCTTGGCTGATTGTGTTTTTAAATTTATTTCAAATTGCTTCCTTTCTTCTTAGATGTTTTTGCATTAAAACACATTTTTGAAAGGTTTGTGGTTTTTTTCTTATGATCTGAAGCTTTAGGTCAAACCTCCCTTCCTGTTCTGCTTCGTGGCTCGCGAGACCAGAGGAATTCCTGAAGCTTGTCTCGAACCATGCTGATCAACTGTTCACAGCTAAAGAGTTATTTTATTTTCTTCAGAGGAAGAAGATGGTAAATGTCCTGAAAAAGACGTCCCACTCAGCTGGGATATTGTTGACTGCAGCCTGCTCTGGTGGTGACGAGGTGCAGACAAGCCAAAAGACGCAACGGGCGACCAGAAATGTGAAGAATAAAACAAGTGCCAACATTCCAGCATGAACAAAAATAATGAAACATTTAATATTCATCCTGGGGGTTGTTTAGGGATGTGATCTGGGTCCGGCCACGCCTCAGGAATGTGCTGGCATAATGGTGGAGTAGCAGGAATTTATCTGGGGTATCAGCTAATGTCTGACCTGTTGGTTCTCTGCTCAGCGGACTGAAAAAAGACAAGAGGACATATGGGACAGAGGCATCAGGAAGGGGTGGGGATCATTAAGGTCAAGGAGCTATCATCAGGAAGAGATCCTAACTTCATGTCAACACTGGAAACAAAAGTCTTGTTTTCAGTTTTCATGGTGGTCAGTGATTTAAATCTGTACCGTGGCCTCTGCAGCCACTTTCATGTTTACTTTTGTGTTTTATTGAAGGAGTGGTGTGCCTTTCATACCTTTTTAATGATGCTTTTACACTTGCTGTGTTATAATTGTTTCATGTTTTGCTGGTGAAGGTTCTCCGCTATGCAGGAAATGGTAATCCAAAAGAGTTCAGATTAAGGCAACTGGACTTCTTTGGTTTCTTGAAGTTTCGCATCTCATCTGAGGAGCTTTGTCAATTCTTACGGGAATATGAAAAGGTCAGGTTTATAAACTAGTGGGTTTTTTTTGTTGCTTAATGAGCTGAAACTACCTATGAATACCCCTACCCTCCCATGGAGTTGTTGGTGTCATTGCGTCCTATTGTTAACATGATTATTTTGATGAGATGATGAAGGGTGTGACCAGAGTTTTGGAATTAGGTTTAGATCTGCATTGTTTCATCATTTGATTAGATTTCATAACAAATAAAATGTGCTTACTTACTTTACTTACTAATTATAATAATTGGCACATATTTCTGATATTACCATGCATGCTTTTAGGCTCTGTTTCCATACCATTTGCAGGCCAAACTTTGGACTTTCTTTTCCACTGTTCTGTTTTGCAGCTTGAGGCAAATTTAAGCTTTGTTCTGCTCTCTGACATCAAATGATCCACATTCTTTTGTAAATTAAGTAAGAAAAAGCTTGCAACATTGAATAAACCTCTCTGACCTCACTGTGACAGTTTGCATCAGTGCTATCTCACTCAAAGGTCAAACACTTATTTCTGTGTTTTGGTTGTGCAGACAGGAAGTTGTGAATACACCTGTGAGGTGTTTTCGGAACCGTAATCTGGCTAGTGTGTAATCCTGCCAACACAATGGGGATTTAATGTGCAAACAGCAGAATGTGTGAAAAATGGGTGCGGTGTGTGTGTGTGTGTGTGTGTGTGTGTGTGTGTGTGTGTGTGTGTGTGTGTGTGTGTGTGTGTGTGTGTGTGTGTGGGGGTGTGTGTGTGTGTGTGTGTGTGTGTGTGTGTAAATGATGACAGCACCCACCTCCTCTCCTGCTCACATGACTGCGATTAGAGCCGAGGATGGAGGAGCAGTGAGAGAGTGATGGGAGTAACGAGAGTTTTGTTTTTATAGTATTGTTGCACGGATCACATCCCAGACTCCAGCTTTCCTCTGGTTGCGGCTGAAGATCATCTTCTGGGTAAACTAAATGTTACTTCTTTACCTCAAGCAGGTTGACTCATACAGCCAGATAGAATTATAATAAAATGTGTCTTAAAAACTGAAAGCACTTTTTGCTTCACTTTTGTTTTTATTTGATTTGTTTTACTACGGCGGCAGAGGCTGCTGGAGGATTAAAGTCAAATGTGTTTTGGGAAGTGGTCGGAGAAGTTTTAATCCAGTCAGATGATCGCCAAAGAGAACGGGTTCTTTTAGGTTCAGATGAGATCAAAGTAGTTAAAGTGAAAAATCATTAACGTAGGAAATAATTCCAACGAACTATTTGTTACCCAAAGCTGACAAACTTTTTAGAGAAACCAAATCATGGTTGAGGGACAGAGATTTTTTCACAAGCTGGTTTCCTCTAAAACCAGCGCCTTTGGCTATTTTTACTTTAATATTTAACCTTTTTGGATCAAAAGAAGGATCACACACGAGTGGTGAGATCACTCAAAAGTTATGTTTCATACTAAAATTTGACTTTTTGCTTCCAAGGCTTCTCCTGTGATCTTTTAACATGGTTTTGACCAATAGCCATTGAGGATTTTCTGACACTCTTTCACAGTTTATCTTTGGATATTTGCAGCTTTTAATCTCTTTCTCAGTCATTTATCTGTTTATTTTCAAAAAAATTCTGTTTTTGTTTGTTTTGTTTATTAAACCGTTCGACCCATAGCTGATTGATTCATGCACAAAAGCTCCAGGGACGAACCAGTGTTGTGCCAACAAGAATCCTTTTAAATGATTTTTTTCACCAGCAGCCAGTAGGAAAAGATTAGTTTTCCAGGGTGATTCCTAACAAATTATTAGCTGAGGACTTGACACAGTAGATGATTGTCTGAAGGACTTCCAGGATTAGTTTGTTTGCTGCAGATGGTCTCTGAAATATAAAGAAACAAGAACCAGTTAATTAAACCAGTGCTGGTTAGGGCCAATTGCATCTTGTTTTTTTATTTTTCCTGACTATGTTCACAGTTACAGATATGACCCGGTCACAGTGGTGCATGCTAGGAGTGATCACACTGCTGCTGCTGGCTCAGATCACCACCAGCCAGCTGTGCAAGTCCCTCATCACCATGGTAGATGCCTTCCACACACTTTTCATCCTGGTGCACATGGTGCTCCCTCGGCCTCCGACCGCAGACCTCATCAAACCTCCTGCATCTCCTTCACATGCTGCTTCCTCTTTAGGGGAGCAGCCTGCATCAGCTTCAGATGTTAAACATTCTGTCCATGAAGCCTCTACACTTTTCTCCTCTACAACAACCTCACCCACAGCTCCAAGCTGCAGTCTGTCCTTTCCCGGCAGCAGGATGCAGGCTTTGGGTGTTTTCATTTCAGCGCTCCTCCTGACCTCTCTCTGCATTTCTTACTTCTTGGAAATCATCAGTCAGATACTGGACCCCCACCCAGTGCAGCTACCCCTGCTGCCTGTGGCGGTGGGAGTGGCCGGTCTGCTCTGTAAGGTGCTGCCGTTTGTCCTGAACTGGGATCAGCTGCGGGATGGGAGGTGGGCAGAGAGCTTCGACCAGGCAGAGGCTGGATCTCACCTGCGAATGAGCCCCAAAGGTAACAAATAATAGAAGTTACAGTATGCAAAATGATAATAAATTAGTTTAATCTTTGCTTTGTCAGTCGAATGAAAATGCATTGGATACAAGAAATTTCTGATTTCATTAGAAACTTCCAACTATTTTTTAACAGTTATAAGACTCAATAGAGTTTCAAAGTAAAAGCTTAAAATTATGAGCGCATTCTTGTATGTGATAGAAAGCTTCAAAAGCAGATCACGCATGTGTGAATGTGCGTGCGTGTGTGTGTTCAGCTGTAAGACAGTTTTGTTTTTCATTCTTCTCTTTGACTTCGACAGGACAGGCAGGAGGAGCCTCACAAGGCCAAGGGGAGGCCCAAACTGTCGTCCAGTCAAACATTCCTGCTGCTCACGACTCCCTCCACAGCGTGCCACTTGTCCTCTGTAATCCAGGGACATCCAGCATTCCTGATATCAACTGTAAAAATCAGCAAAAACAAGAAATCCTCAGTGCGAGCCATTCTAACACCTCCTGCTGTGATGGACACCCTGGTATTAGAGTTTTTAATTGTTTAAAATCCTCATATCACGGACAGCGTGATTTAGACACCTGGCTGTTCTGTTTTCTCCACTTTCAGATGATCCAAATACCAGTTCAGTCTGCAGGTCATCTCCTCTCCCTGAAACGTCTGTACGAAACAGCTGCAGGACACTCTGCCTGCTGTCTTTTGTCTTTGTCATTCGGGGACTTTTTACTTCTGTCCTGGCTTTGATCAACAGCCTGGTGACGCTGTTCATCGCCTCTCAGTTCCTGCACTGCTCTGCAGCCAGCAGCATCCTGGTCTATCTGGATCCAGGTCTGTCTCTGTTGGCTGTGGTCTCACTGATAGCTGCAGCAGCTCCACAGGTCGTACATGACGTCACATGCTTTAATTACTCAACTGAAAACACGCCTGTGCTGATAATTCTGACTGATTTCTGCAGGTGTACAGATTAGGACTGCTGCTGCTCCAGGCCTCACCTCCACACGTGTCTGTGTCTGACCTCAGGAGGAGGATCGTAGATGTGCCTGGAGTTCAAAACGTGCACGACCTCCACATCTGGCAGCTAACGGAGTCCCTGGTGGTGGCCTCAGTCCATGTGCACTGCTACGCTGGGCTTCCAGTGCACAGGTGGAGTTTAGCTTTTTGAAGCAGGAACTGATCTTATTTGGAAAAAACTAATAAAATAATAGACTTTATGTTGACCATCTGAGATTAATAAAACTATTGAACATCCAAAGAAACATCCAGAGTTTCTCATCTGGACCAATAATGGAGAAATGACTGATTTTGGTTGTGAATTTGACTACGTTTCTCAGAAATGAAACTCTAACATCACAGAATGATTTTTTTTTCCAGAGGCTACAGGATCAAAAACTGTGGTTTGAATTCAAGTCAATGGGATGTTTTTACCCTGAAGTGACTCAAGAGGGTTGAACACTAAATCTGTTGCTGTGCAAAAACAAACAGTTCAGCATTTTAGCTGCTTCTTGATTAATACTGATTTGTAAAAACTGCCCCAGGCAGAAGTAACTCATTTTTGTGTATTTTTTAAATAAATCACATCAATGAAATGGAGTAATCAAAGTAGCATTTTAAGGGGTAAAATCATCAAAAGACTGAATTTTAGGTTTGAACAAGGCAGAAGTTGTTTAACAAAAGGATTATTGGTTTATTGTTACAGCCACTTTTACTAATGGATGTTTTTATCCTCTAATGCCTCAACAGGGTAGTAAATTAAAATAACGCCAGAATGTTAAGGGGTTAAAATGTGCTATTATGTATTTTTTTTTATTATAATTTGAATTATGTGAATCATCTCAAACCCCTTAATTATGCAGGGGATCCACAGCAGGGTCCAGAATTTTGTTTATTTATTTATTTTTGTTACTTTAGGTGATAGAAAAGGAAACAAACTTTATTGTTTTTACTAACACTTAATAATTTCACATTCCCAGGTTTGCTGATCTGATGTCAGGTATCACCAAGGTGCTGCAGAACGTAGGTGTGAGCTGTTGCACCATTCAGCCAGAGTTTACTACCTCTGGGCCACCTTCATGCAGCGAGGGCAACCCCAAAAGGAACACCTGCCCGCCCCCTCCTCTCCCAACCTGCAGCCTTGCCTGTAGGAGGGCCTGTGCTGCACATATGTGCTGCTCTCTTCTAGAGGAGACATGGAGTTTGCTGAGACCTTCAGCTGTGGAAACAAGGGACGAGCCTCAGAATCTGGTCATCGAGAACATGTTCCTCTGAATGATCCTTATGTCTTGTTTTCAGCTCTAATGTGAGGAGGAGCGTGGGTCAGCGATGTGAATCATATATTATTTTTGTGACATCAACAGAAGCTACAATGTCCAAAGTTTGCATCATTTTCATATGAAAATTTGTACCGTGAAGCTCTACGTGTCTGGTCTTGAATAAAATAAATGATTAAACATGTTGTATTTCATCTCATATGATAAATTATGACTCACAGTTTCAATCCACATTTGTTCAGAGATGATCTATTCCTCTGTGTTGTAAAGGTTTCATTTAGCAATTGATTTTAAAGTCATTAACTCTCTAAAATACATGAGTGGAAGTAATGTTATTTGTTGCAACTTATTCTACACACATTTTGTTTCCATAAATATGCTATTTTGTCATTTCTCATATCTCAATCAAATGTAAAAACTAAAACCATTTAAGTGCAAATTTACCATCTAGGAAACATTTTGTCATGAGCTAAAAAATGGGGGCGGTTTTCAGTTCCTGTAATTATGCTGTCTAGATTGATTATGTACCTGTGAAACCAAAGGAAGGAAGACAACTCAACATGTGAACATAAACAACTGTATGAGTGAAAAAAAGCTATTCCATTTGTGTTTGTAAATTTTTGAAAAGTTGGCCTGCCAAGCCAGAATAAATAAATAGATTATTGTAAGGCAAGAATTTGGTCTAGTTCACTAGGCAACTGAAAAGGCCTATCATCTCACGTTTCATGACGAGTTGAGGCTCCACCCCCGTGTTTTCAGGCAGCCAATAAAATGCGACAATTTCGTAATTTACGGAAATCACCTAAACATTTTTCTCTTTTTTGCAGTTATTCATTCAACAAGCAACTTTATATGTACAGCATGCGGTTTATGTTTGTTCGAATGGTCTGTAGTTGAAACATACTAAATGTTAAACCGTAAGTGAAACATCTGTGTCTTTTATGTTCTATATATATGACTGGCGAAATAGCGCCAATTGCCCGGATGAGCCTCGGTGGTCCGGGGTGCGGGCTTCAAACCCGTAGCTGCTTAGCGGCAGAGTGGCTCGATTCCACCTTTCGGGCGAGAATATGTAATTATCTGACAGCCACCTCGAAAATAAGTTGTAAATTGAAAGCTACTTTCTCATTTTTTTTGTTTAAAAACCATTCACAATATCTGACTCAACTTCCTGTCCTGTCCTGATGGACTTCAAAATAAAAGTTCGACAGCGTCATCTTTCCTGAACTACATAAACTAAAAGAAAAAAAGAAAATCCAACACATACCTGAAAACAACCTGGGGGCTCCATCACTCTTCCGTATATAAGCTTATCAGCTAAAACCCTGCTTTTGTCAAAGTCATTGAAAAACAAATTTAAAAAGACGTCTTCAGTCCATCGACGGAGCCGTTACAGCTTAACATGTTAAAATACAGGTAAGTTCAAATCAACTACCTTTGACGCTTCGTTTAATGCGAACTTCCGCTGGACAACTGTCGCCCTCTAGTGGCCGTAAAGTGACGCTACAACTAATGACGGCCAAAAAAATAAATAGAACAGACTTTTCTTTGGCTGGTAAATTGCACCTGCTGAAATACAAAATCGTAGCGAGCGTGTCTTCAATAAAACAATAAAAGTGGTAGGTGACAGTGGCACCTCAATCGTCTGCTGTTTTTTAGAGATTAAGAGCCAAAACTAGAGCATGGTGTGTTGTAACCATGTTTGGGGAAAACAAAAATTAAGCAGAAGGTGGAAAGTGACCAGAGGCAGCTAAAGCTAGTACGTTAAGTATTGGTTTCAGATGGTGTCACTCAAATTTTTAAGGCTTATCTTTTGTGAAAAGACAGAAGGTACATCTCTTTTTTTTCCCAACAGTTTTGTATAGGAACACCAGATACTAATTATCAGATGTGCGCATGCTGCAACCACTGCATGCATTGGTTTAGTACTTCTCCTTGGTAACTGTAAGAAGAAATCACTGAAGAAATCACATCTATTTGCCCGGACGGCGATCACCAAGGCTGCTCCAGAGGTGCAGTGCCCCCACAGAGAAAACACTGGATGGCATAACAAAATATCAAAGATAGCAAGAGATATGGGTAAATGGTGATGAAAAAATATATAAGTGGTAAAACAATCCAATGTAGATATATTTATTTTATTTACCCGGATTGGGGGGGGGGCTATCATCAGATTGATGACCTCTGGGTACTGAGACTTAGTGAGCCACTGAGAGGCCACCAAAATCAGTGACAGGCTCAACCTGTGCACTCTCTTCAGTACCGCCGGAATCAGTTCTACTGGAGGATAAACCGTAGAGGAGAACATTGGGCCAAGGGTGCGCCAGAGCATTCGATCCCATTGGAGCGGTCTAATCCGTTAAGGAGAAGAACAGGGTACCATGTGTGTTTGCGCTCGATGCAAACAGATACACTATTGCCCTGCTGAACCTCAGCCAGATCTGGGACACCGCCTCAGGGTGAAGCCTCCATTCCCTTGACAGAGGTCCGCCCCTGGAAAGCAAGTCTACCCCGTGGTTGAGGAAACTGGAAACATGAACTGCTCTGAGAAAGGAGATTCAGATTGCACCAGTGCAGCAAAGTGTGGGTCAGATTCAGTAGAGGAAGAGAGCGTGTGTGGTTGATGGTAAATGGTAAGTAGCCTTCTCAGGGTTCTACAACCAAGCACTTCACAACACAATCAGTCATCCACTCATTCACACAGACATTCACATGCTGGTGATGGGGATGGCAAGGTGATGATGAGCTACGATGTTGCCACAGCTGCCCTGGGGAGCACTGACAGAGGCGAGGCCTGCTGAACGTTGGCACCGCTGGTCCCTCCGACCACCACCACCAGCGGGTTAAGTGTCTTGCCCAAGGACACATCAGCAGCAGTCTCTGGTCAAAGTCAGGATCAAACCTGCAACCTTCCAATTACCGGACAACCTCCAGGTCTGCCTCCTGAGCTACAGTTGGAGTCTCCTGAACTGAAAATATCTTAAAGTTGTGGAGACAACATTATTATGACTTGTTTAATTGTGTACCAAGTGAACCGTACAAAATGGATCAAACTGAAAGCATAGATGGAATCATGTGACATGAGGTCTATAAAGCTATTACTAAACTGCCTAATAATAAAGCCACTGGGTTGGATGGCATATCTGCTGAACACCTAAAGTATGCTAGCAGTAGATTAGCACCACTCCTTGCTAAATGCCTTTCATCTTTTCATGCTCGTGGATGCTTGCATGATTCAATGCTAGCTGTTCTATTGGTCCCAGTGATGAAAGACAAGGGTGGGAGAATTGGTAGCATGGACAACTATAGGCCCGTTGTTCTGGTTAGCACACTCTCAAAAGTCTTGGAAATAATTCTGCTGTACAGAAATTAATGACACCTTAAAAATGCCAGATAATCAGTTTGGATTTAGGGCTGAGCTTGGTACAGAAGTGTGGATATATGCTCTAAAGGAGATCGTGACAAAACACAGAAACCAGAACTCTTCCATCTCTATGTGCTTTATAGATAGATGCATCCAAGGCATTTGATAGTGTTAACCATTGGAAACTATTCATAAAGCTGCTGCAAAGAGGTGTCCCAAGATGCATTGTACACATCCCGGTTTATTGGTATGGTCAGCAAATATTACAGTTAAAATGAGGTAACAGTATCTCTGAGCCATTTAGCATCAGTAATGGAGTCAGACCCTTCTTTTTAACCTGTACATGGATGACTTATCAGTGAGATTAAAAGCCTGGAGGACTGGCTGTGCAGCTGGTGATGGTGCCATAAAATCAACTGATGTATGCAAATGACTTAGTGGTTCTAAATCCGAGCTCCACTGGTCTACAGCAGTTACTAGATATCTGCTCTGGCTATGGAGTATAGCACAACATTGTGTATAATGCAGCTAAAAGTGTGGTTATGACTTGCTGGGCCAAGAAGGACAAGTTTCCAGATTTTTATCTGTCAAACTCTGTGATTAGTGTCATCAAGAACAAATATCTTGGTCATATTATCACAGAGGGCATGAGAGATGATGATGACATGTATAGGCAGTGCCGTATGTTGTATGCTCAGGGAAATACACTCGCTCGTAAGTTTGGGTCTTGTTCTGGCAAAATAAAGATCAAGCTGCCCACCTATGGACTGACTATTAGAAATGTAGCATGTGTAGGTGGCAGGTTCCCTTTAATGACTTTGACACCAAGGAAGCCCAGATGTACAAGTGCATTGTAAATGTGAGGGTGAGCACCCTACAAGCTGCCTTAAGATTTTTTTTATAAATGTATTTGTTGGCTGAACAATTCTAAAAATGTGATTGTCTGAAATCTAACCAATACCTGCGCCAGTGCAATACGTTATCAGTCAAATATGTGGAAACCCTGGTATAACAGTCTTTTTCTTTTTTAGATTAGGGAGTTACAATCATTTATGCTTTATTTTCACACTACTGTTATTATTGTCTCTTATTTCTGTCTTCATGATAATTTTGTCTTTTGTGCTTTAGCGTGTCATATTGTGCACATTTCTTTTTATTTTATCTGTGCAATTCTTTTTTCTCCACCTCTGTGATTTGGAGTCTAGAATTATCTGGAGTAAAGAATACTCGATTTGACACAAGAGGACAGTAATTTTCCATACTCTGCCAGAAAAAAAACCGAAGAAGAAAAAGAGCCAATCAGCTGTCGGAGCTTCTGTCCGTTATCCAATCACGTTTTTCCCGGAAGTCGGGTTTTATCGGATGATGCGTTATGTCCTTGTTAGCTTAATTTTGGGGATTAAAAACAAATTTCTAGTTTGGTGGTGATCGCGGCCCTACTAATTACTGGTAAGGAATTTCAGCATTCTGCTCATACCCTTTCAAAGTATTTTTAGACGGAAACCCCGAAGGACACGTGTTCTAATTCCACTTGCGCCCTGCAACGAAGTAACGTTATGAAATGTTAAGCTATTAATGGTTGGATTTTACAAAATGCTGGTGATTTTATTAATGCAAACATTAAAAATGACCTTTATTTAGAGGGAAGTGACCTAAGCAGCTCTGGACTTTATCTCCATTTTATTAAAGCGTGACTTTAGAAACCTTGAATGTGTTTTTGACTAAAACACATTCGTGCTGATGTGATGCCGATTTTATCAACGTTAGACTAAAACTTGTAGTCCAGGGTTGATCAAATCAACATTACATAAGCACGAGTGGCTTTAATTGATTATATATATATATATATATATATATATATATATATATATATATATATATATATATATATATATATATATATATAAATTGATATTGCCATGTTCCAGATTTTTTGTTGTAATTTTTCTTATCCTTTTAGGTTTGGCAATCTAAGAATATTAGTAAATTATGCCTTATCATAAGTATCCCCCCAAAATCTGGGAGGCCCTGAAAATGAAGCAGGGCATCTACACTCGCCTTCCCAAACATTACCTCAAGTCCCTGGAAACAAAGGAGCCAACTCCTGTTCACTGGAGGCCCCTGGGGGTCAAGTACCGAGCCAACCCAAAGACTGGACTGAAAGAGCGAGTGCAGGACATCCCAATCCCCCTGCACTACCCTCCAGAGTCCCAGGACGGCCTGTGGGGTGGAGAGGGATGGATATCTGGCTACAGATACGCCAAAAATGACAAAGTGAGTCAAACTCTCTTTCATTGTGTTTGTTGGATGTTTGTCTATTTAAATACTTTTGGTTTTATGAAATTCTTGTAGAGTACAAGTCATGCCTCCTTGTTCTTTTAGATTCAGATGTCAATTACACTTGATTTTGCTCAACTGTTTGTCTAAAGTTTATTAACGCCTGACCTGTCTCTTGTCCAGATGTCCACACGTCTGATCAAAATCTGGAAACCACAGCTGTTTAAAAGAGAACTCTACAGCGAAATCCTTGATCACAATTTCACCATCACAGTCACAGCTCGCACTCTGAACCTGATCGATGCAGCCTTTGGTTTTGACTTCTATATTCTGACCGTGAGTGAAAAATGATCCTGATGTCATGGTAACCACTGTGATTTAGTGGCAATTCTAATCTCTATCTCCATTTAGACACCAAAGGAAGACCTGAACTCTAAACTAGGGATGGACCTGAAGAGGGCAATGCTGCTTCGCCTGGCACGCAGAAACTCAGACCTTTACCCCAATGATCCGGTCAAAAGAGACAAAGTCTACAGCAAGTACAAGGTGCATCAGAAGTGTTTCAGCATGACAAAAAATGATTAGGATCTTTTATGATTGATAGTTTTTGAGAAAATTAAAATGTCTTTTTCTCTGCTTCCTTTTGAGCAGCAGTTTGAGATCCCTGAGGAAGAGGCAGAGTGGGTGGGTCTGACTCTGGATGAGGCTGTGGAGAAACAGAGGCAACTGGAGCACAAGGTAATACTCAGGTTCACAGTTTAGTAAAGTGTTGCAAAGTTCTTGAGAGCCTTTGATCTTTTTAGAGTCGGTTACATTAACATTTTTGTATGGCCATGGCTGAAATTGTTAAAAGATGAATGAGTTAAATCACTAGAACTACAAAAGTAAAGAGTGTTCTGATCGTTTTCCTTTACGACTGTTTGAAGTTTATTGACTTTGTTTTCTTTTATCCCAGGAGCCCGAACCTCACTTTAAGGCCTTTGTGGAGAAACTTGTGCAGGAACTGGAAATGAAGAAACTTTTAGAGCCACATGTCACAGAGAAGCAGTAACATCTGATCAGCACAGAGACTGAGATGTGAAGTAGGTTGAAGACACTTCAGATGGTGGTGGGACCTTAAGTCACGATAATTCAGTAGTGAACACACAATGGAGAAGAATTCCTGCAGTTTCTACTTTTGTTTTGATCCTAAAGCTACCCTGAAGTGGAAGATTGACAAATGACAGTCGGGTTGGAGTCATTTTTATTTATTTCATCTGTTTGTTTTTTATTATACTTAAAGAATTTTCTTGAGTCATTTAAAACTTAAAAATGCCTCCGATTTGTCAATAACTACCTAATCCAAAAATAAAATACAATTATTTCCCAATAAAAGTTCTTTATTCCTCAAATTATAATGAAATGTATAATTTAAAAAAATACAACTGCGTGTTCATTTTAGTTTAGAAGCTGGACACTATGAAGAAAAAAATGCCACAATTGATTTGTTTTATACAAAAGAACTGTTTATTGTTTTTAGACATTTCTACAGTAAAAATTAAGCCTGAGATCATCTAGGTTTAGGTTAAATGTACTAGAGACACAGTGAAAATAGTAGAAAAACATAACCTACTTGCTGGGATTTCCTAAAGTTTGTAAAAAAAAAAAAAGTTTATTTGTGGGTTAACACATTTAAAACACAATTTAGTGTCTCACATGTGGGATTGTATTTATTATAACAATAAAAAATCACTCCCAACATGCAAAAAGGTACAAGGTTTTGTCACTAGATGGTGCCATCGTGCCTCACATCTTAAAGATGCATTAGTGGAAAAACCAAATAGTTTGAATTGTAAAATCAGAAATTAAAATGAAGTAAAGACAAGAGTCTGACCTCCACGAAACCAACGAACACCAGGTGTCATACTAACGCCACCTTAACGAGTCTGACATGATTATTTCTAAATTTTGTTTTTTAAGAAAGAAATGACCAAAAAAATAAAAAATTGCATTTAAGTTTAACATTCTGATGAAACTAATGTCATAAAGGTTATTAAGATGGGTAATGTAAAAATGCTGAGGTCTGGAAAAAAAAACATTAAACTTGCCACCTGGTTTTGCTTTCAGGCTGTGTGTGCGTGTGTGTGTGTGTGTGTGTGTGCGCGCGCGCGCGCGTACGTGCGTGCGTGAATTTTGTGGTTGTGGCTGCCTTCTGTGGGTCGATGGTGAGTCCCTCCTAGTGTGGGGACTCCCGTGGGTGTTGTATCCTAGCAACAGAGAAAATTTGGTACCTGTCTGTTGTAAACACAAAGGTTTATTCCATATATAGACACAGCCTCTGACTGGAATTACCCCTCTTTCAGCTCACATGTGAGAGAGGTCAACAAACTCAGACACTGGTGAAGGCTGTCATACTTTTAGGGTTTTGACCTTTATCCTTTTTTGGTTGAAGGAACACAAAACATCTGCAGAGTAAAATGTTTTGTTTGCTTCTTCATTAAAACCTGTCATTTTTTAAACTGATTAGATTTTGCAGCAGCTCTTTCTGGCATGTTTATTCTCACCAAACTGGCTCACTTATGTAATATTTATTCTTTAAATTTTGAGAATAGACACGATGATCATTTCCACGAATGCATGGAACTTCTTGGTGAATGCCTGCATCACAAAAAGGTCACCTGACACATGAGGTGTGGCCACATTCAAAGCTCCTGGTTTAGTGAAAACTGAAGTATGCCACTGACAGTTCCCAACTGAGGATAATACTAATCCAGCCTTCTGGCCTTTGGTTGCCCTGATGTCCTGATTTCTGCTCAGTATTCCCTGGCCCTGAGTTTAACCTTTTTTTCTTTAGAGCTTTACATGGACAAGAACCGCCATAAATTGCTGATCTTCTCAGTCCCTACACGCCCAGAAGGTCCCTGAGGTCCAGTGATCAAAGCCTACTGGTTGTGTAGCGCACCAGGCTAAAGACCAAAGGTGACAGATCATTTGCTGCTGTGGCCCCTAGACTCTGGACCTCTCTCCCCCTGAGCCTGAGATCAGTGGACTCAGTGGTCTCCTTTAAAAAGCAGCTGAAAACTCACCTGTTCAGATTGGATTTTGCGTGACCTTCGTCATCACCCTTTCCTTATTCTGCTCTTATTCCGCCTTTCCCGGAATCCACTGATTTCCCTCTTTCCTATTCATTTTCTCTCTCCCTTACATTTTTATGACAATTTTTATTTTTTTCTCATTGTCAACATATTTTTAATCATATTTAAATTTTTTGTTTGTTTTTGTGAAGTGTCTTGTGATTTTTATCTTGAGAATATATATATATATATATATATATATATATATATATAAGATCATTCTCTTTCTTTCTCTTCAGGAAAACAGAGTTTGGTTAGAACCAGGCGTTAGAACTTATCTACAATCTGAAGAGGGTTTTTAAAACGTAGAAAACGTTGCAGTAATTAATTGTTTATTTGCCTATAAAAAACCCATTTTATTCATTGTAGTAATAATTTTATTCTAACTGTTCCTTTTGTTGTTCATTATGTTGATAAAAGAAAAGAAGGGGTCTAAGTACAGAGCCCTGGGGTACACCTTTCTACCAAGATGTAAGAAGAGAAAGCCGTCAAGCAGAACGCATTGTTTTCTTTTTAGTCAATCATTAACACTAACAGCACAGTCAGATAGGCAAACATTACAAAGTCTATCTAGGATGACATAATCCACAAAGTTAAAAGTCTTTGATGGGTCAATAAATGGTTCGGCACCGTGCTTTTTAATCCCTAGGTAACAATAAAATAATTTACTACCTTTGTAGCAGCATTAATGGTGCTTGTCACTTTATGGAAGCCCAGCTGGTGTGGTGATAAAATACTTCTGTGTCTAAGTCTTTACATTGCTCCCATAAAGGTCTGTTCAGGACACTAACCTGACATGTAACTGTAAGAATTTCCATCTGATTCATCTGTTATTAAAGGAGAATCCTTAACAACACATCTTGTTCAATTTGAGTTCAAAATTTCTTGGGATCATTTAAATTATTACTTTTAGAGAGATAAAAATCAGACCTGTCCCTGTAACGAATCTGAATTTTTCTTAACAAAAGAGGGGGAAATGCATTCTGCTGTATATGAAGTGCAGTCATTTGGCTACTTCCACATCAGAACTAAAATAACTTCCTTCCGTCTTTCAAAAGAAGAGTCTAAACCTAAAAATGCACCTCAAAAGAACCTGAAGCTCATAACAATGTTCTCCATTAAAACATAAATATGTTACAAGCTTAAGACTCTTTGAGATTCATGTGTGTCTTGACTCTTATTTTGAAGGACTGAAGGAAGTCTTTTGAGTTCTGCTGTAGATGTAACCAAAAATCGAACCTTCATATTCCGTGAAATGACATGTTTCTTGTCATTTACTCAGTAAAAACACACCCAGAACCCTCAGTTACAATAATGGTAATCAACAGAACAAAAAACATCCAGTTCAGGAAGATAATAGAATAATAATTATTTTCCTTGGGTTATGTTTGAGATAGATTACATATAAACTTTATTTTGTAAATAATATCTTTTGCTTCCTCAACATTTTGACCTCATTCCTGAGAGGGTTTTTTTTATTTAAAAAAAATTAATTAAAATAATCTCAACATTTCTTTCTTGTTTTTAACTCTGATTCTCAGTGATTCTAATGCAAACATTTATGTTACAGTAAGTATGCAAGGTTAAAGAATACAGTGGGGCAAAAAAGTATTTAGTCAGCCACCGATAGCACAAGTTCTCCCACTTAAAATGATGACAGAGGTCAGTAATTTTCATCATAGGTACACTTCAACTGTGAGAGACAGAATGTGAAAAAAAATCCATGAATTCACATGGCAGGATTTTTAAAGAATTTATTTGTAAATCAGGGTGGAAAATAAGTATTTGGTCAATAACAAAAATTCAACTCAATACTTTGTAACATAACCTTTGTTGGCAATAACAGAGGTCAAACGATTACTATAGGTCTTTACCAGGTTTGCACACACAGTAGCTGGTATTTTGGCCCATTCCTCCATGCAGATCTTCTCGAGAGCAGTGATGTTTTGGGGCTGTCGCCGAGGAACACGGACTTTCAACTCCCTCCACAGATTTTCTATGGGGTTGAGGTATGGAGACTGGCTAGGCCACTCCAGGACTTTCAAATGCTTCTTACGGAGGCACTCCTCTGTTGCCCGGGCGGTGTGTTTGGGATCATTGTCGTGTTGGAAGACCCAGCCACATTTCATCTTCAAAGCTCTCACTGATGGAAGGAGGTTTTGCCTCAGAATCTCACGATACATGGCCCCATTCATTCTGTCCTTAACACGGATCAGTCGTCCTGTCCCCTTAGCAGAAAAACAGCCCCAAAGCATGATGTTCCCACCCCCATGCTTCACAGTAGGTATGGTGTTCTTGGGATGCAACTCAGTATTCTTCTTCCTCCAAACACGACGAGTTGAGTTTATACCAAAAAGTTCTACTTTGGTTTCATCTGACCACATGACATTCTCCCAATCCTCTGCTGTATCATCCATGTGCTCTCTGGCAAACTTCAGACGGACCTGGACATGCACTGGCTTCAGCAGCGGAACACGTCTGGCACTGCAGGATCTGATTTCCTGCCGTTGTAGTGTGTTACTGATGGTGACCTTTGTTACTGTGGTCCCAGCTCTCTGCAGGTCATTCACCAGGTCCCCCCGTGTGGTTCTGGGATTCTTGCTCACTGTTCTCATGATCATTTTGACCCCACGGGATGAGATCTTGCGTGGAGCCCCAGATCGAGGGAGATTATCAGTGGTCTTGTATGTCTTCCATTTTCTGATAATTGCTCCCACAGTTGATTTTTTCACACCAAGCTGCTTGCCTATTGTAGATTCACTCTTCCCAGTCTGGTGCAGGTCTACAATTCTTTTCCTAGTGTCCTTCGAAAGCTCTTTGGTCTTGGCCATAGTGGAGTTTGGAGTCTGACTGTTTGAGGCTGTGGACAGGTGTCTTTTATACAGATAATGAGTTCAAACAGGTGCCATTAATACAGTTAACGAGTGGAGGACAGAAAAGCTTCTTAAAGTAGACGTTACAGGTCTGTGAGAGCCAGAGATTTTCCTTGTTTGAAGTGACCAAATACTCATTTTCCACCCTGATTTACAAATAAATTCTTTAAAAATCCTGCCATGTGAATTCAGGGATTTTTTTTTCACATTCTGTCTTTCACAGTTGAAGTGTACCTATGATGTAAATTACTGACCTCTGTCATCATTTTAAGTGGGAGAACTTGCACAATCGGTGGCTGACTAAACACATTTTTGCCCCACTGTATATAAAAATAAATAAAATGTTGTGCTCTGTTATCTTAACAAAATATCATATAGACTGGAGACTACTTTGATTTCTGCTCTCAGATAACTTATTTCTGCTTTTTCATTAATTGATTTTTTTATTATTGAGCTAATTGTGTCCTCCCGTCTTTGTAATTCACTTAGTTTATTTAGATTTTGCAAGGAAAATAAAGGTATAAATTCCCAAAAAGTAATAACCCCTCTCTAGCAAAGTCCACCATAAGTGCACAATAAAACTGCACATTGAGACAGGTATAAATCACTGTTCCTGCCTTTAGCTGAGGGGCGATCATGTCCTGCGGACAAGTTCAGGCAAGTTCTAGCAAACCGGCTGGCTGGTATTATTTTTACAGGAAATAAAGTATATTATTCTTTGTCTACTCATGATCAAAGGGTTTTGGAAATGTGCCCTGAGTGGAGTTTCCCCTGTAGGGTGAGTGTGTATTCAGTTCAAGTCAACAGTGACGGGAGCCTGAAGGCAACACCTGCTCTCTCACCTCATGAAGTAACCAGGCACGCTGATGGACAACGGAAGAAAGGTGATCATTACCACAGCTGTGTTTACCGTCCTGTGAAGTTAGATTTACAAGTGCAAGATAGGATAGCTACTGATTTATTGGTAGAATGTACAACTTATTAACACAAAATAAGGGTAAAATGCTATTTCCCAAAGTGTCACAATCTGAAAGTTTCCTCAACCCAAGTAGTCGTAAAAGACTTACTCAACAACAAATTTACTGGAAAAGCAGAAACTGTGTTTTCTCACTCTAGATTTCAAAATGTGGCGGCTTCTCTGTGACCGAGGGGCATTTCACTGAAAATGTCTGGTAAACACCGAGTAGATTATACGGTTTACAGTTTCTTAGGCATGGTATGCAGGTTTCTCAAATAGAAGCTGACATTTCACAATGAAGTTTAAAAGTTATCTGCATATTTCTGCCAAGATTCATCGATGACGTGAATGATGGAGTGGGTGTGGAATGTCTGTGGGTCGCAGCAGCTAGTTTCTACATCTGTTCTATCACTTGTGCTCTTTTTACAGGAAGTAACAGCAACAAAGAGTATGTCGATAATAATATTTTATTCTTTTTTGACATATTTACACTACAGCACAAGACTATTAGCAATGAACGAGAGCAAAACTGCAGAACAAAGAAGTGACACAAACAGAGCTATGAATAGGAGGGGTGGTTTGGCACATTTGGATGCATCAATAATAACATTAGGAGACGACTACATAAAAGTTCTGTTGACTGGAATTATGATTAAAATATTTTAGGGCAGGAAGTTGGTTTATTTCCCTATAATCCGTAACAACCTAAACACCTACAAATAATCAGGATCTCACCCTGGGTTTATTTCAGTAAGCAGCAGTTAAGGGAGTCTGAAGCGTTCCCGGGTTAAGGTTAAGTTCTCCCTTCAGTTCCATGATGGCTGAATCACTTTACTCGGACTTTTAATGTTTAAAATTAATGCCTCTGACATTTACAGGAAAGAGTAAACCGTGATGGCCTACTTCTGTTCACAGCCTCGTCCAGCAAGGCTTATGGGCCATTCCCATCTGTACCGGGTCGGCCCGGGCCGGGTAGCGTAGGTTGTTTACATATCTGGGTGGCCTGGTATTTTTCCGGGCCAACCAAGGCTCATTCTCGGCCCTCTTCTCGAGGGGGTCTGCTTCAGGCCGACCAGGGCCAACACACCCACTGCTGACAGCAAATCACACCTTCCATTAGAGCAAGCCTCTGATTGGTGGGTAGAATCAGCCCACATGGGCTTAAGGCAAGGATGTGTGGAATCAACCGGGCCAGGCTGGGGCCGACTGGGGCTACCCGGCCCGGGCCGACCCGGTACAGATGGGAATGGCCCATTAGTGGATTCCTCCCAGAGCAGAAAATGGAAACTGCTTCGGTCTAAAACTTTGTTACACAGTGTGAATTCCTGGAGCAAAGGGCTGTTTAGCAACAATATGATCTGCGTTTACGTGCTTCACTGCTTCAGACCTCATAGCTCTTCTGTTTTCACCTGCATTGTGCCATCATGCAGTTCTGGTTGTGGATTCTGGTTCTCGCTCACCAGTGGGTTAAACTGGATGTCGTTAAAGGGTAAAAATTCCTGCGAGTGTAAGCCGTAGTTCGTGTTAAAGTTTGTGCTCATATTCGCTAATATGTTGGTGTCCATGTCAAAGAAAATGTTATTGTCAAGCATTGCTATTAAGTTAGGATTTTCAATCAGCTCTTGGGCGAGCCTTTCCGCGTCTAAGGGTTCCAAGTATCTGTCCATCTGAGTAGTTGTGTCTGTTGGATGGTTCTCATGCAGAAACATCTGTGTTGGATTTGAGTACGTCTGGTCTGGTGGTGGTGGCGTGGTTTCTGTAGGACAGAATAAAAAAGCTGCATAAGCTTTCATGCATTTAGTTAACATTGAGTTGAAGTTGTACATAATTCTACCAAAGTATTGAATAAAAATAGCAAACAGCTGAAAGTGTGTTTCACTCATATCTCCACAAATAACACAAGCCTGAAGGTGTTCTGCCATGTGGTGGAGTTGCTAATGCTAACAGTTAGCTTTTACTAGCCGAGATGTTCTCTGCTGTTTCCTGGATGACAAACCAATACAAGCCTTCCCAGTTGACTGTGTGACGTAGATATGTCAGGCTTTAAAATCCCCATCTGTCTTCTATCCGAGGCTATTTTCATGTTCAGCCTGCATGACAAACTCAGAGTGACCAATTCTAATCAGAATAAATAAATGTTTTTTCTGTGAACCACACCTTTAAAGCTACAATGGTAAATCTGCAAAACAAGCTAGCTTAAAACATTTTTTCATGCCTCTCAACAATGTTCTAACATAGTGTAGCCTTAAATATCTTGTGGAGATAAAAAGAAAAAATGAAATGGCTCTCTGGCAGTTGTCTAAAAACCTTAGGGCAATAACACGGCTCAGTCCGAAAGCAACGATTGGACCAAAAGGTTGTCTGTCCCCCCAAACCACCGCACCTCTGCATTTACCTCACCATGTATTTAGCTACAGAACACCACTGGTGTGAGAGGTTCTCCGCTCAGTAATGTCAGAGAAGGAGAAAATACTGGCTGCTACCACTCCAACTTTAGGACAAACTACCAGAGCCCCAAAAAGAGAAACACCTTTTGAAGTCATGGACAACAAAAGACATTTGGACGTGGAAAAATGCAGCTGGTGATTAGCACCCTCTTGTTCGCTCTGGTAATGTGGGTTCTGGTGGCACAGGGACGCGTGAGAGTTCTGTGACCGTGTTTGTGTTTAAAAGCTTGTTTTGCAGATTTGCCATTGCAGCTTTAAAACGAGGCAATGTGGTTCATCTGCCTGAGATAAAATAGAGTTGTTGGAATAAGGCAGTGTGTAGTTCATTATTGACCACCTTTTATAATCACACGTTCTTCGTGCTTATGTAACATGTCGGTTTATGTGGTAGTTTATTACTTCTTCATTCACATTTCTGTACATTCCCACATCTGTTTAGAGAAGTTCTTCAAATGAAGCACCTTCATGTGACCTGCTCGTCACAGGACTGGTGGGTGAAAAATAACTTGTTTACTGACATTTTGAGTTGATCCTAAAAGCCCAAAGTGATCAAATGAGACCAGATGCTGTTGGTGTCTGAGTAAACATGAGCGGTTACACAGGTTTCTGAGACAAACTCTTGTTACAGTAAGAGAAACTCTGATGTTTGATGATTGTTAACTTTTTCATTCATGCTTCTCAGTTTCTCAAACTAAAGTTTTTGTTGCAGGTGAATAAATGGCTGCAGTTCTAGGGAGAGGGTATGACATCATATGACTTTTTGTTAATGTGAAGTAAAAAGAGTCATAATGTTGTTAACCTAAACATTTTTTACAGTGTTGCTGCAGATTAAGTTGATCTGCTCGTCCTGTCACAAGACTAGAATTAAAAGGTAATAAATAGTTGAGGATTGCTTTGATTTGTTTACTTTTGGTTGCGTTTAATACGTTAGTTTGTTTCAATTTCCAACTTTATAAAGAAGCTCTTATTTTTTATTTATATTTAAAAGTTCCTAAAGAATATCTGACTTTCTTCGTCCTGTTGATATTATTGAGAGTGTGGTTGTCTGAAACAGCTGAAGCTGCTAAAGTGAGACAAGGAGAAACTGGGGATTTTTTTGTTTGTTTGCTAAAAGCAGCGATTTTGACCAATAGCCAGAAAATGCAAAACCAGTGTCTGGTTCTGCTGAAGCAGAAAGTCTGCTGACTAATTATCTCTACATTAATGGAGAAAAATCCTTGTTTTTAGACTCACTGCAAAAAGAAAACTAAATAAAAATCAAATTCTCACCTGTCGGACAAGAATTCTTGAACACGCTCGCGTCTCTCTTTGTCGTGGCTCTTTTTCGCTTCACTTCATAAGGATCTGAAATTAGAAAATAAAAGTTCACACCCTTCACACACAGCTGTGGGACCAGTTTGACCCGTTCTTAGATTAACATGTGACCAGCACAGAGTAAAAACCTAGTCCTGACTGACCTGTGTTGTTTGGAAGGTATGTGAAGGTGATTGGATCACTCTCCATCTGGTCTGAGATGCGCCGCAGGAGGACATTTACCTCCACCTCTTCTGTGATGTCCTGGTCCTGGTAGGGGGGCGTTTTGAACACAATGGCTACCTGCCGGTGGACTTCCGTCTGGGCGAACTCCCCATTTGCCTTCCATGACCCTTGTCTGAACAGGATCTCAATGTCGTCTGTTGATTAGAAAACATATAGAAATGTGTTTATTCTTTAAAAAATGCATACAGATGTAATCCAAGCCTACTTGTACGTTTCTTTGTGTGTGTGTGTGTGTGTGTGTGTGTGTGCAGAGCTAAATCATCTTTCTTTTGCTACTGTCCGTCTAGATCATCATCTTGTGTTACTTCCCTGTCGCCGTGGACATTAGCAGTAGCTCAGGATAGCTTGTTCTGCTGTTAGCATTACCACGACCATCATGATGAAATGGGTTGGGACATGCAAATTTACGGTGTTGTGTCTAAGTTCATGACATGTTAAACCATCTTTTCAGAATGAACCATTTCTCTGTGGTCTCTAAAACATCTGATTTACATAGGAGGTCTGAGACGGCACAGGCCTTTTGGTATGCTGCATTAGACACCCCAAGCTGCCTATATTTAACAACACGAATGTGAATGAGGTTTAAATCCTAGGACCGCTTCAAATCTAGAACAATCTATTTCTGTGTAATTTTATCAATTAAAAACAAATAAAAATGGTTTTCAATGAGGAGAAAACTTAGAAAATGGTAGAAAGAGCTCAAGAAAATGATTCCACTCATCATACCTAATAAAAGTAATAACTCCTGTGACGTTAACCCAGCCATAGTTTTGGCGTGTCTATATTATTTTAAATTACACAACATCAGTCACATCTAATACATTTTCAGTGGCTACTTCAGGGCAAACATGCCTATTAGACAGCAAAGTTCGCCTTTTTTTTGTGTTGCACCGATATGAAATTTTTGGGCCGATACCGATATCTATTAAGATCACTGTTATGGCCGATAACCGATATACTGACATTAATGCTTTTAAAATCAGCAGATTTTGTATAGAATTAAATTATTAAAGCTGAATTTACGTTACTATGTACACACGCCACACATTTACAGTTCTGAGATGATTACAATCACTGTTCACATGATTAAACAATTACACATCACCCCCTCCCTCTGAAACAGGCAAACAGAGACAAGATGGAAAAATATCGGTTGTTGATATCGGCCCAGTTTTAGTTATCGAACAGATACCGATATGTTAAAATATGACTAACATCGACCGACACCGATATTGATTCCGATATATTGTCCATCCCTACTTTTTTTGATAATAAAAAGGCTTGTGTCTTTTATGCCTTCTGAAAGTCTCCTACCTTTCTGGACTTTGTCACAGAGCATGTAGACCTCAGTCTTTCCCTTGCAGGACCCTTTAAACTTATTCAGGTTGTAGATCTTCAGCTCTGATGTAGTTGTGGCCTCTTAATAAATACATAAATGACAAAGCGTGAGAATCAGGAAGTTGAATTTGGTTTTTTGGTATGGGTGGTTGGTTCCTCTGTGGCACAGAGTCACCAGGAGGAGTTTCATAAACTCTTACTCTTGTCATAAATGGGTTTGGAGACGACTGGGCTGAGGGAGTCTTTCCTGCCATCCTCCCACTCGAGCTCGCACTGAAAACACAGACGCACCGAGTTCATGTCCATGTCTTCGATGCCCTTAGAGTGACCAGCTAGGAGATAGGGAGCGACAGGTTTTAGACAGGGTCTCGGATTGAGGATTCAAGTATGCAAACACGGTTTGGGCGCCAAGCTCACTTTGAAATGGGTCGATATTTTGGTTTCTCCTCTTCTGAAGCGAGTCATCCAGTTCTTTCCTTTTCACACACTGGATACCAAGATTAGCAAAGCTGCAAGACGAAACAAAGTACAGGAAATACTTCAGTTGGGATAATTTGTTTTACAAATCAGTTAGGTTTAGATAAAACTGAAGGGGGGGGGGGGGGGGGGATTACCTGTGACATCTGTTGGTGTTGGGATTAAATGAAACGACACAGATTCCAGTGCTGACTGGGCAGTCTTTACCCACAAGGGCGTGGGGGTGAGGTCTGTGTGGGGGGTCTTTGGTCACCAAAGAAGTAGTGACTGTGACCTTCTTTATGTGACTGATGTCACCCTGAATCTGGAAGTGAACAGGAAAAGAAAATATAATTAAAAACAGGCGAGAGGAGGGGGACACTCTGGACAGGTCGCCAGTCCATCACGAGGACAAATAAGACATTCAACTATCCACACACATCTACGGGCGAAACTGTTGGTGTGTGTGAAATTAGTTTGTTTATTTTAGTGATTGAACTTAAAATGAGAAACTATTATTTGCGAAAGACTTATGACATGCAAAGCCAGATATTTCAAGCTTTTATTTGTCATAATTGTGATGACTAGGGCTTACAGCTTACGAAAACGCCAAATTCAAAATGTCAGACAATTAGAATAATGAGAAAAGGTTAAATATTCTAACATCACATTCTAATCAGCTAATGAATCCAAAACCCCTGCAAAGAGTTTGTGAGCCTTTAGATGGTCTCTCAGTCTAAGTTGGATTACTGACATAAATGAACTTCTGCACAATAATCTCATTTTCCAAGTTTCCGCTGTAGATTAGCACAGTTATAATTTTATCATTTTAAATAAGCATGCTATTGAGTCTGTGTGTGTTTTTGTTGGTACACAGTTGGGGCTAAACCTTGTGTTTTTGACCACAATTGAGCTGAAATTTGTGGGGACTTTCTAAGTGATCGTTACAACCCACTTCCTCCCAGCCCCACCCTCTTTATACACCCGTCTGCACAGGGCCACACATCAAACGAGATCAACTTGTGGTTAAAAACCTTCCCAACTGTCTCTGAGATGTTAAACTCCCACCGAAGAAACAAAAACCAAGTGTGTACCTCTATTGTGGGCTGCGTCTTGTTGCTATCAGTGCTGGACGCCCCCAGGATGCTGCCGGCCGAGCGTCCTTCACACTGGTAGCGAAACCTCATGCCCCTGTCCTTGGGCTCCTCCACCACCACCAGCCTGGGCTTGTCCAGAATCTGTGCCAGCGGCTCATTGTCACATTGACTCTGAGATGAAACTGAACCTTTCAAGGCCATCGAGCACGGGGAGCCTCGAGCTCGGTCCGAGAAGGCGGCTGAAGAGGAGATGGCAGCTCTTGGGGAAGGAAGCGTTGATGTTGGGCGTGCTGTCTGCTGCATTGAGTGAAAGATAGGCTGTTGAGGGACAGAAGGGGGGATAATAAGTTTAGTTTAAACAGTCCAAAAAATTTTTGAATACAGGAAGAGACACTTTTCTTCATTTCAATATAGTTAATGAAGTTAATGATGGCAAATTTAGATGAGCGTTAACCAGAAGCTGCAGGGTGACCATTTAAACAGCCATCTTTGTCCAACATGTCCAATAATGACTTCCTGAGTGTTTTATTAAAATACACCCAGTGGTACCTGAGATTCCTTAATAGCCAACACACACACAAATAAAAAAAAAACATTACAGCCCACCATCAGCGTTGCAATTGCTGAAACCAGCACCTTCTGCATCAGCTGCAACTGAAAAATGTACCTTACATTGTGCATTTTTGGTAGTAATTAAACATCAAGTCACAACCAGAGGAAATAAACATTCCCAAACACATTTCTTTAAAATACGTCTGCTCGCATTTCCTCAGGAATAAAAACTTTATAAGAAATATGAAGCTGCTCGTTCCTCCATACGAGAGCTCACTCTAGAGCTGAGCATGTGCTCTTCAACCCCTCCTCTTGAATCTGATGTCTTTGTTTTTCCGTTACACCACAGACCATCAAGTCTTTCCGTTCCACTCACACTTAATAACTTTCTCTTCACTGCTTTTACTTTCTGTTTCTCCCCTCCACTTTATCTTTGCTCAGTCGAGCCTTCGGTAGGCCTCAGTTTAACGGAAAACAACAATAAACCGCGAGAGGTCATCACAAACGCTGAGATTGTACCTGCAGAGAGCGACAGAAGATGCACCTGTTAATCAGACATCTGAGTGTGAGCACTTTCTCATCCTCACATGCCACAGATGTCTGTTGAAGAGTTAGTGTACAGCTGTGTGTTAGTAGTACCTGCTCAGTCACTGTGCCAAACAAAGGCCTGGCTGTCAAAGCCAGCCAAGAAGAAGAAACGGGAAGTCAGCTCAGCCTGATGCTAACCCACCAGCAGCAGAAGCGATGCTGTGCAGGAAAAATGTGACCTTTAACCCCTGGTGGGTTTGGCTTGTAAACAGTAAAGAGAGCAAACTGAAAGCAGGAGTCAGGTTACAATTTTTCCTACGTAATCTCCTCCTCCTTTAGCCTCATCCTGGAGAGATGCATGCTGGGAAAGTGTGTCACAGTGACTCAACCATTAAAAAAAAAAGCTGCCTGGCAAGCCAGACTAAACAAATATATTATTTATTTTACAAACTTTGCAAAGCAAGAATTTGGTCTAGATCACTAGGCTAGTAGTTAGATGCAACAACATCAGTGGAGTTGTTAAAGAGTAATTCTTGTTTCCTGCTGTTCTGTGTCTGAACCTGTCCCTGCAGGCTGCATCGTCATTGCTTCTTATCAGATAACAACACCACCGATCTCAAACCACGTGCTTTCTGCTAAGTCTGGCCTACTGGGCTGCCCAGCTACTGCTCAGTTTCAGTTTGCCCCACCAGCTTTCCGGTCTTTAAAGAATTTCTCAGAAATACTGAATTCACTGAAAACAAATAAGCTGATTATCATCTCATCTGTTTTACGACCCTTCAAAAGCTGCAGAATCAGGATTTATGCACTGATCACCAATAAATTATTGCAAAAATATAAAATCTCAGTAACAGAGCAGCAGATTGTTGCATTTTAAGTCTACACTCTAAAGAAGTTGGTTTCAGCACAACAGTTCAGTTCTTGTACAGAAAAACTGGTTAAATTAACTTAATTTGAAGTTGAAGTATGAAAGTTATTCACAAAAAGTGAAGGGATATTACTATTTATGTCTATTTTTGTTGTTATTAATGCTACCCTATTTAAAAATTGAAATACCATGCATAATAAACAAATGATTTAATATTAAATTAGAAAATGTGCTCAATCTGAAACATATGATCCATCTGGGAAAAAAATAGGATATTTGCCATCTTTAAACTTATTTATTCAGTATTGTCAATTTAATATCTCATTAACCCCAAGCAGACTTTTTAAAAACTATTTTCCCAAAGCAAACAAATCTGAGGTAAACAATTTCTTTTGTTCCTGCTCAGAATGTTTTTGTTATTTTTGGAGCAACCCAAAGAAAAACCACAAGTAGATGTTGCCAGACCAAAACAACACACAGGAAGCTGCTACACAAACACACACTCACTTTACACGGTGCGCCTCTCGGCACCAGCACCGGGTTGGAGGTCGGTGAAGGGTTCTGATGGAGGGTCCTGTGGTTCTGGTGGAGGGGGGGTGAACAAAACGGGTCAGGAGGAGGAGGGGGAGGTCCAGGGAGGGCAGAAACTGGGAAGTCGCAGCTCTCTTTGAGATATTCTTCTATTAATTCTGCATTAGAGCAAAGAAATACCTCATATTGCTTCATAAAATATAGCCAAGATATAAAGCAGGTTTACATTTGATAAAGAGATTTAGTTTTTTCTGATTTAATAAAGCAATTTGAATATTTATCTAGAAGATGTACATGGTAGATGTCTGTATTACTGTAAGTGTTTTTTTTTCAAAGACAACCGCTGAAGTTTAACTTGTGCTGTTGCTATGGTTACGTACAGATGCTCTGTACTTTGAGTGTGGTTGTTTATGTCAGACTGATATTACAAACTAGTTTTCTGCATTTTCAGTGTAAAAACATAAACAGTGTGTAACGTCAATGCTGAACAATAGTTATTATAGAACATTTTTTGTTAAATTTGGATATTTATATTTTTAAAAGTCTCTTTTTACAATTTTTCAATCTATTTTAACAGTTTTAGATGTTTACTCTCACATTAGTGAATAAATAATAGAATTAGTTGTACATTTATTTACATTTTACATTCATTTATGCAAAAATGGTGGAACTGATTATTTGAATCAATCAATCAGATTTATTTATAAAGAGCTTTTCAAACAAAGTGCTACTCAAAGTGCTTTACAAAATGACCCCAGATTCCCATAACAGGTTAAAAACATTAACAAACGTATACAAGCACACGCACGCACGCACGCACGCACGCACACACACACACACACAAGTAAAAATTATATTTGGCTGAGTCCAGATGAGCCAAGTAAGGTAAGGCAAGGAAACGCCATCAGAGGAGCCGTCTGCCCCGGCAGCATCAGGTCTTCCACACTAAGGGCGCTCAGTGGAGGGGGAGCATAGACCCCCACCTATAGAGCGCCCAGGAAGCTACAGTCGACCACCGCTCCCGGGGCAGAGGGCCCCTACAGAGGTATGTCCATCACAATATGTGCATTTCCTCTTTTCTAATGTGTTACGCACAAATCACTGTCCACCTCTACTTGGACTCGAGCCGAGGTCAGCTCAGGACACGTGGTTTAACTTTTTTAAGTTACATTTTGAAGATCAAATTTTAAAAGAAAAAAAGAATGACTCACCTAATTCTCCGTTGGAGCCATGGAAGAGAGCACCCGGTAGGCGTGCGCTCATCCCCGGATTGGGTGTTGGCTTCTCTGCTAAAACAGATCACATTATTGTCAGAGGATCATGTCAGTTTACAAATAAGAAACCCTAATGAGCATCCAGCCTACCGGAGGTATCGTTGAAAACATCCATGCCTTTCATCCTATGTCAGGAATTGTTTTGTTAAAAATTCCTCTGATGTCGCTGATTCGTTTCAAACCGGATAAATCCAGGAATTCGTCCTATCCCCTCAAAAAGCCGTCTACACGTATCTGAAACTGCTCTTGTCAATCTACACACCCACTCTGAGCGTTTGTCTGGGTTCTGGAGAAGCGATGAAACTTCCTGAAGCCATGTGTATAACGATCTGCAACGAAGTATTTTTTCCCCCTTTTTTTGTTTCCGTAGCGTCCTCTCTGATTGGCTGTGCGCGCGGAAATCCCCAAAGCGTCACACTGGGAACCCACACCCCTGCAACCTCATCTAGTCGCTACTGACTCTTTCTTCAGTCACTGGTTAGACTCAACGTGATTTGAATAGTCAACCAAGAAGGTATCATGACCCATAAAAGGAGATATGATTGTTCTTTCCCCATCATGTAATCTGAGCACACGTTTAGATGTTTTTTTGGTTTTTACCAACGCAAATCAGCTTGCAAAAAGACGGTTTTATATTAGAAGGCAGTACAAGTGTGATTTTTCCCAGATGTTTGGGGTATTTCTCCTGGTTGCATCAGCCCTTATTTTATTTTATTTTTTCTGTTACCCCAAAACCAAAATGTGTGGTGGATTTACGCCAATAGGCTTCAAACACGTATCTTCTGTTGGAAGCACGTGAAGCTTTGTTGTGCAACAGTGACACCTGCTGGCCACCTGGAGAAAACAAGTGCTGGCCATTTGGAGAAGGAGAAACAGAAAGCGAAAGTGAGGTGTTTAGAGGAAGCAGTGACTCAGCAGCACTGATGGTCCAGATAGCCTAGGCATCTACAGATGATAAATACACGTTTTCAGTAACACAAGTGTACACCAATATTACAGTGAAAATCATTTGAATCCAAAATCTTGGAAGCTAAGAATTTCTATGTATTTTATCTAAAAGGGTGACACACAAACAGATGTCTTTGGAAGTTTCTGAGTATCTAAAAGGTGTTGCTCACAGTAAAATACTGCAAATGCACCATCAATATAAATATAATAGTGTCACACTCTGCTTCAGACATTTTCCCATGGGATCATCACCAAATTCATAACACGAAATACAATCTGGATTTCCCAAAAGATTACTGAGCCTTTAGTTATTGCTTCCTGCTTCTGCCTAAATCTACAACACTGTGGGAATATGTAGCGAGAGATGTTCAAAACTATTTAATAAAAACTAAATTAAAAGAAATCACACATTCACTGTAACCAACTTTTTAGGACGATGCAAACAGATATATAAACCACTTTTTAGTGTTAAATTAAAAATCTTGTATTTTTTTATTCAAAAGTTGAAAACTGATCAACTGTTTTTTTAACTTTTGACTTTAGTTCACCCTTTTTTTGTAATCTCTTAAACTGTGAAGGCTGTTGACCTTGTTTTAAAAAGTACTCAAAGGAAAATAACCGGTCTCTCATTAAGCTGCTAATAAAGCACATCAATAAAAGGTCTGTTCCATGCAAGGAATGTTTTTACAAACATCAAAAATTAAGAGTAAAGTTTGAAAAACAAAATAGCGTAGACATTTTAAATCACACAGAATTTTTACTATAAACTTGAATTTTCAAAAAATTGTATACGCATCAACATGGAACCTTTTTTCTGTTGTGATTTGGAGCACTCAAAAAGTAAAAATAAAGAAATGACAACCAGAAACTGTTTTTTTCAGTACACATTTAACCGTCTTCTGTTCATCAAACTGATCAGAAATAGAACATGGATGTTGTTTAGAAATAAAGTTCGCAGCCAAGAGGGAAAGTAAATCAAGCTTACAAATGATCAGTTTCAAAACACATCTGACACGGGAATCATCAACAAGTCTGTACAGTTTTAGAACATACAAAAGAATGTTTTAGTGACTGAAAAACAAAATGAAATCATTGACAATATTAATATATTTATATTAATACCAACAAGGCTGTTATTTTGTTCCTGTTCAAGTCTAGAACAACTTATTAAAATAGAGTGTAGTAGTCATTGTTTTGCGGGTAGTGCCCCACAGGGTCATCCATCGGGTCTCCAGTCACCACGTCTCTTCCTCCAGTGTGGCTCAGGGTCTTTCCAGTTTCCTCCAGCACTACTCACACCACTTTCGAAAAAAGGGTGCTCACATGGAATGAAAAGAAAATTTCACAAGGAATCGACACAAAGTACAAGAGTTGCACTTGGCCCGTTTCTCCCCTGTATTTATATATTTTTTTTAAAAAGTAGAATATCTGCAACCTGTTCCCCTCCCAACATCCACTCCAAGACACTGTTACCCTTTGAAAAGAAATCAAGAATACAGTACACCACATTTTATTTTACTTCACTGGAACTGCAGAACGAGAGGGCGGGGACAGGTGGGGAACAGAAATAAGAATTTACCAAGTCTACACTGAATATGATTCTCTGTGGGCCCACAAAGAAATCGGAGGGAACAGTTCAACTGCAATTTTTTTCTTTTCTTTTTTGTAGCGGAGTCCATTATAGCTAAATGACCAGTGCCCCCTCCTAATTTAATTTCAACAAGTCCACTTTGCCCCCACAGTCAGGGCCATAGGCAGAGGGGTTAAGAGCCAAGTCTTGCTTAATCATTCTTCTTCTCTCCTTCTGGTTTGTTTGTGATGGCGGCGGTGGTGGCAGCAGCTGTGTCTGCTGTGTTGTTCTGACTGTGGTCTACTCCACTGGTCCCGTATTCATTGACCCGGTTAGGATCCACCCGGTAGATCCAACGCTGGTAAAGGTAAATGAAGAACACCACATCTGCAGGACAGCAAACAGATTGATCCAGTAAGTACAGCTAAAATAACCTTGTGTTCGTGGTAACTTTTCTAACACATGTTGGCTGGACTTGAAATGTTCCTATATAAGATTATTACAATATCCAAATTTTTGACCATAACATTTCAGCAAGTTGTGCTTCCATTTCCAATGTGTCCATGTGTGCAATCTGGTCATCAGCCACTAGAGGGAGTTAGAGAACTAACTATAGCCTATAAAATAAATTCCCTTGCGCTTCCTTTTTGAGGAAATTTACATCAAAAGTGCATCTTCCTCCAAAAAAAAAAAAAAAAAAAAAAAAAAAAACAAATCCATCTGGATTTACTCCCCACCCACTTCATTTCTCACAATGCTGAACAATGAGTCAAATCCTGAAACCCCTCCATGCAACAACACTGCACACATCCTCCAGGCACACACTGAACATGCTTCCACTTGAGGGTGATGATAGAACAGATGTAGTTATACTCGTTTTTCAGAAAGGACTCACCATCTCTGAGGCATCCTATCCTGTACATCATGGGCATCTTGATCACAAAGGCAAACAGGTCATCAATAAAAGTATTGAGAGCCTTGTAGGTGAGCATCCTCCACGGGAGGTGAGCTACAGATTTCATTTTGTAGTTGATGAATAGTTGTGGCGTCATTGTAATGAAACCTGAAAATAAATACAGAAGATAAAAAAAGCAGCTGGTTATATAAACGACTTCTTAACCTGAGCAACTAAACTAACCAACATTATGGTGTTTTGAGTCTAAATATACACAGAATTGGCTCAGGCTAGTGAGAATGAGGTAACCATGATGCAAGTATAACAACATGAGATGTGTCAGTAGCTGCTCAGAGACACAAAAATAAAACAGCCAAATCACGGGTAATTAAAGCGGTATGTAACTAAAGAGGTAGAATCTAATGGGAACCATTTTTCTGCATTAGGTTAAAGTTGTACACTTGTTTATTTAATACATCTGCAGTGGTCTCGAGTAGGAGTGAATGCCTAAGTTGTACTCTGGGTAGAAAAAGCACTGGTGCACCTGTTTCAGGATCTAGAAGATTGCCAGATCAGAGGAGAGCATCAGACAGCAGGATATGGAATCATACTTCCTGATATTTGGACATCTCACCTCTGATTGGCTAACAGCAATGCAGCTCTACCACTGACTCCATTTATTTTGCAATACTGATGTTTTATCTCCACAAATAACACCAGCCTGGAAGAGTGTTGCCATGTGGTGAAGTTGCTAATGCTAACAGTTATCTTCTACTAACCGAGAAGTTCTCTGCAGTTTTATGGACGCTAAACCAACAACAGCCTACCCCGTCATGAGTCGAGATGGGTGAGTCCATGAATGTTAAGTGACAGTGTGAGGTCACACTGTTAGGATTTTCAAATCCTAGAGTTTCACCATCTATTTTCTAGCAAAACTAATGCAGGAGATGGGTGTATGAGGTTATTTTTATGTTCAGCCTGCACGACAAACTCAGAGTGACGGATTATAATCAGAAATAATCGTTTAAAAAGTTTTTTTCAGTGAACCACACCTTTAGAACTAAAGCAGCCAGAATCAAATAGATATTTCGGTTAATATCAAGTTCATTTCTATGTAAAAGTTATAATCACTTTTTTCCATTGATCATAACTTTCTAAATAACCCCTGTTCATAGAAATAAAACTGGCCTTTAATGGGACAGATAAGTTCATTCTTAAACAGCTTACACAGAATTTCCCAGAGGTTTGTGCAATGTTTCGGTCAATTTTGCATTATGTGGTGATTTGCTGCTGCTGATTATTTTTACACTTGTAAATAACCTCAGATTAATAACCTAGAATAAAGACTAGGGATGCTTGACATAACGGCATCGACCAATGTTAATCATTTTTTTACATATTGATATGTTCTCACATTGCTTCTTATATTAATGTAGTATCAGTTATCGGGTATAGCGGTGATATTAATATCAGATATCGGCCCTGATTTCCATATAGGTGAACTCCTAATGAAAACTTGAGGGTGGTATATCATTTATGAAATAACTTGGCATAAACAGCCATGACATTTTGGAGGTTAAAGTCATTTTAAGATGAAAACCACGCACGTTTGTAATTTAGAAAATTAAAAACATTTGAAAATGAGCATTTTTATTTTCCTCCAAAGTTTGTTTGCTTTTTTCTTATTTTGCTGACAGCAGTGTGGATTCATCACCACTTTAGGGACTTTTGCAAACTCACCTCACACACATACTGCTGTTGAATTCTGTATATTTACAGTATATGAAGACTTGCATTCACATTAAAGGTTATATATACAAAAAAAAATAGGGGGGGGGGGGGGGCATCAGACAAACTTACCAAAGGTTAACAAGAAGCCATAAAGCATGCTGAGTATCCACGAGTACCAGCCTTTATGCTCCACGTACAATAAACTGTAGATGGCATAGCACCCAAACAGAGGGTAGAGCAGCCACGACAGGTACCTGAAGGCCATCTGACAACAGAATATGAAAAGAAACTCATTTTAACAAAAAATGTGACTCTAGTGAAACTGAACAGTGTGTCCTCAACACGCTTCCTGAGTGACCACTTGTGATTTTATACAATCAGCAAGTTGAATAAAATATGCACCAACGTGATTTTTCACAAGATTGTGAATTTAGAAGGATTCATTCCATCAAGAAACAACAGCATTACCATTTAATTCAGTTTTAAATCTCTTATGAAAATCTAAATTATGATTAGAGGCTCATCTGATTGGACAGGTGTGTTGGGGCTGTGGTAGAACACTGACTGAACTTACATCATCATAGATTTTGGTTGAAGACTCCACATATGTTGACTTATCTGAGAATACCAGCCTTGGGATGATTCCTGCAATTTTGTTCTCTCGGTCAAACTGTAGGAAAAACAATAATCAGAATCAGAAAACTTTATTGGTCCCCATGGGGCAATTAATTTGTAGCTTACCACACAGAATAACTCGCTCATAAAAACAACCAAGCAAACAATCCATTTATACAATCACACAATGTGTGTCACTACCAACATGCCGAAAACATCCTAAATGAAGGGTAGAGGATGAGCAGCAGCCCTCCAAAAATGGCACATGCTTAAAGCCGATGATACTTCGCTGTTATTTCGCCACCCCTCCCGGCTCAGAGTTAAGCAGCTCAATAGCTGATGGAACAAAGGAGTTGGCAAAGCGGTTTGTTTTTCGAGAAGGTACATAATAATGACGTCCTGAGGGCATAAGAGAGAACTCAGAGTGCAGAGCATGGAGGGGCTGACCAAGGATACATTTAGCCTTTTTTCGCGCCCTCTCCTCCCAAAGAGACTGTAAGTCTCTTTGTTTGGCGCCAATAATTTTGGAGCAGATTTTTACAATGCTCTGCAGCTTCTTTTTGTCCTTCATGGACAAGGCTTTGTACCAACAAACAAATGAAAATGTTAAAATGCTTTCTATAAAACAGCTATAAAAGTTGCAGAGAATCCTTTTATTTACGTTAAAATAGTTCAATTTCCTTAAAAGATAGATTCTCTGCTGAGCTCGTTTAAAAATGGAGTCCGTGTTTGTGACAAACCGCAGCTTGTTGTCAATCCAAGAACCAAGGTATCTGTACTCTTCAACCACCTCCACCGTGGATGATGCTACTACCAAGGTGGGGTGGTGCGGAGCGTCTAAAATCAATAATCATATCCTTGGTTTTTTTGACGTTCAGGTCCAGGTAGTTACTGTCACACCATTCTACAAAATCTGACAGCACGGGACCATGATTTATTTCAGATCCCGAAAGTAAGGACATCAAAACAGTGTCGTCCGAAAACTTAACCAAGAACCTGTTGTTCTGAGTGACCCTGCCAGTACCAAATAACGTTTTGGTACTGGAGTATAACTAACACACACACACACACGCGCACACGCACGCACACACGCACGCGCACACGCACACGCACACGCACACACACACACACACACACACACACACACACACACACACACCCTCTTTCAGCTACTGAATTATGTTTTACAAACATAATAAAACTATTTTTACCATTAAAGTTCTGCTAAAACAAGTTTTACCAACTCACCTTAACATCCATGACCTTGGTGATTTTCCACAGGTCAATGAGAAGGCCGATGAAAACGCTGACCTGCACCACGAAGTTGGTTTCATTGTCCAAAATGTACAGCAGCACAACTAGAGACTGAAACACTCCGAATATGATGGAGCGCACCGATAGCCCCTCAAGAGACTGTCTGCTGTTCCAAAACTGGATATCTGAAGGGAAAATGACGCTGAGGTGAAATAATTTGTTTTTAAATCAACATTTATTTTACAAAACGCCGGGCTGTTGGCTGCTTACCGTTCTTGAATGCAAGAAACTCAAAGATGCTGTGCACGATGGAGACTATGATGGTGAGTCCCAGCAGGTATGGGTTGGTTTCCAAGAGAGCAACCTATTAAAAATAAAATGATGTTTGACTTAACTTTACCTTGTGGAAGTAAAGAGAATAATTCTCAGTGTTTAAGTTCAAACATCAACAAACTCAGTATAGTTTAATTTAACTGTGTGTGTGTGTGTGTGTGTGTGTGTGTGTGTGTGTGTGTGTGTGTGTGTGTGTGTGTGTGTGTGTAACCATACCAGGCATTTCCCCACAGCAGTGAGCTGAATGTAAATATAGTTCAATATAAATCGGTACAAACTGCTTTAAACTGGAGTTTTCACCTTGACAGAGTCCTGGTCTTCATCAGATTGCTCGTAGGTGTCTTCAGGTAGAAAATTCCATGGCGAACGAGCGTTCTGGGCGGCGTACAGCTGCCAGCGCCACAAAGACAGTGGGCAGTAGGTGAGACGCAGCGGGAGTTTAGTCAGGGTGTCGTTGATGGGATAGTAATCCTTCTGAAGGTTCCAGTAGTCGTTGAAGTACACAATAGGGTAATAGTCGCCACTGACGGCATCAAACTTGACATCTAGAACCAGAAGGGAGAAAATAAAAGATGTGAGTCACGATTAAGAACAAAAATTAAATCTATGGTGAATTATTGGAAACAGGAACTTACACTGGTCCAGGGGAGGTGGGACAGAGCCTTTCACCCAGGCTGTGTGATCATCCACCATGTTGATGGTGAGGTTAGGGTGCCAGTGTGAGATGATCTCCACTGGGCCGTGGCTCTCTGCCCGCTGTGATCAAACAGTTAATAATTCAGTTCAGTTAACTTACAAAACACAGCCAGTTTAGCCATACTGGTTAATGTCCCCCCGTGCTTGTGAGCGTTTCCCAAACTATTGCCTCATTATTTCTGAAAAAAAAAAGGGGTGCGATTTCAAATACTTGTCTTGTTTTTATTTATTTTTATTGTCGGATATTTTCAGTTCACAAATGCACAACAAAAATGCAGTGATAATATTTCATAAGATTGCAAATAAAATGTTTATATTAGCAGCACAGGTGAAAAGGTAATTTAAATGTTGAAAATTTATTTTTTTTGTTCATTATGAAAATTAAGTTCGTCAGGGTCATTTTAAGAATGATTTCTGAGCAGAACTTCTCAAATCTGGCTTTTTGTAATAATTATTTATTTAAAGCCTTTGCTCTTTAAAGACATTCACCACTGGAACGATTTTCAAAAGTACAGTCTCACCTCACGAGACCCAAATGCTTAATTGGCAATAACTGATAATATGACTAATTTGTCTGAGAACAATTTGATAAATGTGTCATTAGGTGAGTTGTTTATAGTTTGTTGATTTTGGGGTGACTGGATGAAATGTGGGTGTAATATCTCTCAAAGCATCTCACAGATAAAAAACACAACTAAGATAGAAGAGGGCGGGGTTAATGCTACTCTTTTGAACAAAGCACACATACGTGCTTTTTCCCCCCTCACAAAATAAACGTTGTATGTTAAATGACTTTAAGGTCAAATTACACCAAATTAAAAATAAAAATGACCCATAAAGTCTTAAGTATTTGACTCATTCAATAACATTTATAAGGAAAGGACAAAAACCACCTTAATCATCTCAGGATCAGCTTCTGTTTCTCCTGTGAGAAGATTCTTGGTTTTTAGAAACTTTCTCCTCTTGAACTTATTTAGCACTGATGAAGTAAATAAGAAAACAAAAACAGCATAAATATTAATAGTTTGACACATTCAGATATGATGTATTTATTTCTAACTTGTGTTTGAGGTTCTTACTTCTTGTTGAATGAACTGTTGACAGTCTGCGATACTGTCCTTTGCGTTTGGGGTCTGGGTGGAATCCACTTTTGGTGAAGTAGATGTGTATATACAGGGAGCCGTTATGTTGCACACTCTGCAAACACAACACAAGAGAATATATTTAAAAATATTACAAACTTTAAAATTTTCCAACTTCATTCATCACTTGTCTTTTCTGATCTTGTTATATTTACGTCTGTCTTCCTGATCTGATGCCAGTTCCTTCCTCCCTAGAAACATCTCTCTCTTTATCTTATTCTCCTTAATTCTCAGTCATGCCTCACCTCTGGGATGTCCAACTCTTTATCGTGCTGGTAGCAGCCATCTTCACCCTCCCCTGTGTTCCAGTCTCCATAGACTAGGTCTCTGTGGAACCAGAACAAGGTTTCTGTGTTGTTGAAGTCAGAGAACACCTCCTCCTGGGACACGTACACGTACAGGTCCTACATGGTGAGAACATCAAGGTGTTTATCAGATTACGGTGTCAGGAGAGACAGAGCAGGGCAACACAGGGGTACGGTCCTATTACTCCAGGGGATCAGAATATGAGAGATGTTCAGGAATGAGATTTCAGCGTCTGACGGGGAGCTTTTTATGTATAGACCGGCAATGAAAAAATACATCTGATAAATATGCAAAGATAATAAACCCAAACCTGTACAAAGTAAAAATAAATGTCAATTTAATCTTTGTTTTTTATTTATATATACAAACATCTTTATCTTTTCAAATTTACATTTTTTTTATTTATTTCCACATGCAAAGATCTGGAGGGTTCCATACCATGAGTGTGTTTTTGGGGAAGAGGTTCCTGCTGGGAACTCTGGGGGCCCCTGCTGGTGTGTTGGGGTCAGGAGTAGATGGACCTCTGCGGAACCAACTGCTGATCGCCCAAATTATGAAGATTCTGGAGAAAAGCAAAATAGAAAACAATAGAAGACACAAGATGAGTTAGGAAATACGAATGTGGAGATAACGAGTTGCTGATAATGGTGTGAGTGAGCTTAAAGCCATACTAAATTAAAGCAATACTATCCAAATCTTTGATATTTTTAAAGAGCAAGTCACCCCCTACCAGAGTCTTATTCCATTCCTACTTATGTTTGAAAAATGCAACAAATGCTGTTGCCTGGCAGACCGGGAGGGTAGAGCTGCTAACAAATACACACACAGCCTTACAACGGCATTGTGACATCATAATGTACCAGTTAACATCATAGCATACCTCTTAGCCAATAGCGGTGGCAGATTTAAATTCAAATACAGTGCAGAGTTTTTACCTGACGACGGCGCAACACTGACAGTTTTAGGCAGAATATTGAAATTTTAACTAAGATGCACTAAAGTGCCAAATTGTTGATTACACGTGTCTGCAGCACGATTACACACTCGTTTATTTAGTTTATCAGCAAAAAAATAGTTGATTTGGGGGTGGCTTGCTCTTTAAATCATTTTCTTGAGCCAGTATGTGCTAAAATGACCCTTTACAGGGTAATGAAATGTTCTTCACTTCAGAATGCTAGTCTGGTTCATGTTGCTTATCAGACCTTTGTCCACCCATCAAGTCTAAAAAGCTTAATTTCTGAGGCCTTTTTAGCTTGCCCATTTATTTTTCCGGCAATCTGTGCAAAAATATAAGGATGAGTCAGAAAACAAGCAGTGGTACAGAGTGAAATCTCTACAAAGAACGTAGAGCCAAGTCTACAGCAGGAGCTCAGCATACCATCATCCATACTTACCCATTACATTTGGGCTGCGACACCACCATAATATAAATTCAATCAATTACTACGCCAGTGGCATCAGAGCAGGCTTTTATCCATCCATGAGCTGGCTCTCTGCCTGAGACAGGAAAGAGTAGGCTGACGAGTGAAACTCACCTAAAGAGGACTCCTTTAATGACTTGCCATGCATTTGGTGCTTGTTGCTGCTGCTGTTGCTGAGGGTCCTGTGCATTTTCTGCTGTCTGCACAGTCTGCCCATCTGTTGCAGCAGTCCCATTGCTGCTCACCTGCAACCAGAAATAAACAAAACACATGCTCACTGTCAGAGAAAAACATTTTCAGAAATCATCAGCACCACTGGCATTAAATTAAGTCACTTGTTGATTCATATGCTGTAAATTTACACTATATTTTGCTGAAAGCTTAAAATTACAACTGAATTACATTAATAGGATAGAATTTTAAGTATCAAGTTTGCTCTTTTTTTTATTTTTATACCATGTCCTGTCTGGCTGTGAAGCAAACAGAATTGATGTCTGAATGCTGGTGACAAGCCTTACAGATTTACTCTCAGGTGGAGCATCAAAGCTTCTGTTTTTATTGTCATGCCTGATACTTAAAACCTTATTGTTATTGTTTTTTTGAATGCTTGTAATTCCGACCAGACACGGAGACAGAGGTGAAGTTTGCTCATATTTTAATACATATGCAGTCAGCTGTACGCAATGCTGATGCTAGTTTTATGACATAGGTTCTGGATCTGCTTGGGGTCCTGCGCCTGTCGATGATGCCGAACTACAGCAATACCATTCGGCCAAAATATATTGCATCTGTTTCAATTCAGTTTTTTTCACATAGGTTTTGGAAAGAGTTTAACAATTTTGTTATTAAATTCATGTTTCTTACCATCTAAATGTTTTCTTTAGAACTGCAATTTGTTAATAAAGCATCTTGTCTTTGTATTTACAGAATGTGAAACTAAAAACAAACAGACTGTACCAGAAAGCACAATATTTCTTGTTTTAAAATGCATTTACATAATTAGCTGTCCTGTTTGTATAAATGTGGATTTCTTCTGTATAATTAGTTAGTTCTTATGTAAATAAATCAGTTCATTCAAAATGTTGTGTACATGTTATTTGTTCAATAAAGTTCTTTTAAGCCAGTCCAGCCAATCATCTAGTGTGACGTCATCAGCAAGCGCAGGACCCTGAGCTGGCTCACGTAGAAGGAAACCCCAGAGCCTTAGACCTATATTATCGCATTTTTTTTTTGTTTTTCCAACAACATTTCTATTGATATTTCCATATATTAATGGTAAAGACTACACATTTCAGTTTAAGTGACAGTGTGGAAGATTTGTCAGGCTTTTCTGATCCAAGCCTTTTTCACGCCTATTTTCTGTCAGAAGTTAATGCAGGAAATAAGGGTAGAAAACTAGTTTCTCAATAAGCCTGCATGTTAAATTCAGAATGAAAGATCATTTTCAAAAATAAGTAAAAAAAAAAAAAAAAAGGTTTCTCAGTGAATCTGCACTTTAAATATTTTTTATATTTATTTACTGTACAACCTTTAATTCTTCTTATGAATCTGTGTTGCCATTAAGCCTAAACTTTCCACATTGGGGGAAAACAAATGTTTTTCTATTCTTTTCAATTCCATTCCATTCTATATTTTTAAGTGATCACAGAGCCTTGAGCACTTCCAAAAAAAAATGTAAGAATAGTCACCTCTTATTTTGTGTGTACGTTATTGCATTTCACAGCTGCAGCATTTACCCCCACCCCTCAGTGAAGGCCACATTCTATATAAGTGACACAATAGACAAGCACATGCCAAGTCATGAGGCTCATTCACTACCTAAACAGTAAACATCTAATCTCTTCTGTTGTTATAAACACAAGGGACACCAGAGGCTGGCCCCCTCAACACTAACAAAACATTACCGGTTCAAAATGTTTCTATTATTTAACAATTTTTTGTTTATAAAGGGGCCAAAAGAGTCGGGAAATAAGTGAAGACTTAAACAGAGACATGAGCTTTTGTCTCCTAAAGGAAATAAACTTTTAAATCACTAATATGCTCAGCAGCAGAAAACGGTTATGTCCCACCTTGACATAATAATTTACAAAGTGTGCATTATTAACACAGGTTGATAATTAACTTAGTATTCAAGGTGAATGTTCTACATCAAGTGTTCCCTCTGTCTGGCATGAAAAGAAAATGTTTCGATCTAACATTTGTTCAAATAAATCAATACTACCCTGGTATTGTTTACAACACTTATTAATAATGTAGAGAACAGCTAACCTCACCCTAACCCTGTGCTGAGCTTATGATTGTTACAGTAGAACAGATATATGTGATTACATCAGACTACTGACCAAGTCCCTTTGAGTTTATCGCAGAAATGTCAGGCTTGATTGCATAGAGAACTTCACAAGTGCATCTTCTAGAAATACCAACTTATTGATTTTAAAGACATAATGTAAAATTAGGGGAAAAAAAGTAAAACACACGAGACCATTTTCTTAAAATTGATTTTTAATCTAGATGGTTTAAGACATTTTCTAGGATCTGAAAAGCTCTTCAAAAAAAGAGTTATATGTTAATAGATAATCTGGCTACGGGGTAATGAAAATATTCCAGACATAAATTAGAGATGGGACAATCTTGGATTGAAAATTATTATCAAAAGGACTCTTTAAAGTACCAAACTAAGGTACTACTTTAACTCTAGGGATAGACCGATATATCGGGCTGCTATTTACCCTTTGTTATATATCGCATCAGCTGATATACCTCATTGTAGAGCCAATTTATAGTCAGGCGCATCCACGGGCAGCTTGGTGCTGCTGCCGTTGTCGGTACCAGATCTGCTCGGGCAAGCCAGATCGGCTCGGGGTCCTGTGACTGCAAATTACGTCACAGTAGATGATTGGCTGAACGTAAGACTTACGGAAGTTGCGATACCACGTTTGTAAAAGTTACATTAGAATGTCGACAATGATGATTTTGATTGGTCAGAACGAATTTACGTTTGTAGTCCTGTAGTCCAAAAATCAACACTTTTCAGAGAAGATATGCTATTTCCAAAGGAAATGTAAAATAAAAGCAAAGATATCAACTGATAAACGGTGAAACTCGAAAACTCTTGATTTTGATTAAATGGGGTAAAAGAAAATCTAAGAACTTTATTGAAATGACAGCAAGCAACATTTTGAATGAATGAATGTATTTACATAACGACTAAGGAAATATACAGACAAATTCCACATTATTACAAACAGATATGGCTTCACATGCAGTCTGATGTTGGTTTTATGTAGTTTCACATTCTTTACAAAACAATGATAATATGGTGTTTTATTAACAAATTACAATTATAAAGAAAACATTAAGGTGGTAACGAACAAGAATTTATCAACAAAACTGCTAATGTCTTTCCAAAACTTAAGTGTGAAAACCAGTGGATTTGCCGTAATGTGACGTCATCAGCAGGCGCAGGACCCCCGAGCCGATCTGGTACAGGCACCGTATTTTATTTAAACATATGTTTATGCTCCTGATAACACCTGCTTATTGAATGCTTTAAAACGTTATTTTTATTTGCCTGTTTATTAATTAATCCTTGGTCAGTTTAATGAGTTGTTTAATTAACTTTGGTTAAATGTTTGATATCAATTCCGAGCAGTGCACAAAATTAAAGTTCAAGAGTTGGTTAACTCCAGTGTTCAAAAATGGATTCCAGTTAAGATATGTTGCGCATCGACTACAATTACATTTTAGTAGGTAGATAAAGTGGAAAACGTCTAGAAATCGGCCATGAAAACCTGCCTGAAAAATCAACATCACATATCGTCCAACTAACCCTGACCTCGAATTACAGCCATCAGTATCGGCACTAGAAAAACCCACATCTGTTGATCTCTACCTAAACCTACTGATTTATTTTTCTGGTCTCCTTAATGAATTCTGATTTGCTATGGTTAACCGTATATGGCTATAAAATCAATTTGTGTGGCTATGATAAGATTTTAGAATTGAGAGACTACTGGTTTGGCTCAAAATAAATGAATCATGTGACCTTTAATAGCATGGAACCGGTGTAGCACATGCTCGTTGTTCAGCAATTCACAGAGATGAGAGCCTAAAGGATATCTTCTTGATGAACAGAGTAGGTCAGTTGACTGTATGGATATTTTGTCGTCAGTTGAATAAGTCGTGACTGGTTTATGTAAATCTCACTGGCTATTCTACACTTAGGTACATTTTAGTAATTGTCGTTGTTTGGTGTCAAAGTTCAGCGCTCAGTCACGTCATGTCCGTTCAGAAATGTCTACTTATAGGACAACTTATTTTTGAAGGTTAAGCAATCCTGGCGACAGCTTCACCTGCTTCGTCAGACACCGCTGCGGTCAGCAAAGCTTTCTCTGTGTGGGTTTGGTAAAAGTAAATGACCAGGGGTTGAAATATCAGACAAAAAATCAAACTGAGAGACTGAAATGAGAGGCAGCTGTTTAAGATTGGCTCACTTATTCAAGACATGCTGGGCCGTTCAGGCCTTCGGCTTACTGATTCACACTAATGCAGCCCGATATTTTGTCATTGTTTTCCTGACATCGGTCTTCAAGTAAAATTCACCGTCAACGCTACCCTAGGCCCGTTCCTCCACTCGTTAACGATTTCACAACTCATCGTAAATGCTGAAAGATGTCGTTTTAAAACCAACCGGCACTGACGTCACTGGAGCTCACGGAACGGTCGCTGAAACATTTAAAAACCTCCATTCCCGCACACGACGTTCCCACCACTCAGTTCGGCCCGCAGTCACACACTGTAACGAGCGATAACTGGTGAAAGAATGTCATTAATATTACCTCGCCGTTGCTCACGGTAGATTTAGTTGATTCGCTCTCCTGCGTCGCCATCTTTCTCCCGTCTCTATCGTGCATATGCACTGCTAAATGGGAAACTGCGCTAAGTCTCGCGAGAGGTCAGATGTACAGTCATCGCGTGACGTATGACCTCTCGGCGGAATGATGAAAAATGTGAGTAAAAAGTGTGAAAATACTTACAAGGAGCCGTCTTGTAAAAACTAGATGACGAAAGTAAGTGAAAAGCAGCTTAGTTGTCACCACTGCACTTTGGAGCAAAAGCGAAATTCCTAGACTTCTTCAGATGGAACTACTAAATTGTAAATGGAATCCTGGAAATGTATAAACTAGTAAACTGAGCACGGATTTACTTACTCTTATACAACACGAAAAAGATACATTTGTAAAATAACCCATTTGAAAGGCTTAATTTTGCACCTGACTGAACAATTTATTCAACAAAAACAATGACTCACTTTTAAAATAAGTTAAAACCATAGATAAGTCTATGGGTAGGTTAATCGGTTAAAAAATACAGCTACTTAACCCTCTCAGGCTCAAAATAAGTTTTGAGAAAAGGACGAACAACTAAAACATTAAGGGGTACTTCTGATGCTCATGAAATAGGCATGTGGAGTAACCAGGTAGGTAGGTTTTAACTGTTGCAAATCTGTAACGCCTGCCTTCAGAGGATTAAAAAAATACTGATTCAATTTGTACGGACAGTTGTTTATTTTTAAACTTTAATTACCCATCATTTGGTACACAAACACCAACACATTTCAAATCAATAACTGATTTTGTCTACTACTATCTGACAGATAATTTACTTTTCCCCTCAAAACTTCAGAAAACAAAGAAAGATGGGTTATTTCTGATTTGGAGCAAAACTATAAAAATACATTTAAGTGTACTTGAAAAAAATGCTGTAGTCTTAACAGTAAATAGGGAAGTAGACGTAACACAGATGTGAAATTACAGCCGTTTCTTTTGTTTGAAACCATTTCTTTGATGTACAACCTGTTTTGCTGCAACACTAATATTTTAGAATTGTTTTCTGTATGGGAAAAAAAACCAAATGTTTCAGGATTTAACATCTCTATTAAAAACTTGCTTCTAAGGATGAATGCATAAGTAACTGTAGCACAATCTGTACTTTATAAAGAACTACTTTCTTTGAGTCTTGACCATCCATTCAACTTTTATATTTAGCCGCAATGATTCAAACAGATCTGTCATACTATAAAGTATCTTTCAGGTTATTTTTTAAAAGGTATTGAAAGCTTTGTTTGAACATTAGTTGCTGCTCACGTTCTCGGAGTCATCATTTTACTTAGAAAGACCTAACACAGTGGTCTTACCAAAAATTAACCAATATATTTGCAAGAATTTAACAAACCCTCTAAATGTTTTTCCTTGTGTTAGTGTATATGTTATTGAATTATTTCTCCTATCTTCTGAGCAACATATAAAAATACAGAGAAGTGCCCCCAGACATTAGCATACCAAAACTGACAAATGAAACCCCAAATAAAAAAAATATAAATTAATAAAAAGAAAAGTAGCTGTCCTAAAAAATGGTCACCAGTATTGAGATCTGTTGACTTGGAGATCTTGGTAGAAACAAACTTTCCCATTGGGTGCAAATTTAGAGTTCAAATAAAAATAAAAAACTACAGGTAGTTATACAAGTACTGACATGTGTTTGATTTACTGTATGCCAGGGTAATTGTTTTCCCAACAGCTTTTCAAATCTTAGACAATGACAAAGCAACACAATCTTGACAATACCAGAACTAAATAATTATAAACATTTGTACATACAGTCATCTTTAAACAAAGCAACATTGTATGACTAATGAAAACATAAATTGTTAGGAAGCTAGAGAGAAAAAAAACTGAAAGTGTGAAAATATAAAATCAACCATCTGCAACAAAAACACAATCGTGTATAAAAGAGATTTAAATCCATGTTGGTGGTTTTCTTCTGTTTCGAAAACAACTTGGCAGTTGCATCCATCAAGTTACAGTAAAAAAAAGCTAAAGTGCTTTAGGATCATGCCTTCCAGAGAAGCACAAACAAAAACCTATGTTGCAAAGAAATGATTCTCCATCTCCTCTAATGAGCAGATAATGAACATTTGAGGACAATGTTTTAATTTTGGGTCAAAGAAATGACCAACATAAAGAAAACTAGTGATCAGAACCAGTCCTACATCTCATCTAAACCGTAATCCTCCTCGGGGAAGTCTCCCACAGTCACAGTCTTCGGCTTCACAAATGCTCCGTATTTATTCTCACATTCAAAGTATTGTTTCCCCTGAACGCTGTGGAGACACAACACAAATCAGGAAATTACATCCAATGCTGCTGACACTGCTCTAATACAAGACAAATATTTAAGATAATGTGCTTACGTTCCATTGTGTTTGCCCAGGGGTTCGTCATACTTCACACCCACCCAATAACCCGGCTTGAAATCTGTTGTACCTTCAAAATATATAAATTGTTGTTTTACAAACGTTGTTTCAGCCACCATACACCATTAAAATTCTTTTTAAACAAAAGCACATTTTCAAATGGTAAAATGCTCATTCATGCACAATAACCATCTTATGACACATCTCAATTAAAATTTCTGACCCAGATTTTATTAAGACCATTCTCCTGGTTCATGTTCTACAGGTTCATTACACACCGACTTCCAATTCTACTTCGGTTTTCGGAAGGAGCACAACATATTTTTTAAAACATCTCTTTCGAGAGTTATTTTATAATAAAAACTGATCTGTTGACAATCTGAAACCCGGCACAAACAGCCATGTTGTTTTAATGCAGTTGCAGATGCTGAAATTGTCATATAGGGCTAAAATGACCCATCGTATTATTTTAATGTTTCAATTTTTTAAAAAATCCTTGAAGCTATACTAATAGAATTGATGCTGTTTTAGACCACGTGACTGCATGTTTCTCTGTGATTAAGTGTTTCACAGGAAGTGTCATTATTACCTAATAGGTCAACAGCAAAGTCAACAACTTTGTATAAACAACGGATGTGTTGGATACAACTGTATTCCCTGCAGACACAATGTATTTGCACAATAAGACTGCAGGGAAACATGCACTCAGCTCTACACGTTTTGATTTATAGTGAAAACGAACTTATTTACGGATGGATTCTGCTTTTCAGGATATATTATTTAGAACATCTAAGCTGACGAGGAACTCGGCTGCCTTCAGACTCGGGCTGTATGCTCCAGAGACTAAACCAGGTGAACTGCATCCACACTTACCAACATACATGACTGTGCCAAGCTTTGTGGGTTGCCCAGGAACTTTCACTTGGCAGCGGCTGCCAACAGAAATGGCATCAGCAGCAGTCTTCTCTTCCTCATTCCGAGCAGCGAGCTCAGCTTTCTTTTTGGCAGTCTCTTCCTCGTTGTACGGACCAACATGGAGTTTCTTCATGAATGATCTTGCTGAATCTAAAAATGTATAACATCAGTGTTTTGTGTGTCTGGAGTACAGATTTCAACTAAATTAGTCTGTTTTTATGATTAGACTATAATCCAATAGGTAATTTTCTGGTTCTGGAAAAATATCAACAGCTAAAAATGCTAAATATGAACATGTGAGCAACAACAAAGATATAACATTTTTTTAAATTATAATAAGTTACAAAATCACTTTATCTTTAGAAGAAAAAAAACCCAGTAAATTTCTACCTGTTCTTTTATCATAGGCGTCATCTGGGAGCTCAAACTTTTCAACTTTGGAAACATCAAACAACTCTCCCACCTGACCTCCACTTTTATCAATAACCTGTGAAGGAAATAAAATGAAGAAAAGTCTAAACATCTGTTCTGCACTTTGATGCATTAAACTATACACATACCCAGGGGTCAGAAACTCGCATGCGGCTCTTCCATCCATCTGACGTGGCTCACTGTGCTTGTAAAATAATGACTGGATATTTAAATAAAATGCTTTATATTTTACTGCATTAATTTTATATCTGTATGCCAATTCTAAATGTAAAGATTGTCTGCGTAAACCTGAACAGTTCCAACCTGGTCTTACTGTGAGACCGGGTTGACGGGTCACGCTTGTGCGTAATCATAGGCGCTTTCTGAGCTGAAGACGATGTGAGATTCTGGGACTTTCCTCAGACAGGCTCATGGATACGACGCCACATCAGAGACAGGAACAAGCACTATTCAGCCAAAGTTTCATAATCAGGGAACATTTTCTAAGTGACAAGTCTCGCTTCAGTCGGAGGAATCTTTCCGCATGCGCTCTGGTTCTGCGACGGGCTCCAAGCCCCTCTTCACATCTTCAGCTCGCTGTGCACCGTACGTACACGCTGACAGTGAGCTGCGCTGAGCAGTGTCCAGCTCAGATGTTCAGAAGGAAATCTTTTCTTGAGTGATTTAGCTACATCTGCGATGTGCATAATGAATAAAATGTCAGTTCGTCTGCATGCGTCGGGGTAATTCTTTCTATTCGTTCTCCGTCAAAATAAACGGTCAAATACGGGAACTATCCGGTCAACACATGCCCTGCTTTTAACTGTTCTGTTTTCTTGTGAAAATTGTTGCAAAGAGATATAATTTAACTTGATTAACACCAGAGCCAGGCGCACTGCGCCGTTATCTCCGTCACTGTAAATGAGGGAAAAACAAATTGATCGGATCCTTTTCTGACCTTCCCCACCTACAAAGTTTAATTACAACAATCAAACGTGACAGAGCCTGGATTTGTATTCTGAACAGTCTAAACATGTTTTAAAAAGAAACGTATGACAAAAGTGGCACCTGCTCAGTAAAACCACCAACAGGGTGAAAAATATCAAAATATTGTAGGCAAGAGACGGGCTACAACTTCTGGATCCATTTTATATAAATCGTTTTATTGATTATCGTCTTATGAAAGATAACTTTGACGTACACGAGCGACCGGTACTGGCTGCTGTCACCTGTTGTGATTGGTTAAAGCAGCGCTCTGCTGTCTGAGGGTAGGCCCCGCCCACAACGCCGCGGCTGCTGTGGCTCCCAGTGTTTTCTTTACTGTGGGAAATGGGTAATAATGGCTCTTTGATGGGAACAGGTTGCCGACCCCTGCGCATACCTAAAGGATTATTAGGAACACCACACTAATTCAGTGTTTGACCCCCTTTCACCTTCAGAACTGCCTTAATTCTACGTAGCATTGATTCAACAAGGTGCTGAAAGCCTTCTGTAGAAATGCTGGCCCATACTGATAGGATAGCATCTTGAAGTTGATGGAGATAAGCGGGATGCACATCCAGGGCACGAAGTTCCCGTTCCCCCACATCCCAAAGATGCTCTATTGAGTTGAGATCTGGTGTGGGGCCATTGTAGTACAGTGACCTCATTGTCATGTTCAAGAAACCAATTTGAAATGAATCAAGCTTTATGACATGGTGCATTATCCTACTGGAAGTAGCCATCAGAGGATGGGTACATGGTGGTCATGAAGGGGTGGACATGGTCAGAAACAATGCTCAGGTAGCCCGGGGCATTTAAACAATGCCAAATTGGCACTAAGGGGCAAAAAGTGTGCCAAGAAAACATCCCCCACTACATTACACCACCACCACCACCAGCATGCACAGTGGTAACAAGGCCTGATGGATCCATGTTCTCATTCTGTTTACGCCAAATTCTGACTCTACCACTTGAATGTCTCAGCAGAAATCGAGACTCATCAGACCAGGAAACATTTTTCCAGTCTTCAACTTCCCAATTATGGTGAGCTCGTAAAAACTGTAGCCTCTTTTTCCTATTTGTAAAGGAGATGAGTGGTACCCGGTGGGGTCTTCTGCTGTTGTAGCCCATCCGCCTCAAGGTTGTGCGTGTTGTGGCTTCATAAATGCTTTGCTGCATTCCTCGGTGGTTATTTCAGTCAAAGTTGCTCTTCTATCAGCTTGAATCAGTCGGCCCATTGTCCTCTGACCTCTAGCATCAACAAGGCATTTCCCTCCACAGGAATGCTGCATACTTAGGATTTCTCATTTCTTTCTTTATTGAACATGTAAATCAATAGACAAATTAAAGTATTCAAAAAGAAACCCATACATATGTATATGCATAAATGTAGAACATGATCAATAGGAAGGTAAAGAGGTGCTGGTAAGCCAGGTAACCTCCCAGGCCAAAAAGCAGGAAACCTGACAACAACACCATGAATATCCATACGTCTTCAGAATCCTCTACAGACAGTTGAGATAAGCAGATCAGTTCCACTGTTTCCAGGAGTCCATGATATGCCCAACTGGATCTGTCCCAGAGGGGCACCCGGGAGCCCCTTCTCCCGTTCTCATCGTTGAGAAAATTTTGTCAATTATGTTGAGAGACCAGCTGACCAGGTGCATTTTTAATAATTTCCAGTTTCCAAAAAAAATGTAGAAGCGACGTACACCCAGAAACAGACAAAGAGTCTTGGGGATAAGATAGGGAGGAGAGGAGGAAAAAAGTGTCTGCACTCTCCAAGAGCCAGAAGAGCAAGTCACACCAAATCAACATTTTTTTGTTGATGAACTATATAAATGAGTGTCTGATCGTGCTATAGACAAATGTAGTCAATATTTCGGCACTTTAGTGCATCTTAGTTAAAATTAAAATATTCTGCCTAAAACTGTCAGCGATGCACCGTCGTCAGGCAAAAACTCAGCACTGCATTTGAATTTAAATCTGCCATCGCTATTGGCTAAGAGGTACACTATGATGTTAGATGGTACATTATGATGTCACAATGTTTTGAGTGTGTGTATTTGTTAGTGGCTCCGCCCTCTTGGTCTGCTAGGCAACAGCATTTGTTGCATTTTTCAAACAGGAAGTGGGAATTGATAAGAATCTGGTAAGGGATGACTTGCTCTTTAAAGTGCTTATGTATTATGTGTATTATTTAAATGTTTTATGTAAACAAATATAAATGATTATAAAATGCATCATATAAAAAGGCAGAAACGAACTCCTGTGCAGTGATGCTGAAGAAGCATCTGACTCTAGAATACAGCAGCATTAATTTAGTTTGGTAAATGACCTGTATTTGATTTAGCGCCTTCTAGGGTCATTCACCCAGGCACACACATATTCACAAACTGCTTTGAAGGACTATCATGAGCTCAAATAAAAATTGCAAACTAAATAAATGCCAATAGTCTCTCAAATATCTATTTCCACAACAGCTATGGCGGCACGGCTAATGGCATTTTGTTAATGGCATTTGTGTTCATTTTGTGTTTCTATAATCGCGAAGTAATTGTTTTCCATTACAAAATCAATGGGCCGGCTGATTTATCATAACAACTATAATGTTCAATATGCACTTACAAATTAATCTTATACATGCATACATACATTTATTCTGGAGTTGTCATCTATAGGATAGGAACCAAGTAAAGCTTCATCATCGTCCATTTTTTGTAGGAACGTATCCGCCACGCTAAAAATCTCCAAATCCATGGAGGAGGCAGAAACTCCCACAATCATCTCCAGTTTCCCCTAAATGAAACACAACAAATCAGACTGAAGAACCAGACCATTATCAATACAAAGTACTGGGTAAAACTCAAAGACCAAACACAGTGTCTCTGTGCAAGTATGTTGCATCCCACTGGCGTCTTTACCTTTAGTTCTGCTACAGTGATCCCTCTGTTGAACCTGCGCCTCACCTCGAAGGTGGAGAGGCTGCTGGTTAAACGAACATCCACACTGGGGTTGGTAACTATGGTAACTCCGCCGTCCATCCTCAACTATGTCTGGACTCCGATTGACTAGAATTACAAAAGTTGACATTGATTAAATAAATGTGCTTCCTCAAATTTCAAATGAAACTAACAGACGGACCAGCACTTACAAGACATTAGTACAGACCATAAACTACATTTGACTGGGGGTTTGTACAAGTTTTCATTTTAGTAATGCAAAGCTACCTTGTCTTCACATTTAATGTGGAAGAAAACAAAACAGTTTTCTAAACGGGCTCGAACAGTTTTAATACTCTGTCACATGCTGCTTTAGCTAGCTGCTCGTTTGGTGGTCAGTATCAGTCACGTTGGGTCCACGAAGACCTAAAAAAACGAGTTAATCTTGTCATAGTTACTTACGTGGATGTGTATTTTCCTCTGAAGTGCGAATAAACCGTACAGATGACTATCTGCGTTTCGAACCCTAAATAACGGATTGTAATTTACAGCAGACTGAGTTGCATATGCCTCGTTTAGTATTTACGCTCCAACTCAGTTCCTGTTACGCCCTGCTCTGGAAGGTTCTACCCGCCTCAGCTACAACCCACCAATCAACACTGAGATGGAAAGATTTCGACCAATGAAGAAGAAAGGCAATGTAACCGCCCACAAAACAGTTGATTGACAGTCATGATTACCAATCACCAGACATGAAAATTACAAAGAACGAACAAACCACTTGAGGGCGCTAAAGTCTAATCTAAACCACAATTAAAGTTTTTATTTCTAACCTCGAGATTTCATGAAAGTTCGGGTTTTGGTAACAAAATAAATAGGAAAATCATATGACTAATGTAAATAAAGTTGTTAGGACGACATTTGATCGGACTGACAATTTTGCTGAAAATATCTTCAGTTAGTTGCCTTTTTTATTTGAAAACAAAATAAGTCTCTTTACACTCATAATTATAATTTAAAAAAATATTAAAACACGAGAATGGTTATTGACTAGACAAGAGGAAAAAATAGGTAAATACTCAACTTAACCTGCAGCCTCACGGATAATATTTACATTCCTGCAGGTGTTAATGGAGATGCAGGTCTCCAAATCCCATTTTGAGGTTCATGTTTAGGCCTGCAGATAAAAGCTTTTCATTTTAAATCACTGAGATCAGGAGAAACTAAAGGAATGTCACGCAGAAAGTAAAAATACTCTTATGGGAACTGCAAAAATTCATAATGTGCTAATTAAATAAACCTGCTGTTGTTTACTCAAACAGCATTTACATTTAAACCACCAGACACAACAAAATATTGGATCTTTTATTAAAAACCAGACTTAAACACGTCTACCCGAACAAATGGGTAGGCACTTTATTATCATTACTTTATTATGGTGCCTGTCTTACATAGATATAATGGCTTAAAAGAAAATGAGAACCAAACTAGAAATGATCATTGTCTTTAATTAGTACACGTTTTCTTAATACTTTTTTTCTCAGTGTGCTTGCTACCTGAACATGGGAATTGATTTTTTAAATGTCTAATTTCTAGCATTTTATTATCTGGAAAACATTTGGACTTGTTTACAGGGGACATTCTAATTTAATCATGCCAACATTGTCATTGTTTGCCATGTCTAACAAGACTATTATAATTAAAGAATGCAACACAGAACATGCTTTTTTATTTGGAGTCAAAAAAAAGTATAACATGCACATATTATTTGTTTTTAAAATAATCCAAACCAAAATAAAATACATGTTTAGATTACCATGAGCCATTTACTCTTTTAACTTTAAGGATTTGTCAGTTTAAAGATTTTTCTGTCTACAACCCTGTTTCCTGTTAGGAACATATTGAAATTCTGAAACATAAAATGACGTTATGAAGCTCTGGTGACGAGAATACGTGCCTGCATCCTCCTTCATTGACTCCTGTTCAACCAGTTTCAATGTCCACAATAATCGGACTGTGCAACGAAGTCTACTAAGAATAATTAAGGCGCTATTTGAATTATATGATCTTTGACAAAGGGGTGTGCCAGCTTTCTGCTCGCAGGCACATTAATGGTTTATTTGGCTGCAGGAGGATGGAGGGCTCCGCAGAGGGAGGGACACGGAGAGAGACGGGGGAGGAGGAACTGCTAGTGGGAAAAAAGTTCAAGTGAAAATGGCTTCCTTGTCTTTAGAGTCTACAGAACAATCAGAGAACAGCCCGGAGGAGCCCCCAAAAGAGGAAGAAGAAGTCGTCCACATTTCGGAACAGCTGCTCCAAAGTTTTCAAAAGTCGGCTTTGAGTTTTTCCACTGACCAGGTTTCATGTCTGTGCGAGGCCCTTCTGCAGGCGGGTAATGTGGATCGGCTGTGGAGGTTTCTATCCACCATACCTCCTTCGTCCGATCTGCTACGTGGCAACGAGACCCTGCTGAAGGCCCAGGCACTGGTGGCCTTCCACCGGGAGGAATTCAAGGAGCTCTACGCTGTCCTGGAGAGCCACGACTTCCACCCGTCTAACCATGGGTTCCTGCAGGACCTGTACCTCAAAGCCCGCTACAAGGAGGCGGAGAGGTCCCGGGGCCGCAGCCTGGGCGCAGTGGACAAGTACCGGCTGAGGAAAAAGTTCCCCCTGCCCAAAACTATCTGGGACGGGGAGGAGACCGTGTACTGCTTCAAAGAAAAGTCCCGCAACGCTCTGAAAGAATGCTACAAAAGCAACAGGTACCCGACCCCCGATGAGAAGAAAAACCTGGCCAAAGTGACCGGACTGTCCCTCACACAGGTCAGCAACTGGTTCAAGAACCGCAGGCAGCGGGACAGGACCCCGTCCGGGAACCTCAGCAAAAGGCAAGCATACTACACAAACTTATTCACGCAGAGTGCAAAACATCATAATCAGCTTAACAAAACTCTCCTTTGTCTGAACGCCGATGCTGCATTTACTAAAGGCCCCCAAAAAACCTGCAGATGCATGTCAAGATATGTGTGTGAATTATTTAAACAATGAGATGGACAGGAGCTGACTTTTCACAGCAGTGAAGCTTCACATCTGAGACCAAAAGCATGTTGCTTTGTTATGAAATGTGAGCTCCAGATGGCCCACAATGGCTCAAGCTTCCTGAAACCCTGCACTGCCGCCCTCAGAGCCAGGGTGTCAGAGGGCCATGCCAAAAAGCTCCAGCGTTCAAAAGAAAAGGGGTGGTGTTAACGCTTTCACAAGGGCTGAAATCACAGGGTGCTACAGCCAAGCATGGGGGTAAAAGGTTTCTGAGAAGAACATCAAAAGACACTTATCTTTTCCCACATCTTAAGGTTGTGGTCATCTGGTTTAAAAAAGATCTGGTTAATCTGGCTGGTAAACTTTTATACAGTAATCAAACAGGGCTGGCGGAGCTCACTTTCCAATTTACACAGAGGAATAGTGACAGTGGATAGAACAAATGATAGAATAGTTGTCTGATATGACCCAGTATTAGCGATCCAGGTGCGAAATTCAGAAAGACCTGACTTGAGTCTTTTCATCCTGGATCTTTTTGTCACGTCTGACCTCTTTCCCCACATGGCGACGGTGGCACAGGAGTTAAGTGCTCGCCCCGTAATCGGAAGGTTGCAGGTTCGAGCCCCGCTCAGTCTGTCGCTGTCGTGTCCTTGGGCAAGACACTTAACCCACGTTGCCTGCTGGTGGTGGTCGGAGGGACCAGTGGCGCCTGTGTTCGGCAGCCTCGCCTCTGTCACTGCGCCCCAGGGCAGCTGTGGCTACATTGTAGCTCATCCCCACCAGTGTGTGAATGTGTGTGTGAATGGGGGAATGACTGATTGTGTTGTAAAGTGCCTTGGGGGGTTCCAGGACTCTAGAAGGCGCTTTATCAAATACAGGCCATTTACCATTTACCATTTTACATAAACACAACTAGAAGGCATAGCTTTTATGTCCATCAGGATTGGTGACCTAACATCTATTCCAAGCACAGCCAAACCCATAATAAAGCAGCTCCATCCTCCTTAGTTCCATAGCAGAGCAAAGCTACTTTATAAACATTTCCATTGCCACTACAGATAGACATTGAATTCTATGGTTATTTACAAGATTAAATATCACCACCAGCAGCAAGATGTTGCACTTTTGTACATCCAGGTGGTAGGGCTGTGGGATGTGGATTAAAATCAATATCACGATATATTGAGGAGTTCAGCTCGATAACGATAAATGGACGATAACTACATGAGTGCGCAGAAACAAAAGTTGTCCACTAGATGGGGCTGTGACATGTGTTAAGTTGAGTCAAAGTTGAGGTGGTACAGTTACTTAAAGTCACACGAACATCGCCAACCTACACACCTTTTCTTTTTTTTATTATCAAATTTATTGACACGGGAAGAATAATATCGATTAGAGTCTGAAATTTTGATAACGATACATTTTCGATTTATTGCCCAGCGCTAGCAGGTGGTCATGTCAGTCTGGAATTTTTCTTTCTCTAATAATTATGTTGCAACAATCTTGCAATGAAAAGTTTGCAGCAGGTGGAAGGATTTACAAAAACAGAGCATACATTTGCTTTAACTACTGTGTGATGCAGTTAGTTCACAAGTCATTTAGGGTGTGAACACTATTCCTCTGAACATAGGCTATTCAGGAACCCTTTCTTTAATGGGTATAGTTGCTTTAAACTCAGTTAAAAAGGTCAAAACATTCTTTTAATGCTACATGCTGAAATAATTTGGGGAAAACTGTCCACTGTACTAGTGTATTCTCTGTGTGTTTCATGTGTTCTTTTCATTTTTCAGTGAGTCTGATGGGAACCACAGCACTGAGGATGAGGCGACTGTCATGGATGATACGCCCGACAAACTAGATGAGCCTTCGATCTCCACCGCTCCCATCATCTCCGTTTCTGCTGTTCCTTGTAATGCAGGAAACCAACTTATCCTCAATGGGTCCAGTGGCTTCCTTACAGCCTCTCAGCCTTTACTCCTCAATGGAAATTCCCTCATCTCTGGCACAGGTGCTGGTGTTATCATCAATGGGGTAAACTTGGGTGACTGCCAGACCGTCACGCTGAGTCCTGTTGCCACCAACTCTCCTGTAATCCTAAACGGGGCTCAGGTAATAACCAAATCTGGTATTGGAGGGCAGCAACCACAGCAGACAGCCTCTGGAGCAGAACAGGAAGTCTCCTTGGCATCCAAGGTTCTGAGCCCTAACAATGTACCCATCTCAAATCCATCAACTATTGTTTCTTCTCCTCTGCAAGTAAAATCAGAGTGTGGCGAAGAAATTGATTTCATTGTTGTTTCTAAATCAGAAGGCAAAAGTTTGATGGTAACTCAATCTTCTTTACCTATATCCTCTTCCTCGCCAACGCTGTCCACTCCACCCAGTCTTCCTTCAGTAGTCTTAGCACCAAACCCTCAACACCAAGAACCCCTGACCGTCCCAGCCTCTCTGTCATCTGCAGGTGTGGTTATTTCTACTTCTGCAGTGACTCTGTCTAGTCAACATGGAGCTTACATTGTAACCTCCAGTTCTGGTTCCCAGTTAAACTCCTCTAGCTCTGTGGTGTCCTCCATCTGCTCCACGCCTCAGATCATGCCTTTGCCTCAAGTTGTTCCTACCATCCAGAGTACACTGGTATCCCATCTGGTCCAGCACTCTTCAGCTCAAGTGGCTCCATGCCCTCAACTGGTTCCACTGTCCCCTCTCACTTCAGCAGCTCCTCAGTTCCAACCTCAGACTCTGAGCACGAGCACTACACCAGCACAACAGCAGCTAGACGCTTCCGCGACCATGTCTCAGTGTCCTAGCACAATTGTTTCTATCTCGCAGCTCAACAGCAGCAACCTCCAACAGCAAATGATGCACCAGCTGGATCAGCAGACCACAAACTCAACACCAAGCAAAATCCAGACTATTTCAATTTCCTCCCCAACACAAGTGGTCCCTCAGACCAAGGGGAATACACCGGCACAGTTGGTCCCACTCTCAGTGCCTCAGCTGGTTCCAGTTTCTTCTGTTCAAACCACCTCCAACATCCCATTCCCACAAGTGGTGCCTGCCAGCCCTTCTCTTTCCATCCCCTCTGCTGGGGTGCCTTTACAGATCCTGGCTTCAGGTTCGGCTGCAGGAGGGATAACGCAGGGTCCACTTCGGATAAACCAGCTGAGGTCCATTCAGAGCACCCCAACCAGCATGGCCCCTGCAGTACAGCTCCTCAACTCCGGGATTCTCCAGCTGCCTTCTGCTCCTCCAGGTACACAATTAGAATTGAATCATTTCAAGGAAAGATGTAACAAAAAATAATATTCTTCCCTCCTATCAAAGTCAGATGAGTTTTGGAAAGACAAAAATAAGAAACTAAGTTTGAATTTATTTTTTAAAGTACCTAATGAAATGATAGATTTTTACTGTAGGTTATTCTAGTTGGGATTTCCTTCATAGTCTGTAAAGTTCTAATTCTTGGTGTTTCTAACATGCTATAAAAAATGTTTTAATGGTCTGTAGGTAACCTGGTTCTCAGTGGAAGTCCTTACCTGAGTGTCCAGCAAGGCAAGCTGATTTTGACCATCCCTGCAGGAATTCAGCTCGCCAGTTTGCCCGTGAAACCAGTCCAAGATGCTGCACCCATTCCTGCAAATGGAGTGAGTTCAGTTTTTACCCCGTCCCCACCTTCGATGGCCTCGCAGCCTTCAACCACCCCCGTCTCCACCCCCAGCGGCCTCACAACCTCTCCGCTGAATTTCATCCACTCATCTCCAATGTATTGTGCACCAGAGACAGCGGTCACCTCCAGCCATGCTCCTGGCATCTCTCACGTGTTAGAACAGTCGGTCACCTCCATGACACAGAACACCCTCACTCCAGAGAGCATGCTCACCCTCAGTCCCATCTACAGCAGCATGGCGCCAAACATCCAGCTGTCCCAGCCAGCATGGAGCCCCATGCCGCTTTCGGCTTCTGCTAATCTAACTCTGTTTGACGTCCGCGGGAAGGGAGAACTGCCTGTGGATCCCGCTCTGTTAGGATTACCTGGAGGAGAGTCGCTACTGTTGGGAAGCCCCTCTTCGGGGCAGGGTGAGGAAGCCAGCTCACCTCTGGGGAACCCAGAGGGGATGGACGGGGAAGCTAAGATCCTTACCCAGCTCCAGTCTGTTCCTGTGGATGATGACCTGGGCTTATAGTCTGTTGCTGACCGTGGCTCTGAAACAACTCTAGAGTGGCTTTTTAAAACAGATAGTTTTGCATGATTCACTCTTTTAACATTTTTTTTACATGTCTAGGTTTGGATACCATGATGGTTCGAAGCGGAACTTTTTAAAAATACCCTCTACAGTTTAACTTGGGTATGGTTATGTGGAAGCTGAAATTACTTCTCTGGGATTTTAAGGGAGAATTATACACCAATGAAGTTTCTGACCTAAAATCTTGTCATCCAGACAGAAGAGCGAACCTGGATCAGTCTGGCCCACTTACAGGTCTTGCTGTTCTTTCAGATGATCTTTGCTATCTTAAGGATTGTGGAACGCGTTAGGCTGAACTTTGTAGTTTGTGCTAGCAGAGGCAGTAGCATATTTTTGACACCCCCCCCCCCCCCCCAAAAAAAAAGATAAAGGGCACATGCTCTCTGCCAAAACGTAAGATTTCCAGAACTTTTAATTTCTTTTCATGTTCATAACCTGATTTTATTCATCGTAACACTCCAGGAGTAAAGAAAATATTGTCCTTTGTGAAGAGTAGTCAGAGTTGTATGTTAAACGTTTTCTTTCTTTAAGGGCTATAGGACAGTATTTTATGACAATAATATTAATGTTACTGGAGTCTGGCTTGAAACATGCAAATTTACTGCATTGAATTCTCCATTTTTAATATGTTTTTGCAGTTTTCAACAAAGAATTCCTCCTTAGTTTGGTGAAAACCAATCATACAGGACGTAAAAAAGGGCTATCACAAGATTTTAACTATGCAATGCATGTTGAGCTCTTTTTCCTGGACAATATGGTGCACGAAGGCTGAGTGAACCTGCTTGGCCTTTAGGGAGATGTAAATAAGCTTGAAAGTGAAGGGCTGGAAGTGTTTTACACTAAGACATTTGCTGTGATCTCACAAACCAATAATTCCTTTCAAATGCAACTAAAAACTCAGTGTGACGATATTGATAAGTGCCTTATTTTAACACACTAGATATTTGTTGTGATGCAAAAAAAAAGTTATCACCAGTTTTTTATACGTTTATACCAAATTTCTGGCTTAATTTCTTTTGACTATACATTTCTGCATCAGTGAAACACAATGTGATGCTCATGGCTGCGTAGTTGTTACTCAAACTCGTTCTTTTTTGTATATTTTGCACATTTTATCCACATGTTTACGTTATTGTGTCGATGTGACGGCGGCTGGATGTGTAGTCTATTACAAGGTTTCACGTTGTTTCTGGAAATGCAAAAAAATTAATGAAATACAGAAGAGCAGATATTAGGATTTAAATGAAAGAAATGTGAGCTTTCAGCTGTCAAAACGTAGGTAGCGGTTAATCTGTTGGTCATTCGTGGTACACGATATACACATCAGTGATGGTTACAAGAATGGCCTTTGTATTTGTTTTTATTCGCATGTTTTTGTACAATTAATCTATTTAAAGCATGTACCAATCTCTTTTTTTTAAGTTTTCTTTATAAGTACTCTTGTGGAAAATGCACATATAGGAAATTACCTTATTATTACTTGTAAGTTACCCTTGTTGTCTAACTGGTCTCAGACTAGTGACGTCAAATGTGTTTAGTGGTGTTTTTTAATGGTAAACGCTTTCTGTCTGAGTCATCACATCAGTCTGGCTAAGAAGGGCTGCTGTCTTATTTTCACCAAAGATCGCTAACATTGAAACTAATGAATTATTCTTTGTAGCATGGGATTTGTTTTTGTCGTTTGATTATTTCAATAACATATACCACCACAAATGTAACCAAAGATGTTGTCCATTTGTTTTTGAAGTGTTTTGAAAAAGGGATCATTTGTCTGTCCTTGCAGGTTCTTGTTTTTTGTATTCAAATGCATTCTATTTTTTATATTGCATACTGTAATAAACATTTACAAACAAGCTTCAGTGTTTCGGAGCTGTGGATTCTCTTCAATCATCGTCTGTAAAAGGATTTGTGCTCCTAATTTGGCAACAAAATTTTATTCAAATGCATCTTTGCTGTGAACTCTTTGGGCTCTTTCACTGGTTGGTGGAACACCAACCTCCAGAAGGTGCGCCAGCATGTGTTTGAATAAGAGAAGAGGGGATATCTGGTGTGTTATTATAACCCTGATGGTGTCAGGTAACCTGAGGCATGATTACTCGACACATACATGCAGGTTCACTAGGTTTTTGTTCATGTTGCTGCACAGAGCTTCCAGCTCTCAGGGGAACAAACTCAAGTGAAGCTGTTAGGTGTTCACACACTCACAACCCTCCAGACCTCAGGCCTTTTCCCACAGGGATGATCTTCACAGCAGAGCAGGTCATTTGTGTGTGTGAGGTCCTCCTGCAAAGCGGATGCATGGATCATCTGGCCAGATTCCTCTCTACTCATCTTCCCTCTTCATCCTCCTCCTCTTCATGCCTTGGGGAGCTGGAGAGTGTGTTAAAAGCTAAAGCTGCAGTGGCCTTTCACCAGGGGCGCTTCTCAGATCTCTACACCCTGCTGGAGGGCTTCCCCTTCTCCGCACACAGCCAGCCCTTCCTGCAGCAGCTCTGGCTTCAGGCCCACTACACTGAGGCCGAGAGGCAGAGAGGTCGGCCCCTGGGAGCAGTGGGGAAGTATCGGATAAGGAGGAAGTTTCCTTTACCACACACCATCTGGGACGGAGAGGAGACCAGTTACTGCTTCAAGGTAGAAACGTATTTAATAAACTCAACTACCCTCACTATAGCTTTATTGTAGTAAACAACGGTAATTCAGTTGGGCTGAAAGTTTTTTTTTACATGCAAGTCACATGTGCTTTTTCAATACATTAATAACTAAATTAGTCTGCACTGTATGTACAGTCTATGGTCTGCACACTGAGCATAACTGAGTGGCTCCATTAATGTTGCCTTCACGGACCGCAGTTTTTTTTAGATGTCTATTGAAACCCATTAAAAAAAAACCTGCAACAGGTTTTAGATGCTCGTATGTGTTTCTGTAGTGAAAACGTGTTCGGGTTTTCATATATAATAATCTGTTTAAACAAACTGAACAGGAAAAATCTCGGAGTGTGTTGAGAGAATGGTACCACCATAAGCCGTATCCTTCTACCCGGGAGAAGCGGGAACTCGCGGCGGCCACTGGCCTCACGACCACCCAGGTCAGCAACTGGTTCAAGAACCGGCGGCAGAGAGATCGAGCCAACGACTTTAACAGGTTAGCGAGAAAACAGCATGTCGAGATTGTTTCTAAAAGTGAGAGCAATTCTTTTCTTTAAAGGTGAAGGAACTTGAACTCAGCACATGGAGGGATACACGTGGTCATAAGACTCAAATGTGAAAAAAGTAAACCACTGTTTAAAATAAAAAGGGAAAAATTTAATCAGACGATATATATATAAAGAAAACTGATTATTTTATCATAATTTACAGTGATAACAGACAAAACTAGCTTAAGACATTATAAAATAGGCTAACTTTAGCTCATTTTACTAAATGTTGCTAGTTTTAACTTTTACAAACCAAATCACTTTGTATTCTTTCTTCGTATTATTCAGTTTTCAAACGTCCCATTAAATAAACACAGAACGTTTCCAGCTACAATTAACTCATCTGAACTTTTTACTTCTCGTTTCTGAATAAATCACAAAACTGAGCTAACAGCACCCTCTTGTGGGTAATGTCAATAACACTGACTAGTTCTGGTTAAATCTGTCTGATGTTTCATGATTTGCTATAGTTTCCGAGCAACACTGACTACAGGACCACCGGGAGAAATTCACCTGTCCACTGACGACGACGTGTCCCCTGCAGGAAGTCCATACCTCCAACATTGCTACCGAACACCTCCACCCCTCTTTCATCCACCTCTTCATCAGCGGTCTACAGGTCTTTAGCTCATCGCATTCATTAATTAATCTTTCTGCTACTCCTTTAATTCCAATACCCAACAACACAGGACATAGTAGACAGGACTTTGGACTTTTCACAGAACATCAAAACAAGACAAATATTAGAAATCAAAGCATCATCGGGTTAAATTCATGTCACATTCGTTTTGTAGAGCACTGCAGTGGATGTCTTCGCCACAATCACACAAACATGACCTCAATAACACACCAGTTTTTCTGCTGCTTTAAGAGACCATACCGGTAGAATTTTTCTTATCTCATGTACTTTTTTTTTTAACCAACAAGAATTTAATAAAATTGTTGACTTAGCGCTGTGAAAGAGAACATCTGTTGGACTTTTTTGTTAAACATTGTTAAGATGTGTAGCGTCCAGCAATGGTCAGTTTAGGTACAGCCTGACCTTTCACCATCTATTCAACATCTGGTCAGAAAGGAGACACAACATTGCCTGTGTTCCTTTTAAAGGAGTCTGCTTCACACCAGCTGGGATTCACAGACTCTGCAAGTCTGAAAGATAAACAATAACTTTCTTTCCCAAGGTCCCATCTGTCTGCCTCCACAGAAGAACTCCAGCTCGAATCAGTTGCTAAATTCAAGAATGATTTGTTAAATTTAAAACAAAGCAGCTGATCTGAAGTCAAAATCTGGAGAAATTATTCAGATATGAGCTGCTGGGCTTCTATCAGACTGAACCAAGATAAAGCGCCTCTACATCAAAGCAACGGGATAAATAATCATTAAGGCCATCAAGTGTTCCCCACTATACCAAGACAATATAAAACTTAGAATTTATTCACATTTCCAGGAGCTATATTAAAATCTTTACAGCACATTTAGACAGAACCGTCCCGATGCATCCTTCAGACGACACTGAAGCCAACCCGGCAGCTGAGACATCGTCAGTGTCTGGATTCTCCTGTTCAGTTAGTCTCACCAGAGGCTTTCTGGTGATTTCTCTGTTTAAATCTGCTTGGTCCTCCACCAAAAGGTGTTTTCAGTTCAGAAGCCCAGGTATTCAGCCAGAAACACAGCCACGATCTTAGTGAGGTTTTCCACAGTTGGACGGTGCATGTTCTCCTCGGTGTCGTCCATTTTATGCCAGAACTGAGGGAAGGGAGTGGCAATGATGTGTACAACAGGGACACCTGTAAGGAAAAAAACAACAACAAAGGGATCAGATGCGTTTTAAGGGGCTGGCATTAAAATCTTGTCGCTCACCTTTGTGGAGGAAGGGAATGTGGTCATCTTGCACAGGTCCGAGGTAGACATCTTTTCTAAAGTACGCCTGCTCTGAGGGGTGAGACGACAGGAGACCCTGCCGATGGAGCCTCTTCTCTGAGAGGAGGGAGAAGAGATTGGACACAACAGGAAGGAATTCAAAGATTCTCCATAAACTTACAGCCAGGGCCTACCTGCAGCTATCAGGCGGTCAAACCACCGCGCCGTGTTATCGAAGTGATTTGCAATCAGTGGATCTGGACCACCGAGCAGATCCAGCAGAACAAAGAGGTCCTAAAAGGGAGAAAACGTAAAGCCAGAATTAGGTATTTGAAGTCTGTGTGGAGCAAAACTATTATATAGAGCAAAATGTAAACAAATATTTTATTCAGCATCACTTCTGGAAAAGGTTTTTAAAAAGAACATTTATTTAGTTAGCTCCATTTGTTTTTTTAAATATAAATTTGGACATTTTTTTAAACTTATTTTCTCAGCAGTTGTTTGATCGTATCAACGTTTTCAGGATCATCCAGATTATTTCTAACAGGTTACTCAGAGAATAATTGCTTATTATTGTTTTGTTTATCTACTAGTGAGAAATGTTTGATTTCATCACCAAAATGAGACCAGTTTAGTCTGTAGTTAAGGTAATTACTACACATTTACTGTTCAGAAGAGCTCATGTTAACATTATTTATTTGTGATGTAACTGTAGAACGCGGCTGGTTCTGGTCGCAGCGTCCTCACCACGGCCTGGATCATGGTGGCGTGAGTGGAGGCTGCAGCGAGAGGCGTGTTAGCCATGAGCTCAGCCAGGTGGCGAGAGCCGTACAGCGAGTCTGTGGTGGTCCATTCTTCAAACGACTCCTCACCATCAAAAAACACAAGCTGTAGGGTGACTGGGAGTTTCTAGAAAGAAAAGAAATGGAAGATTTATCTTCATCAAATATCTTCTATTTCAACTAGGTCCTCTCATCTTCTGTAAGCAGCAGCGTCTGAGGTGAGTTTTGGTCTGTCTGCAGCACTGTTGCAGCAGCTCCTTCCTGTAAAGCACAGCCTCTGGAGAGAGCTAGTGTTATACAAATGACTGCTGCAGTCATACAGGGGACTCAGCATTTTCTACCCACACTGCAGCCTTGGCGGCACAGCGATGAACAGGAGAATAAAGGGGGGGGGCTGAAACACATCAGCATCTTACATCTTTACTGTTCAGAAGGCAGAAAAACAAAAATTGAGAAACAATCAAATTCTGCTCAAGCTGCAGCCCTGACCAGAAACGCCTACCTGCTGTTTGAATGACCTGAGCTGAGCATCCAGAGAGGTGGCCAGCTCCAGGATCATAGCACAGGGCACTGCAGAGTCACTGGCCCCCACAAACACCCTCTCTGGAGCCAGCGGGTCTGGAGGCAGGGCCTTGGAGTCATAGTGGCATGCCAGGAGGAGCCTCCGCCGAGCCGCCGGGTCCAGAGTGGCAATGATGTTAGTAAAGGTGACCTGACCGCGAGGCGTCGGAGACTGGAAGGAGTCCAGGTCTATGGACCAGCCAGCAGACAGCGATGTTAGGGTGGAGGTGATGTGCTGAAGGAGAGCAGACAGTTAAAGATCAGGAGTTTAAAATGTGTGTGTGTTTAAATAATTGTAAACACACCTGCTGTACAGCAAGGCTGCCTTTTGTTCCTGGAAGCCTTTCTATCAGGATTGGGCGCAGGTAGGACTCCCACAGGCGAGTGCCATCCACCTGAGAGGCCAGACGGCGGATCTGAGCTGGAGAGACCTTACTGGGTTTGTGGGACCACTGAGGAGGAAAAAAAGTCACCTGGAAATTAAAGAGCAGGAATGGAAGCAGCGATGTTTGTAAAACAGATTAAATGAGAGCGAAATCTCCCAGCAACATGTACAAACATAAGTGTGACGTTTTGTTTAGTTATGGAAAAACTTCAATGTGATCAGGACTATTTTTATATGGAACAAACATTTGTATTTACTTAACCCCAATAAAATATTTCAAAGGAATCAGATTTTTTTTTTAGAGTGGGATGTCCGGTAATCGGAAGGTTGCAGGTTCAATCCTGGCTCCGACCAGAGAATGCTGCTATTGTGTTGTTGGGCAAGACACCAAACCCGCCTTGCCTGCTGGTGCTCTGTCAGTGCGCCTCAAGGCAGCTGTGGCTACATGAATGAATGGGTGCATGACTGTGTAGTGAAGCGTCTTGGGGGGTTGTAGAAGGCGCTATACAAATACAGCCACTTCCTGGGATTTGGAATTTGATTCAAAACAAAGCCGTCTTCACCCCAGACTGAAAACAAAATAGAGGGGAAAAACTGCACCAGGAAACACGATCTGACCTGTGCGGCTACTGACAGTATCCGATTAAAAAAGAAGGACGCACCCCACAGGTATCGTCTATATTCATAAAAAAGTTGATCACATACTATAAAGCAGAAACACGGGGCAAACTCAGATTAGAATGATTTAATGTTGTACTAAAAGAATGTGAATAAGATTATGTTAGTGTGCAAACTGAATTAAAGATTTATGGTGAATAATCACAGAACCTAAACTAAACCTAAACCTGTCATTAAAAAAAACTGGTGAGTCAGAGGAAGAAATTAAGGTTGCTTTAGATTATTTTGATCCAGCACTTTTCAAAACTATTCAAACACTCGTTCATGGAGTGGAAAATAAAGAAATGTTTAAAATGCAAAGGACAATAAAGATTTTGGGTCATTTTTAAGTGTTTTCCATTAATAAATATAACATTTATGAGAGATAAATGGTAAAACTCAATTAACAACGGGATATAATGTTTATTGTTGCTAGCTTTACCTTTTCTTTAGTCAGATCTGCAGCTGGCATGCGGTTCACCTGCGTCCCCGCGGTGTCGTTGGACAGGTAAACACCGAGCACCACCGCCAGCACCAGGACACCGAGAAGACACAGCAGCAGCACGCGGGCTCGGGGCATCCGCACCCGGTCACAGGCGGGGAACGAGCCGCCCCCGTTGCTCTGCTGCAGAGGCTTGTACCTCCGACTGGACCTCGACATGGCCGCGTCCTTCTGCAGTCCTGGATGCAGCTACGTGTCCAACAGACTTGTGGTGAAATGTAGGAGGGAAAGTCACACAGGAAGCAGAACCGAGGAGCACACGGTGACATCTGCTTCAATGTATCGATCCATCTTCAGCTCCTGAAGCTGTCAGCTGTCCGAAAGCTCCACGCGTCCAGTGCAGCAGTTTTCTGAAGACATGGCTTCATTTATATTTTGTTAAATGCGTGACGTAATATAAGTCATAATAAACACGATCTGGTTTAATGTCAGCAGCTCGTTGACAATATATCCACAGAAACTCCTCGATGTTTTATTAATTCTGGTGAAGAAATATCAAATTACCCCAAATGACCACAGTCCTACCCAGACGACTCATCCAAGCTGTTTTGTTCTACTCTCATGACGCCTCACTATCAAATGACACTTCTTCTTGGTGTTTATTGGCAGACAACTAATCGGTTCATTAGCGCCACCAACTGGTATGGAGTGGGAACCGGACGAGACCCAGCATCCTGTGATGGGACTAATAAAATCAAGAGATGACAAATGAAGTAATATTTAGGTCAATTTAACCCTTTACATGTGACCAGGACACTGTAATCAATTTTTGGCAAGGGAAAGTATCATTTTTTGCCATTTTTTGGGGTGTTTATGAATGTGGAAGAGACCCAGCATCCTGTGGTGACTAATAACATCAAGAGATAATAAATAAAGTAATATTTAGGTCAATTTAACTCTTTACAGGTGACCAGGACACTGTAATCAATTTTTGGCAAGGGAAATTATCTTCTTTTTTTTGTTGCCATTTTTGGGGTGTTTATGATGATACAGTAGACAGTATGAGTACAATAACATCAACAGATAATACATGAAACCCTTATTTGGCCAATTTTAGCCTCCATGAAAAACTGAGCGATTCAATCACTTTTTGGCAAAATGCCATTTTTGTTGTCTACAATTAAATCATCAATAAATAATTTAAAGATATTTTTAGGCATTTCTAGGTAAACAGGAGGGTGTAGTCACCATTTGGCAAGTGACAATCTTAATTTTATGTGATGAAGTGCTTTTATCTTGTTACTTTTAAATAGAGCAAAGTAATGCATAGATAGTAACCTACACAATGTCATTGTAAAGTCAAAGCTTGATCAGTTTAAATACTATTTTTCAAGTAAAAATGTGCCCCAAACTAGTTAACTGTGGCTCCATGTCAAGTGGACTAAAGAAAGGAAGGGGAAAAAAATCAAATTGCTGGAGAATTGTTTATTTCCATTTATACAAAGTTTGACTTTACATTCAATACAGGGCGCCATTTTACACTATTTATTTTTTAGTATCAAGGCTGTAACATAAAGAAAGTCAGTTCTTACCACAAACCATCTTTCAATCGCAAATATTGCAAAAAGGATTAATATATCCTCAATGTGAACGTTTAAGACAAATAGCAACACTTAAAACAACTTCTGAACTGGAAAAAACTAATATCCGCAATAAACATCTGTTTAAATACCGGAAGAGGTTATCTCTGCTTTCTCAAAGTCCATATTGCTAGATATGTCGAGTTTTAAGGCGAAATCCCGGGGAATTTCGTCTAGAAATGCAATTACCCTAACCGTGCGCGATCCCGCAGTGGCTAATCATTTTGTGGCAGCCAGCCGCTTTTAGGCACAACACCGGAAATAGTAACTGCCCTTAAAAATGCCTGGATACAAATTATTTAGTTTTTTTTTTTGTATTTTATCAAAGCCAATTAGTTTATGAAGAAAATAATAGTTTTTCAAGTTTAATTTAATTTATTCAATTGTTCTTTGAAAAAAAAAAACCCCGCCATGTGGCATGTCAATTTTATGATATCTCCATTCCAAAATCATGACAAGAATAATTATGACTTGATATGATAATTATACATCATTATGACTGCAATGTTAAAATTGTGAATTTGAAAGTCATTATAAAGATGGTCTAACTTGAAGCATCATTATTTTGAGTTTCAAACTCATAATCCATCCATTCATTGTCTTTTGCTTATCCAAGATGGAGTTGCAGGTATAGAGGGAAACTGTCCCCTGGGGCTGACGTGGGATCTTCTCTTCCCATTTAAAAAGTGGCTTCAGGAAATGGAGTCAAACTAAGAGTTATTCAAAGGCCTTGATAGATGAAAACCACAAAAAACAGGTGACCTCACCTGGAAATGGGAGACTGGAGCCTGCTCCTGAAGCTAGACCTGGGAGGGGAGCTCATCAGTGAGCACCTGAAGCGCCTCCTCTGTGGGCCTAATACCTGCGAGGAGTAGAGTCAAGCTCAGGTGCAGAGCAAGCAGGGTTTGCATGTGAGGATCGAATAAACCTGGGTGTGCAGGTCCCCAGCATTATCAGTCTTCAGTTCCAATGAAAGTCACAATGGTATTACTTTTAAACAAATTATTAACTTTAAAAGTCACACTCATGACATTCAAACTCATAATTGTGACATTACATTTCTGAAAAATGACTGAAAGTTAGAAAAAGTGTCTTAAACTCATAATTGTGAGTGAAATTCTTAATGCTGACAAACCGTGTGACTACACTATTGGATGTCACTTTAGCTGTGACATAATAAAATATGTCAAGCCTTCTCTTACCTGTGATGAGTTGTCATTACAGTCATATTTAAACACAAATTATAATTATAATTACCAATAATTATTTAAGTGAAATAATTTATAAAGAGTACAAATAAAAACCTATCTATCTATTTTAGTGAAATAATTTATAAAGAGTACAAATAAAAATCTATCTATCTATCTATCTATCTATCTATCTATCTATCTATCTATCTATCTATCTATCTATCTATCTATCTATCTATCTATCTATCTCTATATCTATATCTATCTCTATCTATCTATCTATCTATCTATCTATCTATCTATCTATCTATCTATCTATCTATCTATCTATCTCTATATCTATCTATCTCTATCTATCTATCATCTATCTATCTATCTATCTATCTATCTATCTATCTATCTATCTATCTATCTATCTATCTATCTATCTATCTATCTATCTATCTATCTATCTATCTATCTATCTATCTATCTATCTATCTCGTGACCCTTTCAGCCACCGTCAGTTCAAAAAAACAAACAAAACCTGTTGGATGACCTACTTTGTTTTCAGCCCGCCAGATGCAAAGGATAGGAAGCAACGTAAATACGTCACTTCCTTCTACTTCGTTATTCCTACCTCTACTGTGATTAGTTGTTTTACATGCCACTCTGTGCGTTCTTGCTGCTGATTGGTTAATACTCATTCTCTACATTTTCCCCGGTGTGTAACGTCTTCCGTACAAAAAGAGCGTTAGCGGGTTTTTTAGGCTTCATTCGCGGTTCGTCCTGCGTGTGAGTCTAGGTTCTGTGCTTCTCTGCACATTTTGAAGCTGTGGGGAGGTTTACCGTGCGTTTTCTGTTACCTCGGCTGACCAGTAACACCAATTCAACATGATGCACGTTATCAAACGAGGTGAGTTACTAGCAAGAGCATTACAATTATATTCTAGCACGCTGTTCACTTTCTACTTTTGGGTTTTCCAGAATAATAAAACAGCGGCTCTAATTTTACTTCTCTGATTAGGGAATTTGTTTCAAAACTGAACCTTTAATTTCTCTACGTTAGCCATTAAACCTGAACCTGGTCACCTTCAGAGAATCGACTGCCCATCCAACTGCGTTGTTTAGCTAACTTTTAACATGTGGACTCTTTAGTAATATTGCGTATAAGTCCGTCAGAAGCACATTTGGCAGGAAAAAACGTCGTTTTTAAGCCATCGTCTGTTTACTCCAGACTCAGAATTGAGTCTTTGTTACAGATGGCGCCAAAATCAGTGTAACAGGCCCACACGAATCCCTGATCCAGTCAACGTCCTCATCTCTAAAGTGTCTTTATCGTTAAGTGGTAAATTATTATTATTAATAAGACATAGTTCCGGTGTTTCATTGTGGTTAGCTGGGAAAATAAATACCTAACAACATTTGATTTATTTTGTTATGTTGAATCACACTGTGTTGATACTTTATTTTAATGGAGAAGAAGATATACAATCTCTCATTGGGTTTATAAAAGAAGGTTCGTTAAAAAATTAAAACCCCTCAAGATTTAATGTACTTTGTGTGTTAGATGGGTTTCCTCCTCCCTGGGTGAAGAGCTGCAGGTTAATTAGTAATGCAGCAACTACTGCAGGCAAACGCTTGTCCACATATTCCCAGCAGGTGGTGCAAAACTACATTTATTGTGAATTAAATGAAAAGTCTGCTCACACCTTCTAAAAGCAACATCAGTGAGATATATATTTGTATTTTTTTTCAGATGGACGCCATGAGCGAGTCATGTTTGATAAAATCACCTCTCGCATCCAGAAGCTTTGCTACGGTCTAAATTCAGATTTCGTGGATCCAGCTCAAATCACAATGAAGGTGATCCAGGGTTTGTACAGCGGTGTCACCACTGTGGAGCTTGACACGCTGGCAGCCGAAATTGCTGCCACACTGACAACTAAACACCCCGACTATGCCATTCTCGCCGCAAGGATCGCTGTCTCAAACCTCCACAAAGAGACGAAAAAAGTGTTTAGTGAAGTGATGGAAGACCTGTACAACTACATCAATCCTCTGAACAAGCAGCACTCCCCCATGATCTCAAAAGAGACGCTCAACATTGTTCTGGAGAACAAAGACCGCCTCAATTCGGCCATAATTTACGACAGAGATTTCTCTTACAACTTCTTCGGCTTCAAAACCCTGGAGCGCTCCTATCTGCTGAAGATCAATGGAAAAGTGGCCGAGCGTCCGCAGCACATGCTCATGAGGGTGTCTGTTGGGATCCATGAGAGAGACATCGATGCAGCCATTGAGACGTACAACCTGCTGTCAGAGAAGTGGTTCACCCACGCCTCACCAACCCTCTTCAACGCAGGAACCAACCGGCCACAGCTGTCCAGCTGCTTCCTCCTCGCCATGAAAGACGACAGCATCGAAGGCATTTATGACACTCTTAAGCAGTGTGCCCTCATTTCCAAATCCGCCGGAGGCATTGGCGTGGCGGTCAGCTGTATCAGATCAACCGGGAGCTACATCGCTGGTACCAATGGTAACTCCAACGGGCTGGTGCCCATGTTGAGAGTTTACAACAATACTGCTCGCTATGTTGATCAGGGGGGGAACAAAAGACCTGGAGCCTTTGCCATGTACCTGGAGCCATGGCACTTTGATGTGTTTGACTTCCTGGAGCTGAAGAAGAACACAGGAAAGGAGGAGCAGAGAGCCAGAGACCTCTTCTATGCCCTGTGGATTCCAGATCTGTTCATGAAGAGAGTGGAGAGTAACCAAAACTGGTCCCTAATGTGTCCCAACGAGTGTCCTGGGCTGGACGAGTGCTGGGGGGAGGAGTTTGAAAAACTGTACACTAAATATGAAAACGAGGGGAGGGTGAAGCGTGTGGTGAAGGCTCAGCAGCTCTGGTATGCCATTATTGAGTCCCAGACAGAAACGGGAACGCCATACATGCTGTACAAAGATGCATGTAACAGGAAGAGTAACCAGCAGAATCTGGGCACCATCAAATGCAGCAACCTGTGCACCGAAGTTGTTGAGTACACCAGCAAAGACGAGGTGGCGGTGTGTAACCTTGCCTCCATTGCTCTCAACATGTACGTCACACCAGAACGGACTTTTGACTTCAAGAAGCTGGCATCTGTGACCAAAGTTATTGTCAAAAACCTCAACAAGGTCATTGAAATCAACTACTACCCAGTTCCTGAAGCTGAGAAGTCCAACAAGCGCCACAGGCCAATAGGAATTGGAGTTCAAGGTTTGGCAGATGCCTTCATCCTGATGCGTTATCCCTTCGAAAGCCCAGAGGCTCAGTTGCTAAACATCCAGATTTTTGAGACCATCTACTACGCTGCTCTGGAGGCGAGCTGCGAGCTAGCTGCCGAGTTCGGACCGTACGAGACCTACGAAGGTTCCCCTGTCAGCAAGGGCATCCTGCAATACGACATGTGGGACAAGACGCCTACAGACCTGTGGGACTGGAAGCTGCTGAAAGAGAAGATCGCTAAACATGGCGTGAGAAATAGCCTGCTGCTCGCCCCGATGCCCACAGCGTCCACCGCCCAGATCCTGGGTAACAACGAGTCCATCGAAGCCTACACCAGCAACATCTACACTCGCAGGGTCCTCTCTGGAGAGTTCCAGATTGTTAATCCTCACCTGCTCAAAGACCTGACGGAGAAGGGGCTGTGGAGCGAGGAGATGAAGAACAGTCTGATCGCCAACAACGGATCTGTTCAAGTAACTTGACATTTCCAGATCCACTTAACACGTTTTTCTTGTAAAATGATCAATAATAGGAACTTTTTCATTTTGACAGGACATCGGTGAGATTCCAGATGATTTGAAGCAGCTGTATAAAACTGTTTGGGAAATCTCCCAGAAGACTGTATTAAAGATGGCTGCCGACCGTGGTGCCTACATAGACCAGAGCCAGTCGCTGAACATCCACATCGCAGAGCCAAACTATGGAAAACTATCCAGCATGCACTTCTACGGTTGGAAACAGGTGCGCTAACGTCTGCGAGACAAAGATACAGTGGGGCAAAAAAGTATTTAGTCAGCCACCGATTGTGCAAGTTCTCCCACTTAAAATGATGACAGAGGTTAGGGCTGCTCGATTATGGCAAAAATAATCACGATTATGGTGACTGAAATTGAGATCATGATTATTTAGGACGATTTTTCTATTTATGTTGATTTTATTTGTTTTTATTCAGTCATAAAATTGCTCAGGGCACAATCAGGACAAAAAATAAATAAGAAACAAGATGATCACTAAAATAACTCCTGATTCCCAGTATAAAAAGACCAATATACTTACAGCCCATAGTTTATGACCCAAGAGCTATAGACCTTGGTTTAACTCATGTAAGTCTAACGAGTACAGAACCAAATACCAATATCTTGTAAATACTGACAGCAAGAATTATACAGTGGCATTTATAACAAATAAATGCAAATAAATTGATGTTCACAAAATGTTGCATAACATTTATTGAGTCGTGTCAAGGTGCTGTAGGAGCGTGCACTAGCACCGTGTCCTCAGAGAGGTTGGTTATTATTTATCAGCGTGAGGAACTTATTTCTACCTTATTTATAAACTATTTATTTACAGGTCCAACAGTTAATGTAATAATTGTCCCAACCACAGCTGCACCCCCCACCCCGGTCTCACAGCAATCGGGGCAAGCTGCACGTGCACATTTAGCCGTTTTTAGCGGCTCAGGAGCCCGCAGGTGCGGTGTGTGTGTCACTCACTCTGGTTACTCCAACATGGAGCCGGTTCCGAGAGCTGTTTCTTTAGCGACCGACACATCACTACATCATTCCCTTTCCTAATGTTGTGAAGAACGGTCCGGAGCGCAGGCGGAGTGTTTAGCTAACCTGCAGGAAATGTCGACAGTTATCCAGAAAGTAGCTAAGGGTTACCAGAGATGTTTCTGAGGTGTTCGCTAGGTACTTTTAAGATTTAAAAAGTCAAGAAGGGGGTCTGAAAAGCTGTTGGAAATAGCGTCGAAGTCGCCAAGTTGGCAACACTGTGGAGGAGCGCTTCATTTGCAACTCAGGGCAGCGCAAGTGGGAGGAGCAAATAATCGGCTTGTTTTGTTTTTTATAATCGTTCAAAACTCAGATCGTAATCGTGACTAAAATTCGATTAATTGAGCAGCCCTAACAGAGGTCAGTAATTTACATCATAGGTACACTTCAACTGTGATAGACAGAATGTGAAAAAAATCCCTGAATTCACATGGCAGGATTTTTAAAGAATTTATTTGTAAATCAGGGTGGAAAATAAGTATTTGGTCACTTCAAACAAGGAAAATCTCTGGCTCTCACAGACCTATATCATCTTCTTTAAGAAGCTTTTCTGTCCTCCACTTGTTACCTGTATTAATGGCACCTGTTTGAACTCATTATCTGTATAAAAGACACCTGTCCACAGCCTCAAACAGTCAGACTCCAAACTCCACTATGGCCAAGACCAAAGAGCTTTCGAAGGACACCAGGAAAAGAATTGTAGACCTGCACCAGACTGGGAAGAGTGAATCTACAATAGGCAAGCAGCTTGGTGTGAAAAAATCAACTGTGGGAGCAATTATCAGAAAATGGAAGACATACAAGACCACTGATAATCTCCCTCGATCTGGGGCTCCATGCAAGATCTCATCCCGTGGAGTCAAAATGATCATGAGAACGGTGAGCAAGAATCCCAGAACCACACAGGGGGACCTGGTGAACGACCTGATGAGAGCTGGGACCACAGTAACAAAGGTCACCATCAGTAACACACTACAAAACCAGGGAATCAAATCCTGCAGTGCCAGACGTGTTCCGCTGCTGAAGCCAGTGCATGTCCAGGCCCATCTGAAGTTTGCCAGAGAGCACATGGATGATACAGCAGAGGATTGGGAGAATGTCATGTGGTCAGATGAAACCAAAGTAGAACTTTTTGGGATAAACTCAACTCGTCGTGTTTGGAGGAAGAAGAATACGGAGTTGCATCCCAAGAACACCATATCTACTGTGAAGCATGGGGGTGGGAACATCATGCTTTGGGGATGTTTTTCTGCTAAGGGGACAGGACGACTGATCCGTGTTAAGGACAGAATGAATGGGGCCATGTATCGTGAGATTCTGAGCCAAAACCTCCTTCCATCAGTGAGAGCTTTGAAGATGAAACGTGGCTGGGTCTTCCAACATGACAATGATCCCAAACACACCGCCCGGGCAACAAAGGAGTGGCTCCATAAGAAGCATTTGAAAGTCCTGGAGTGGCCTAGCCAGTCTCCAGACCTCAATCCCATAGAAAATCTGTGGAGGGAGTTAAAAGTCCGTGTTGCTCGGCGACAGCCCCAAAACATCACTGCTCTTGAGAAGATCTGCATGGAGGAATGGGCCAAAATACCAGCTGCTGTGTGTGCAAACCTGGTAAAGACCTATAGTAATTGTTTGACCTCTGTTATTGCCAACTAAGGTTATGTTACAAAGGATTGAGTTGCATTTTTGTTATTGACCAAATACTTATTTTCCACCCTGATTTACAAATAAATTCTTTAAAAATCCTGTCATGTGAATTCATGGATTTTTTTTTTCTCATTCTGTCTCTCACAGTTGAAGTGTACCTATGATGTAAATTACTGACCTCTGTCATCATTTTAAGTGGGAGAACTTGCACAATCGGTGGCTGACTAAATACTTTTTTGCCCCACTGTAAACTGTTGAATAGAAATGCTGAATTAATTATTTTTTTCCTCTTCTTCACAGGGATTAAAGACGGGAATGTATTACCTAAGGACGAAGCCCGCCGCCAACCCCATCCAGTTCACCCTGAACAAGGAGAAGCTGAAGGAGGTGCCGGAGAGCAAGGCCTCAGAGGAGGAGGTCAAGGAGAGGAACAAAGCAGCCATGGTGTGTTCTCTGGAGAACCGAGACGAGTGTCTTGCCTGTGGATCGTAGACTTTATATAAACCCACTTCAGCTCGGAAATGTGCCCGATGACATAAAGGCTCCAGATGGCAATTAATACATTTTCACTGTGTGCATTTGTAATGTACAGAGCAAAGTTTATTTTTATTCACTGTTTTGTATTTTATGTTGGAAAATAAAACTTGAACCTATCAAAACCTCTTGGAAATTGGCTTCATTTAAATATTTGTTAACATTTTTTTCTAAAACCAAAGTTTTAAGAGCTAAAGATTATTCTCATTCACTAATATCTGAATTATTAAATCGTCACCCAAATGTGCACTTAGATTAAAATGGCTACGTAAAACTGATCATTTAAATAACCTTGAACATGTTTTTCAACCTTGGTAATATCTTTACCATTTGTACAATTTTAGCTTTTTTAGCTAATTTAATTTTCATTCCCTGAATATTCTAAAACATTTTATGGATTCTAATCAAATAGAAATACAAGCTTTGGTTGCAAATGTTTAAAATATTTACCAAGTATTCTAACATGGATTTCCTTTTGTATTTTTGCAAAAACCAATAAAAAGTTAAAACCTCCATATTTTCCATCCATAAGCAGGTATTTTGTATAATTTTAACACATTTCTAATTCACAAATACACACGAAACAAGTCAATGTTCATAGTTATTTTAATATATTTTTTTATAAAATAATGAAAACATAATTTACACTTAAATGTACAAGTCATTAAAACCCAAAGAAAACAGAAATGTCTGGTTTGCTGAACATTCTTCGGCCAACAGCAGAGAGAACCGGACAAGGAATCAAAGATGAAACGGCAATATAAACACACACAGTACCTTCTTATCTTTATATGTTCTGCAACAATGTGTTAAAAAATAAATTATAAAAAATATTCAACATAAAAAAGCTATCATACAGTTAGCAATAAAGAATTAGTGACTTGTTCAAATAGCTTAAAATTACACAGATTGTTTATGTTCATAAAAAGAAAGCTCACCCCTTTTACGAAAGCAAATGAAAGATTAAGACTAAATAAAACCACCAGCTGAAGATGGAGTTCTTTACTAAACACCTGTTGCTGAGAGGTCTGAACGCTCCTACCCTCGAGTACAGTGGACCAGAGACACGAGGAAATTAAAGCTGATGTTATAAAAATACGAGCAGTTTCTTGTCCAGTTAGAAGCCATAATAAACTACTTGTTCCTACTTGTGCGAGAGGGATGGGTTTCAGAAAATCAACAGTACAAATTCAAAAACAGCTCATCACAGCATTTAGTTAGTTCATGGAAAGTAACTGTTGAACCGTCAAAAATCCTGTTTCTGGCCCAAGTGGCAGATTCTCCACATCAGTCAGTTCAAACATCGTCTTCTTTTTAAAAAGTCCCGTTAACCACAAATATTAAAGGGATGCCTAAACCTGTACAAGCAGCAGCACAAACCCTCCGACGGCGACGATGTTGGGTGATTAACAGCATCTTAAGGAACCTGAGTAAGCTGGAAAGTCTGATCTGCTTTTAGATCTGGAATCCTGCTGATGTCCATCTGAATACAAAACCACATTTTTTTGTATTTATCTGAAACATTTCAGATTTATCTACTACTGGAAACAACTGTCCATAAAGTACCAGGATCCAAACAAAGACACATTTCTGTAGGAAAATAGATATGGTAGACAATATTACCATTAGGGAAGCCATTTGTTGTGTTCATTTGGGTTCATTACAAGGTTTAGGGATGGACACACACACACACACACACACACACACACACACACACACACACACACACACACACACACACACACACACACACACACACACACACACACACACACACACACACACACACACACACACACGTCCTGAAGAAGATTCAGTGTTCAGTAAATTTCATGTGCAGTTAAAGTTTCCAGTCAAACATATTTATGCCAGAAGCTTCATTTAGATTAAAACCACAGGACTAGTTAGACATTGTGATGGATTATGTTTAACCTTCTGTTGAGTTTAAGTTTGATGGAGCTATTGGCTCAAACTTTCAGTATGAATTTGGTTTTTAGGTTTAATTCTGACAGATTGAAAATAGCAACATTAATTTTAAAAAGGATGTTCAAGTCGATATTAGTGTTAAAGTGAAAAGGCACCCACTTTCCTTTCAAACGTGTCAATAATTTACAGTACTGATTATCATGATTAACTTGTATGTAAAAGTCTTTTCATCTGTTTGAGACACCGTGAATAATGGTGTTCTCCTTTTACACAGAGAGGAAGCATAACACTTTAAATGTCACAACTATTCTTTAAAACACAAAAATAACTCAGGATAAAAGTAGTGATCCATTATGCTTATATCTGAGATGACAGGGCACTGCTAAAAACTGGGAAATTCAAGTCAAAACACTACAGACAATAAAAGATATGATGCTGATGTTTCACGCTCTGATCAGTGAGGTGAGGAGGGTCGCGGTTCGTCCGTGACAAGAGGACAGAAGAGAATCATGGTCCAAAAGTCTCATCTTACAGCAAACAGGTCTGTTCATCACTCACTTGTCCACACACACACACACACACACACACACACACACACACACACACACACACACACACACACACACAATTAAATTCTTCTTGCCTCAAACACTGTTGTGCAGGAATGCTTCTGAGTTTTGTACCGTCACACATCTCTCCTTCCTTCAGTACAACGTTGATAATGTGGCTGCATGAGAATTGGACCACACAGGCACCTGTCCACAGCACTGTAGACCTTCCAACCCAGTGTGGTGCATTCTGGGAAATGCAGTCTAGTTTATTTTGGTCTGATTTGCTGCAGAAACAGTATTAGGCCTCTCCAGGTGATGTGTTGTCTTAAACAGTCGGGCTCTCCTCTCCTCGCCACTCTTCTGGCATAGTAATGTATTTATATGCATCGTAACAGTGAGACGTCTTCACTTCAGTTTAGAAAAATAAACGGGGCTCATTGAACAGACGAGGGGCAGAAGGGTGTTGTTTTAGAAATCCAGATTGTTGTTTCTGCTTATTTTATTCCTCATCAGTTCTGGATTAGGGCAGTTCAGTGTGAGCTGAGGGGTTGACATCGCTGTGTCCTATGCCACACCTGCAAGTGCAAAGAATCATGGATCTATTGTAGTTCTCACGAGCCCAAGTTTCATAGTCTGCAGCAGCTGTCCATCACTCTCTCTTTGAGTTGCTGTCGTGAGTAAGGGTGCGAGCCTCGTGGTCACTTTCCGATTTGTTGAGGTTGGTGATGAGCTTGCTGAACTGGCGCAGCTGCTGGCTGGCAGTCTGACTCTCCTCCTGCAGCCGCTGGTTGTTCTCTCGCAGGTTCGCCATTTCTGCTAGCAGGACGACTTTATCCTGCTTCTCCTGAGGAGAGAAACAAACAAAATGAGAAAACACGACAAAAATTAACGGCAACAAGTTGAGTGCGTCCTTCCCGCTGATCATGTAAAAATGCTTCCATGTTCTTGGTTAAAAATTATCGCTGAATTTTATACATGAAAAATAAAATCACCTTCTCTAGGTCATTGTTCAGCTGTTTTAACATCATCTCTAGGTGGTGAAGCCGACCCGACAAATCGTTGGGAACCTCATCACTGTAAACCAAGAAGATTCAAATACTATAAACACTCAGCTGCCAAAACCCCCCAATTATTCGGGAAACAAACATTCCACTAGGGTTTTAAAACCTCCTGAAAAGTTCCCAGTAACACCTGATCGTGTTAGCAGCTGGAGCAGAGGCACACCTACCCACTGAACGTTGGTGTAGTTCGTGGCGTCTGAGGAGTCTGAAACTGGACCGGACTGTTGGCTGGTCTCGTCTCTGGACCTCCAAGTTGCGGCTCAGAAACGGCTCTTTGTGCTGCAGCAAAGACATGTGATTATTTATTATTTAATATTTTTACTGTTCGTAACACAAACTGGATGCTCTGCACAGGTGGAGAGCAGAGCCAAGAAAAGAAACATTTGGGTGATGAATGTCCTCTTTCTCCTTCAGTAGTGTTGGGTAAATGTATCACGTGTTATTTTTATATCCGATTTTGGGTTTGTCCCTTCACCCACCTTCGTAGGCTTTAGCAGCATTGACCAGGCTGGACCACTCAAGTCCACAGGCCGTGTCAGGGAGAGGCATCAGTCCAGGATCGAGCCTCCTCAGTGGTGGGACTTTGTCTCTTATCTCAGTAAGGGACAACTCTGATGCAGAGAGTGGCACTGAAGGCAGAAAGAAGGGGATAAGCAGCATGTAGGATGCAACATTCAGAAGTATTCCTAATCCATCAGCTCTAACACTCACTCTTCTTGCTCTGCATGTGGTTGGAGGAGCTTGAGTGTTTACGGGTGGGCAGCGTGCAGGTGAACAGCACATCTGTGGGGTTCATCTGGTTCTCGGAGCAGGCGAAGCTAGCGTCTCTACGCCCGCTGCACAGGGACTCGTCTGAAAAGGTGCGTTGCAGGTTGTGTCTGGGAGACTACAAGGACAAACATCACAGGTCAGAGCTGTGTTCATGACAACAAAACTGCTGTCAAACACGAGAGGCTCCACACCAGATCAGTCTGTGACATCTCTCCGGGGCCGTCCATGATGATTAGTTTCTTTAGGTCGTCTTCGATGGTGCTCTTGTACGTCCGACGGGGAGAACGCAGGTCCCTCAGTGATGCTCGGAGTCGAGGTTGCCCAAACACGTTCTTTGAGTTTGTATCCACATGCCTGGTGAGATGAGAGATCAGCTGATTTTTAGTATTTCAGAAGCCGCGTCTTTTCCTAAATGAGACTTTGTTAAACGGGGACTCCGTTACTTCTTGCTGTGGCTGCTGTCAGAACTGGATGTTGAAGTTGTGTTAGAAAGCGACGAGGTGTTGCCCTCTTCCGTCTGTTTTGCAGTCGATTTGCTCTTCCCATAAAAGGCCTTGAGGGCGGAGCTGGATAAAGGAGTGGAGCTCATCTGAGCTGAAGTGGGTGTGGCCGTAGATGCTCGGACAGGCCGTGCTTTCTCTCCTGATGGAGTCTTGTAACCCTGTGGTGTGTAGGTCCTTAAAGAAACAGATTGATGCATGACGAATCAAACACAATCCACATTTCAACCACAAACATGCAGCGGGTAACATTTTAACTTTCAAACAAGCAGCAGTAAATAGTCTGTCCCTCATCAGGTCTTAAATTAGACAAATTCAGCCTTAAATAAACAGAAAAACAGGAGAGTTTACACCGACTCTCTGCTGTGAAATTGTTATGATGATGCTGTCCACTGGTGCTCAGATCCCCACTGACAGACGGCAGCATTAAAGCTGGTGACACAGAGGTTTTAAACACAGATTGTTTTAATCCAGTATCAAGTGTGTTTGCGTTTTAAATGACTGCAGGAATTTACCATGGTAATCTGTATGTTTATCAGGGATTGTGCAGCAATAAGGCTTTTATATAGAAAAACACCTAAAAATGCACAATTTATCACTTTAATACTTACAAAATTGTTAGTAATTACAAGTTTTTTGTAAAATAAAAGCCTCAGACGTGGACTGAATCTGCCCTTCAAAGATGATGAAACAGAAATGTGTCTTATGTTAGCTCTTACCTGGGTTTGAAAGGATCTATCTTCTCCACGCTGGAGCCAGGAAGTGGGAAAGTCTTAGTCAGGTACCCTTTGGTCTGACTGTCAGCAGCTGGAAGGAGTGGGGAAGATTCTCGTTTCTTAGCCTCTCCTCTACCAATGGTCCTTCCCGTGGACAGCTCCTGGATGCCGCTGTAGGTTGCAGAGCTGTGCGTGGCCTTGTGAAACTGGTTATTGGACATGTTTCCGTGGCGATTGTTGTAGTGATTGGAGGCGTCGATGCCACTGTCACTGGAGCCTCCTTTGTTGAGAAGGTCAGGGTCAGGATCAACTAGGTCAACAAGACCAACACCGCCTCCATCAAACCAGCGCTCGTCACTGTGGCCGCTGGATGCGTTACTGGACAGTGTGTTGCTGCTGGAGTGGCTCGAGTACTGAGTCTCACCCTGCACGGCAAACGAGGACGACAAACAAATGAGACTCAGCCAGGGAGGCAGAAAAGGCTACACATAAATACAACCCTCTAATGATGAGTCTGACCTTCGAGTGTCTGTTTGGAGAGTCTTTCCCCAGGACATCCTGTCTGACTACTCTCCTCTGCACCCCTCCACCAGCTGGTCCTCGGGATGACGATGATGCTGGGACGTGCCAGAGGGGTTCTGGACAGAAACATGGAATCAAATAAATGACACTAAGCGACCATTGCTGGAAAAGAGGATTAAATACTTATAGCACATTTAGACACAGACCTCCGAGTCACATTATATCTCTCACAGTCACAGTCCGATATCGCAGTTCAATCGAACAGACACAGAAATCCTGATCTGGGAGATCCCATCCACCTCTAACCTGGTATATTACCACCATTCAAACACATATGAAAATAATAAAGATCAATGTGAAGCTTGTAGATATATTTGTTCTTCTTTGGTTTGAATACCATCATTTAAGCATTTAGTTCTACACTCTTGAATCTTTATTTAGCACAATGTTCCCCAGCAAGTCAAAATGCGTGTTTTTCTAATTTTTGTACTTTTCTTCTTAATACTGCTATTAATCCTCAAGATAATCTCAGATGAGAGCAAGGCCAGTGAATCAAAATAAAACCAGCAGTGATTCCAAATGCATAAAGATAAAATTAATCAAGCTTCATAGATACTTGACATGCAGGCAGTGGACTGTTTGCTTACTTAAAAATGTTGCGTGACGCATACAACCCGACTTCATTCATTTTATGACGAAGCTAACTGATGCTGAATACCTGTTTTGCAGCGCTCCATGGTGCTCTCCTGGCTGGTGAAGCCAGAGGAAGACTCTCCACTGGAGATGACATCTACGCTGAAATGGGGCTCATTAGTCAGCAGGGGGCGCTGTGCCAGTCCATACCTACAAAGATCATGGGAGATGTTTGTGTCTAATCAACACATTCATGTGAATTTCCAACATAAAATGATTAAAAGATACCACTCAGACAGGAATATTCTTTCCAAATAAGTCATCAACGATCTACACTTTGGATTTAAACGCTGGAGGAGATTTTCAGTTTCTGTTCTGTATCCTGTTGGCCGTTGGAAAACAAAACACGTTTTTCTGGTCGGGTGAGACATCATCAACCTCCTCGCTGTGCGGAAGAGCCACCCACACACACAACAGATCCGTTCTCTGGAAGGCCGTGTGTTTATAAACCTCAAACTGCAGATATTTTTCCTCATCTCCTTTAAACCAGTGCAATCTGCCTCCAGCATAATAAACAGTTGTTAGCAGTAACATTTGACATGTTTAGTCAAGAACCAAAGCGTGACAGAGGAGGTCTCAGAGAACAAAGAGCCCGCATGCACACACCTGTCGGGTGAAGGCTTATAGTGCACAAAGGGTCCTGGTGTCATTCCAGGTGAAGCCATTGTGACGAGGCCGACCAGGCCTGAGGAGGGTGAGGAGAAGCTGGCTGAGGGGTTTCTGTAGGGCAGGACTCTGTCTCCTCCTGCAGGAGACAGGCTGTAGTGGTTCTCTGGGTAGCTCACGGGCCTGGGCCATACAAGGAGGGGAGGGTTAAACAGGATGGTACAAGAAAACAAAATTTAAAAAATGAATTAAGCTAAATAACTCGTCAGATATGGGCAGTGTGACACCTGCTCTTAATAATGTGTGAGTTACAACGCACAAATCACATTAAATACCATCTTTTTGTTTACCTACAAAATCTCTGAAGTCGTTTGGCTATTTCTCCCATGACCAGTTACTATCAACATGTTTCCAGCTGTTGTTTGTTTAAATCTCACAGGAAGAGTTCGTGTAGCTCTAATATGTGAGTGAACCCCGAAGGCATTTATCTAAGCACATCTGTTGTGTTGCATTGAAAACCCCTTTATGCTGAATATTTATATTAATTATTCAGGAAATAGTTTCCTCACACAGTCTTCCTATGATGACATACATCACTGGCACAAATTATCTTATTTTAATGATGAAAACTTTATTAACAACAGATAAGACAAACAGAACTGTACTTTTGACAGAGAGCTACGTACTTAAGAGAGAATATAAACAGTATATCCTACACTTAAAGAAAAGCAGATTAAAGCCAAATTTACACCAAAGGTTAATTTCTACTAGGAACGATAGAATTATAAATATCTGGAATACATATCCAGTCTTCCTAATAAATATTAAAAAGGTGTGCGGCTGTGGGGGAGAAGTTGTTGGAGACATGACGCGAGTGTAAGGAACATCGCCATTCAACAGATATGATAAAGGTTATGTGAAGAAACTAGAAAATAGATAAGTCTCTTTTAATTTAGAAACACAATGTCTTTTATCACGTCTCTACAAAAATGAACAAAAAAATCTTTCAGACTATCCAGAAAAATAACTTAAACTTCTACAAGTTTGTGTAGTTTTTACCTGTCTTTATTCTGAGTTTCATTGTTTTGTTTATCCGGAACAACAAACATCTGAAGGAAAACCACTAGCTGTAGAGAAAATCTGCTGTGTTTAGTCTGATGTGACAATGAGTGTGAGTACCTCTTGGAGGTGTGGTGCTGTGGCTCTCTGTGAGGAACTGACATGATGGATTTGTGTGGGCGATGTACAGGGAGAGGCGCGGGGGCCATGAGGGCCCAGCGCTGCGAGTTGGGAGCATTATTGAACACCGGTGGGATGGGCGAACTTTCCCACCGCCAGGTTTGGCGAGGAGAGGGACGATATCCTGTTGCCAGAGGCTCTGGCTCAGGTTTCTGCTCCCTTGTCTTCATATCGTACTCCTCTGTGCAGCCCCTAAGGAGAGACAGAGGCAAAACAAAGATGAGAACAACCAACACTAAACAGTTTAGCCTTCAATGACCATAAAACTCTCAGGACAGTAAAATCTGAGAATCTGATACTTCCTGTATGGGCGTCTAAAGTCCAGCGTAAGAGAACTGTTCAATAAATTCACAACAAAAGGTTGGAAAGCGTTGCTACTTCCTAACATGCTTTAATGTACAGTTGACATGTTACAGAGCTGGGTAAAGAGCTCCCCGAGACCCTTGGGTGGACACAGAAACTGATTATTGGCACGTCAAGACTCCAACTTCCCCACTGTGAGAGTAAGGTGTGTGTGTGTGTGTGTGTGTGTGTGTGTGTGTGTGTGTGTGTGTGTGTGTGTGTGAGTGAGTGAGTGAGTGAGTGAGTGAGTGAGTAAGTGAGGAAGAGCTTGCAATCCAATGATCACAAAGAGCTCTTTAGTTAAAATCACAACTTAAACGTTAACAATTATCATGAATTATCCTTTTATAAGTTAACAAATATTAATTTCTCATTCAAAACAGGCAAAAAGATTTGGGACATTGTATGGTAGAAACAGCCTTAAAATGAGATAGAATTACATTTATTTTTCACCAAATATGGATGCTAAAACTCTAGACTCAAGCATAGCACACTTTCAAATTTTCATAGTATCCTCTGACCAGCTGGACAGCCTTATCTCATCATTTCATCTGCAAGCCTATTACAGGGGGCAGGTTTGCATCAAATATGCAAATGCGTTGTCATTTAAGATGAGATAAAGGGAAATGAGTAGGGTGGTGGTGGAGAACATGTGTTAGAGCAGGATTAAAATGAAACCGAGGAGTAAAAAAAACCCAGAAATGCTACAAAAGTAAACGAAGGCAGAACAATAGATCAACAGCAATCAGATAGAATAATAAGCTTAATATAGAGTCCAGCCTTATTATATTTGACCAATATTTTACATTCATGTCATAAAATTCTGATCAAAATGGATTACTATGGCAGCTGTTTAAAACGATTAATTAAACTGAATATTTTAGTTAAGGCAAATTAATAAATCCCAAAGTGCTTTGGGAATTCTTCAGGAAAATAACATTTTACCACCAAGAACAAACATTTTTGTTTATAAAATTACCAACAAACCAACCAACACAGAGACACAGCTGAGAGATGTAAACAGGACAGATGCGCACACAGAAAAACACACATTTCTTACATGCATCTTACAAATGTAAAGAACGTTTTACTCAATGAAAGGGTGGTTCTAGTACAGAAGACATCATTACAGCTTAGCAGCACAATAACACACGCACACACACACACACACACACACACACACACACACACACACACACACACACACACACACAGGAAACAAACCTCAGAGAGAGCAGAGTCTATGTCTGACAGCAGGCAGTAATTCTCCCATCACATTAGCGGAGGGGACAACTGGAGCTCAATAACACACACACACACACAATCAGATCCACAGCGTCTTCAGCCTGCATCCATCCATCTTGTGTTTCGCAGCCTTAGACAAAGCAGCAGAGACAAACCCTTCCAACTTTCATTTCTTTTCTCTCCTCCACCCACTCCTCTTACTCTCTCCACGGTGTTGAGACACGTCCTTCTCATCCAGTGCTCCTCCCTGCCTTCCTCTCCCTCTATCACACAGCCTGTTCCTCCTTCTTTCCCCTCTTTTTCATTTGCACAAGACATGCATTTTTAATTAATCACTTCCCTTATTTAATTTATCTTTTTTTCTGTGGTCTTTTTGTTCCCCTTGCAGATTTTCAGGCTTTAATCTCTTGCAATCTGCTCGCCTGGCGCACGACGACTAACGAGTCAGAGAGGAGGGGAGAAATGCAAGACTCTTAATTATCAGCTGCTTCAAGGCCACAGTATAGTGTATGTGTGTGTGTGTGTGTGTGTGTGTGTGTGTGTGGAAAAGGTTTTACTTGGAGTAATTAAACTGCCTTCAACATTAAAGGAATCTAACCACCGTGTGATCACACAACCCACCACAATTACTGTCTTTAAGAGCTCTGATACTCAGAAAAACACAGCTGGCCCATCTTTTACTACATGGACAACATAAAGCCTGATGAGAGGATAAAAGAGTGATGGCTGGAAGAAAAGAAGCAGGACTACGACACAGATGACAGATAGGTAAACAAAAGAGGCAAAAAACAGATTCTGCTAATTCAAGTAAAAAAAAAAAGCTTATTTTTTGTCTTGATGCCTCATTTTGCCTGTTTAACTCCAACTACAAATCGCTGTTAGCTTGCTTCCTCTTTTCACACACTCCCACACAAAATCCTCTCAGAACACTGGAGTCTGGCCACTACCTCGCCAAAGCTTTTGTGTGTTTTAGGTGAAGAGCCATCTCTACTCATTCCAGCTCGCTCTCGTCTTCCCACTACAGCCCACTTACACACATCGCGCTCCTCTGCCTTAACATCTGCATTCACAACAGCAGCTCACAAACCAATCCCTCATTAGATGAGCTTAGAAAGAAATAAAATGCTCTGTGAACACACCTGCGAGGTTTGCCCTCTTCAAATGGAGGAATGATGACCACTTTAACCGTGACCGACGTTCTCAGTAGGTCGATCATCTGCTCGTGAGTCAGCGTCACAGCGGCCACCTTGCAGATCTCAACCAATCGACTGCCCTGCCTCAGTCCCGCCTGCCAGGCGAAGCCGTACTCTTCCACCTGCAAAACCAACAATAACTCAGTTCTACACAGGTGAGAATGTTCACAGACGAGTAACTGAGTGAGAGATTGGCTCGTCTCATAATACCTCAGACACAGTGCCATCAAGATAAACGTGGAAGCCCAGCTGTCCCAGGCCGTTTCGTCTCAGTGTCATGTCCACCGTGTCACATCCCACCGTCAGTGACTGAACAGGGACAACATGAGGGTTAGAATTAAGAACAAGCTGTATTGTGTCTGCTCTCGTTTTCAGAAAACACCAAACTGAACTGAATCAAGCTTACGACTCTTTCATCGGAACACAAATCAAACAAAAAACAAGCAGGTGACAGCACCATTTTAACCAGCGGCTCGTACGCAGAGTAACTCAATTTTAAATGGATTTTTAAGGAACGCAAAGATTTTTAGAAGTTAAGAATTTTCAGAAAATTCTAAACTATAAAAATGTACTCATCAGTTGATTCGTTCTGCCTCACAACTTTATTGTCCCTTTGTAAAACTAACCAAATTTAAATCTGCTAAACTCTTCACATTGCCATCACAAGTCTCATATTCTCTCCATGTTTTAAATTCCCAGATTCCCAAAAGACTAAAAAAAACAAAAAAACAAATGAAGGTATTGTGAATGCTCGAAATCCCCTGAGCTTAGGCCAGGTCTGAACAGTATAACCAGTTATACAAAGAAACTATAATCATCCCATTTCTGGAAATCCCTCCAAGTGAAGTTACCTTTGTAAAAGCCTGATAATGAAACATGCCAATCTAAACAAAGATCTACCACTTTTTTAGATTTACGTTAGGTTTTTATGTAGAATATGTTTTTATTTGTCTCATCCTCTTAAGAGCATCCAAACATGCAGGAGAAAAAGGTTTCATCACATTTTGCTGATCGAAAGTAACAAAGTAAACACAAATAAATGCTCTTCTAAATGCTGGTACGAAAATAAACATAAACCCAAACATCAAAAACACCTTGAGGATAAAAACTATTTGAGTTCAAAACATCAAATGTGAAAGCATGGATTGGTTCCAGACAGATCCACGCCAACATCCTCTACACTGGAATGAACTCTCACCTTTAACCTCTGAACCATCTCCCTGATGTCCTGTGCACACCCTTCTGGTACTCTCACTGCGATGTGGTCTCCCCTCCCGTAGAAGATCTTTAACGCCAGTCGCTCCGGCGTCCAGCCGATCACGTCCGCACAGAAACAGTTAAACACCACCTCTTTAGTGGAGCAGTCTACCAGAAGCACGTATTCAGCTGAAATACCCAAAGCACAGGGGAGCTCCATCCCTCCTCCACTGAAGTCTTGGGCCAGGACTCTCCAGGCCACCGCCCCGACAGCCCCCAGCTCAGCACCCTCTCGTGGTTTCGAGCGCTCGCGGTTTTTAGAAGCGAGTGACATGAAGATGATCAGTTTTCCTGCTGAGTCAAGCGGCGTGTTGCTGACATAGTTCTCCGCCAGGTCTTGCAGATACTCCTGTCGTGTTCGTGTTGCCATTGTGTGGAACTTCTCAGACTTGTGAGCAGCGTTTTCCGCATTGATAATTTTGGCTAACAGGAAGTTACGAAAAGTCTCTGGATCACGAAAAGTGACTCCAGTAGGGATGGGGGGTCCAAAAGAGGGCACATCCTTCATCCGAGTCACAGCAACGCTGAAGGAAAAGGCAGGTTGGAAGTATGTGAAATAAACATGAAGGATTGCTGCATTATGTTAAACAGTAGATATTTACCTGTAACAGGTGTCATCAGAGTCATGGTTGTGCACACGGACTATAACAAACACATGCTGGAACTGTGAGCGAATGTTTTGAGGGGTGAACGGCTCCGCTCCAGGCTCCTGAAAGATTATGGTAACGATGTCGTTCCCTATGTGCCTCTTTCTCAGAAGCTGAGGATTGGACGATAAAACAACAATTTAAAAATAATCAGTTCAATAACTTATAGAATATATGATGTTCACTAACAGAGTCGAAACAACAGCTCTTTATGTAATTTGTTGTTGTTTTTGTGTGGACAAGTAGTCTCTCTGTGTAAACATGGCTGTGCTTGTGCTGCGATGCATGCCAGTCCTCTTCATCTGCACTCACAAGTGTGAAAGAACCAATTATGTAACACAACCCACTGTTTTCACTGCAAGAGCATCATTCACTCGTACTCGTAGGCTGTAGTTTGGAAATTTGCATTGAGCTTTATTTAATAAACAGCAACACAGAACAAGTTTAATATGTGCTTTTATCAGCCTCTGGACCCTTTTTAGCTTAAACTTCATTCTAAATCTATAGATGTATTTAATAATTGTTTACTGTAAGGTTCTTGTGCAGCACTAGACTGTTTTGTTTTTCCTCTCTTCTGAATGCAAAAGCCTCCAGCAGCTTTTAGCTTGTTGGGTTATATTCTCTCATGTTGGTTATTTTTCATGTCAAATTCTGCCATCTAGAGGTTTAACTGAGAAAATTAATATTTCTGTTATGGCGTCTCAAACCTCTGGATGGAGTCATTGTGCCATTTATGAAACTGATCAAACAACAATTTTAACTGTTAAAATATATTTACAGTTTATTACCTCATTAATTGATCTTTAACAAGCCTGCAAAATTATCTAAAAATGAATGTTCTGAAGTAATGGTGTTACAAAACTACAGAACTACCCAAACTGTTTTACTTACAGTTCTTCTACACGTGGCTCATGCTGTCAACACGAGAGGTATGGCAGCTATGCTTGAATTAAAAAGGCTACAATAAAGGGAGAAAATATTCTAATAACTACTTACTGCTGAACCCCACCCAACTCAGATCCTGTTAAAGATGGAAAAGAAAACGAGAAAAGCTGCAGCAGACAGGAAAGCCACTAAACACAAAGAACAGGGACTATAAAAGCACAAGAGGCTAAATGAAAGAAACTAAAGGAAGACGGCAACACGAGAAGTTTTCACGTCTTGGATTACTCACATTTGTAACTCAGAGGAAAAGGCCAAAGCTGCAGCTTAAAAACCACCAACATGCCTCAAAAAGCTTTGGTGACTACAAAGCGACGTGGTGTTTTTTATTTTTTACCTCCTGACACACTCAGCAGTGTTTGCCTAGCTAAAAAACACACAGCCTCAGGTAGCAGAGCTCTTTTTAACAGGGTTTTTTAAAAGCTTTTACCTGCTGTAAATTGTTGGGCATGTATGGCAACATGGTGGACACGTGGAACATGATCTCGTAGCCCTGGAACTTAGTGTGGAGCGAGTGTGTGCCTGTTGAATCCGCTGCAGGAAAAACCAAAAACGGAAGTTTCTATTTAATGTCAAAAGCTAATTACAGATGACTGTTGTTGAACTGGTGTTTCTGGTTCAAACTGATGCGTTTCCAGGGCTGAACAGCAGGCTCAGAACGGAGCGGGGTTGATGCTTTTCAGAATCAGAAGGGTTTTACCGCTATACGTGAGAGGCATCACAATATTAGGATAATGCGGTACTTGGTGCCAAAAAAGAAAGATAAAAATAAGAGATAAGCAACCAGAACCAGAGCTTAAAGTTTGAAGTCATTCAGAAATGCAGCAGGTATCTTTAAGGTCATTTCTAGCATCATCTTTAATAAGGTGTGAAAAGAAGACTTAAATCTTACTGCGGTAAAGAGTATGTTTTGTGTTTTATCCCTGTGTGTTGTCTTTTCTTACAGAACATTTGTCACGGTACGCTGAACGAGACTCACTTTTTGTGTCGAGCTGTGCAGCATATCCACCAAATCCTTTGAGAAGCACCTGATCCCCCAGCAGCTTCAGGAAGGCAGAGAAGGCAGGTGTTGCCTCCTTGTTGTTGTACATACTCTCCTCTGAGCTCTGACCCTCACGGCACAGAAGAACACCCACTTTGTGCTTCTTACTCAACTGCATACAGAGCACACAGATGAGGCCCTACAGGCTGCTTCTACACAAAGTTAATGTCAGCAGATGAGCATTAAACTTGCTTACTCATCGACTCAGAGCACAGGTTCACTGTTGTATAAGCCGCCTACACAAACAGGCCCACTGCTGGATAAATACCTTCATCCTGCACTTCCCTCACCACCAACAAATGGTGAGATAAAGTAGATAAACAGTAAAGCCTTAATGCTGACACACCCTGCTTCATATTATTGCACTTTGAACCAACACTAGATTAGCTACGCAGGTTTCAGACACTTTTACACACGCTGATTTTATGAGCCAGTCTTTCACCTGATCAGCTACTGTTTTTGGATCTGATTCCAGCTAACTGACAGCTAGAGGCACACTGGATTGTGCGTTTGGAGTGAATCAGCGATCCTATATTCAGTTTAATTGGGTGAACCCCAAATTTTATAGCAAATACAGCCGAGTTAAACTCACCGTTTGTTCATCCAGTTTAAGGAGCTGCTCGGGGACTTTGGGAGTGTTGAGCGCTTGTCTCAAACAGGAGACATTCAGCTCGGGGACGACCTGCTCCAGGACCTCCTTGAGAGGCAGACCTCGAACTGTGCCATGTTTCCCAGTGGATGCCACTGCATCTTCTAAAATGGAGCCTCGAAGCGTCACAAGCTAAGTGTTGGGAAAGAGCACAAAGGAAATTCTCAGGCCATCACATAATCTGATATTGTTTTGTTTATGTTGTTTTTGGGCAACTAAAAATAGACTATTTAACAGCAACTTCACTTGAACAAAAATCCTATTGAAACAGTAAAAAGTTAGTGGTCAGAGTTCCCTCAGATAGAGACACACCTGTGGAAATAATTATGGGGATGATTATTAGAATAAAAGTCTAAACTGGGACCATCAAAACAAGGATCGTGTCATTACTCAGAACAGAGCCCTGCTGCTCTGATGAGTTTACTTTCAAACAATGACACAGTCAAAGTGCTCCGGGTGAATTCAATAGTATTGTGAATTAATATTCCACTCAGTGTTGTGCAGCCACAGTGCACCGACTCCTGTTGAGAGCAAATTGACCCACTTGAAGACAGTGAGGCTATAATAACATTGGGTAGGTAGAGTTGGGAGGAGCAGGCTGCTCTCGTCTCACCATGCTCACTCATTAAAAATGCAAGAAAGGCTCCAGAGCTGGTGGGGGCCGGATAGACAGCTGAACCTCAGAGAAATGAAAACCTGATTGACAAGCAGCTGAAGTTATGAAGCTTTTGTTTCAACTCGTCAGCTGCTGTGCGACAGTGGAGAGTGATGTGCTCAGCTGGAAGATCAGAGGGGGAGTGTGAGCGTTGAAAAGTGTGATGGAGAGAGGAGGAGGAGGGGGAGAGAAAGGGGAAGTCTCTCTACCTTGCTGTGTCAGCACTGCTGCAGAGTTAAATGACAGACTTACAGGGGAGGGATATTTGAGAGGCGCTGTGGCTTGAGTGGGAGAGAATAAATTCTGCAATCAATCTTTTTTCTCACTCTGTATGGGAACAGCAGGCCCGAGTGTGCTGGCTGTGTCTATTAGCTTAGCTCTGTGCACTTGAACAGACAGCCTCTATTGTTGTATCAGAGTTAAAGTGATGAGGCCAGGCAGCCATGTAATCCAGCTAAAAACAACACTACACCAAACACACACACAGGCTACGCTTAGGCCAAGACTGCATGAATGAATGCACAGGGGCATGCTTTGTTCCTGATCTGAGAGCTCTAGCTGTTTATAAAAAAGTTGGTGAGATTAGAGCAAATATTCCTACAATCTTCTGACCGCTCTGAATAACACAACCTTGTTAGGAAAAGCATAACACTAATATATAATTACTAATACTAATACATAATACTAATCACAGTGTATAAATATATTAATTAAACAATGAACCGATAACCATTTAACCCCCAACTTAAGGAAACTGATCGTAATTAAGCAGAACTAAATTGTAAGTAAGTGCATGAAAAATATAAGAATTAAAGCCGTTACAGCAAATAAGCTAGGTCTTGAATGCAAAAACGGTCACGGAACGCTCATCCCTCCTCTTGGGTATCTTCCCTGGATCTGCATCCACAGGATCCGGAAACCCACATTACCAGAGTAAACGAGACAGCACTAAACACCAGTGGCCGTTTTCTAGGTCCAAATGTCTTTTGTTGTCCGTGACTTCAACTGGTGTTGTATCTTTTTAAGACTGAGGTAGTTTAAATTTGAAGTGGTAGCAGCCGGCTCTTTCTCCTTCTCTGATATTACGGAGCGACAAACCTCTCACACCAGTGGTGTTCTGTTGCTAAATGCACAAACGCTTAATAAATGGAGGACGCAGGGACGTGTGGTGGTTCGGCAAGACCAAGAGCCGGATGGTAAAAACGTTACTTTTAGTCCGAAATGTGTTATTGGCGGAGGTTTTTAGACAGATGTGAGAGAACCACTTTATTCATTTCATTTTGTTAATCTCCACAATTTATTTATAGCTACACTACGTTAGAGTGTTGATAAGCATAAAAATATGCTTTAAGTTAATTTGTTTTCCAAATTTGCGCTAACAGCTTTAAGAAATGCTCTTGGGCGTTTGCTCTTAACGGTTTTTTAAATTATTTACAAAACATGTTTAAGAAAAATAACTGAATAATTTTCAATATGTACCGAATCATACAATCGTTACACTTGAGACACACATTTGATGTTTTACAATATTTCTGTGTGTAAATGTAAATTTCTAGGTGATTACTAGCAAGTATTTGATCTATAAAAGCAGAAAAGTGGCTGAACCCTTCAACCAGAAGTTTGTTTGGTTTGGCTTTAATGTGCCGAGACTGGCCATCTGGAATTTTCCCACCGGCAGGACAGAGAGGGATGGGATGAGGATGAGGAGGGGGAGACAAAGCTAATAACCACACACACACTGCCAAATTAACCCAAGTGTGCATCCAGTGGCTGACTCATCAGCACCTTGTTACTCAGAAAACACCAAACACACACAGAAGAAAGTTCATACCTCGCCAGTTCTGACTATGATGCGATACTGATACTGGTCTTTCAGGTCTTTGGTATCTTCCAGTCTCTCCCTGCGGATGCTCACAGCAACAGGGCCCAGCTTATCGTCAGTCCCAAAGTAGTTTAAGTGCTCTGGTGAAGGACAGAGTTAACCAAGGTTACAGTTTGTGCTGTGGATAAAAATTCATCCATTTATGTCTGAACATGAGCTCATGTTTTGTCTATAGCAAAGAACACCAACAAAGAAGAGACCAGTTAACATTGTTCTCACTAAAAAACAAGTTCGGACACCATTCCTTATCAGACAAAAAGACAAAACTTCTCACATCTTGAATTCTTTGTTTAATATTAAATCAAGAGAATCTAACACTACCAACTTCCTTTTAATTTTGTTTAAAACACTCAAACGAAAGTAATGATTGTTTTAATTATCATTTAATAAAAGTAAACAGACTTTTTTTAAGTTTTAGGGTGATACTCAACAACCTTGAGCTCTGGGAAAGTTTTTTTTTAAAGTTTGTTATAACTTTCTAACTCTGCCACCTTATTTGTTATTGGTTGTGTTGTAGGAGGACCTGCTCGAAAACGAGATGTTACATCTCAAGCAGTTTATCCTCCTGAAAAACATAAGTTAAATAAATACATAAAACAAGTTTTAAAAAACTACAGAATAAAAATAAGAAAAGTCAAACGTTGGTCATTTTGTAGAAAAAACTGAGAACATAGAAATAAGTCTATAGAGTTGCACCAAATGAGTCTGAGTGGTCCTTTAAAATGGGCAAGTAAAAAAGAGGAGTGTTAAGTCAAGGACAGGGCTAAGACAATGGCTAATTACCATGTAATCCATATATTCAGGTAATGAGAAAATGCAGAGGGAGAAGGGAGGACCAAAGGACAGAGTTGACAGATGACTAACTTTTTCTAATTTTGAATTTTAGGAACTTCACTGCAAAGAGGAATTTAATAATAAAAAAGATGACAAAATGTATGCTCACACACATCTTCAACTTCCACAACAGCTATGCTAGTACCTTGAGCAGAGTGGGAGTCAAACATAAATTATCCAGGCTCTTCTGGAGGAATCTCACTTCCTAAAATGTTTCTTTTTGTTTTCCTTTTTAACTGGAGTGAACTGGGAATTCGTACACACCGAGGAAGTCATATCTCATTACCATCTGTGTCATGTCCTGTGGCAGAAGTGTCTGCTTTTTGAGATTTCAGACATGAACACAGACAAACACACACAAGCAGCATAGCGTCCAGGAGGACAACTGAGCTGGAATGGAGTCAACAGATGTGCATGTTCTTGGAATGATAACCTTTATTTATGTAGCTGTAGGCCAGTGTTGCGCTCGCTGACACACACACACACACACACACACACACACACACACACACACACACACGCACACACACGCACGCACACGCACACGCGCGCGCGCGCGCGCGCTTGCCTGCACACATGCTCCTAATAACATCTGTCGCTAATTAATCTGAAGCCAGATGATGCTTGCCAAGGGGAAGTGCCATCAAAAGTGTCTGAAGAGGTGATTCAGACAAAAAATGCCCACATGTAAGCACACACGCACACGCACGCACAAACACGCACACGCACGCACGCACGCACGCACGCGCGCGCACACACACACACACACACACTCCTGCTCTTTGAAGCTACGTGTTACTTCTGACACCAAAAGCAGATGTAATACAAAGAGGCACCGGCTGATGTCTCAGGTACTGTTTGTGAACCTGCAGGAAGACAGGTGGTGTATCATCAGCTCAGAGTTTGCCAACTTGAACACGGCATGTACACGAGTAATCAATACATCTGGAGGGTTGCCAGTTTGTCTCACTCTGCTCAGCTTAGGACCAGCTGGATGTTAAAAGTCAAAGGATGATGCTGGATCTGCCTGCACAAACAACATCCACAGAATCCTTTTATATGGCATTATAGCTACCTTCATTTGAGACTAAAATCAGATTTCATAAAAGAAAATGAAGCCAAATGGTTCTAAATAGTAGATAAATAAAGAATACAGCTTTATCTGGAAGTTAAAAACAAAGATTTGTATTACTTATTTAGTTACTTCCGACTGAATAATCCCTCAGAAAACTATCGCTTATGGAAGTGGTTGCAGCAGAGAATTGCTTTTGTTGTTCCCAGGCGTCCTGTTGACTTTACTGCTTAATCGTTTTAGCAACAATAAATGACAAGTAGGTTAAATTAGCCAAGTTATGTTGAGTATTTTTTTCCAACTCATACTTTAATTGTTACATTTTGTTTAAAATTATTTTTATTGTCTCAGATATAAAAGGTGTTTTGCAAAATAACCTAAAAAAGAGACCGTTTTTTTTTTCTAAATTCTTCCTGAATCCAGTTTGTGAGTTTACATCAAAACTGTGCATCAGTGGTGACAGTAAAATTTAAACTTTGACAAAAATTTATATTAAAATTACACTGCAGCTGGTGTCTATCTCTCTGCAGGAAGTGCAATGTTGTGTAGCTTGGTGTTACCTTTCCCACTGAAGTATTCGCTGTAGTACTTGGCCCCCTCGTCAACATGCTCTATGCTGTATGGTTTCAGGTTTTCCAGTCGTGTTACTTGCTTTTCGACTGGTATCTCAAGTACCGACACGCTGGCGTTACTCTTCCTCAGCCACCCCCTTCCTCCCTCTCCGTGTCCTCCTCGTTCTGCTGATGAGCTGAGGAAGCTGATGTTTCGCTCCCCGTGCCCCCCTACCTCATTGACAAAGTGAGGACAGGAGAGGAGGAGTGGGCTTGAGCTGTTGGTCCCAGGCCCATCCACAGGGTCCATGGTTAGAGAGGCTGTTGTGGAGCTGTGATCCATGTTCAGCGTCAGATTCTCAATACTGGAGTAAATATGGTCGTTTAGGCTCAAAGCTGAAGATTTGGAGGCCGAGAGAGAAACTGAGGCAGCTGATGCCCCCGTGGCAGTGTTCCTCCTATGGGTTGCAAAGCTGCGCTGAGCCGCTGCCTCATGGAGGTCGAACAGGATGCTCTGAGCATCATAGTGGATAAAGCTCTTGGGACAAACCCATGGTTTATAGGAGGCATCTGTGAGAACTCTTCCTACCCTATCCTCATTAGTCTCTCCTTTTCCTCCATCCAGTTCTCCTCTACTAGAACTCCGAAATTTCCGAAACAAAGAGGAGGTACCCAACGATGACTCCGTCCCTCCACTTTTCTTTCTGACTCTCTCAGCGCCATCCTTCCTTCCCGTTTCTCTGTCTTCTCCAGCCGGTGCGGAGCTGCGCTGATCAGATCTCTCCTGGTCGAACTGGCGGAACATGTCAAAAAAACTCTGCTCATGAATACCCTTGACGTCAATCGAAGAGGTGCTGCCATACTCTCTGAACCGGTTCCCCATCCCACCACCTCCACGAGTCTCCACCTTGGAGCAGAGAGAAGAGATCATTTCAGTCATTCAGTCAAACACACACACAAAACACTTTTACTATGCAAGATTATAAAGATCTGTGCTTTCACAAAACCTTCTAGAAGTTTATGCTTCCACTAATAATAACGTTGTTTTACTTTTAAGCTTAATAGCACATGGTCTATTAGATATGGAAAAAAATGTCTAGTACATATAGTAACATCAACTTAATGCAACCCAAAAATCCAACTAAGTTTATAAATGCTTAATATTATTACTAAACAAACTACTGTTTAAAATCACCTACTTATTATTAAAGCACATTTATAATCCCATTGGTTAAAAAATGGAAGCAAAGATATATGAAGTAAATTTAGCACTCACTTCATTTTCATCTTGTTCACTTAGCGTCACTTCACTGTTGGAGCGCTGTCTCAAAGGTGGGAACACTCTAAGGCTGAAAGGTGAGCCTCTTTCACCATCCAACCCTCCTCCTCTGAACTCCACATCCTTGGACCACCTTCGGGGCAACCTGGCGACCCCTCCCCGCACCAGTCTGGTGTCAAGTGACAAAATCGATGATGAAGTGGAGCAGTCATCATAATGATTGCCACCATTTTGCCCATTTTCCAGCAGAGACTCCCGAGACTGTGCGCGACGTGGAGGCCATTGTGCAATCTGTGCTCGAACACCCATTTTGGGCACAGAGACTCTAGGCTGGGCTGCTGGGTCTGCTGGGCTAGGAACTGGGTGGCCATTAGGGGTTTGACGAAATGGAGTGTAATGAGGTAACCCTCCGCCTCTGTCCAGAAGGTCTGAGGAGGTGCAAGTTACCCCTCGGTCTCTGTAGATGTTCATGACACCCCTGGAGAGCTCAGGACAGAGCGGAAGGCTGCAGACATCCCATCATAGCAAGCGGAGGGGCCCCACAGACACTCTGCTTTTGGTGTTGTGGCATCCAGCACCCCAAAACATTGCTTTTTACCGGAATGTAGGGAAGACTTTAGTAATGCATTGTGGGATTAATCTGAATCAGGGCTCTTCTTCCTCAGATTGGTTTATTTCCAGTAGTCTGAGAGAAAAAACAAACATAAAAATGGTATCAGAAAACAAACTTAAAAACAAATCAAAGACTAAAAGAAAACATTTAAAATACGGGATGATTTCGTTCTAGCCTAACAGCTTGCACAACCAAATTTTTTCCACAGAGCCAAAGAAAACTCTGGATTGAGGAAAATGAGTCACTCATCTGTAAAACACTGGAAGACTGATAAACCAGAGAGAGAAAATTAGGTGAAGGGATATGACAGAGAATTTCTCCCAGTGGGGCTAATCTTCAGGAGGCTGACAAGGGATATTATTATCACACACCACACACGTGTGTGTGTGTGTGTGTGTGTGTGTGTGTGTGTGTGTGTGTGTGTGTGTGTGTGTGTGTGTGTGTGTGTGTGTGTGTGTGTGTGCGTGCATGAACATACAAGAACTCATAACACCCACAGGACATGAAGGCTGTGGTCGCTCTGCTGCAGATTTAAACCTCTGAAACACTTCAGCTTATATCAAATCTGAAAGTAACTTAAACCTAAACAAAGAGTGTGCAGTCATTTTAGACATGACGACTCTGAAGCTTTAATGTCATGCATGTGATATAAAAGCAAGGGTTTGACTGATGCACGGATGTAGCTGAGAATGAGTCACAAAGAAGCTACTCTGTTTCTAAAAAGTGATACATGACATCGACCAATAACAACTTTGTGCGATTAAAAGTCGTACAAAAACAGGGAATGAATAATAACACAGGACAGAAAAGAACAAGAGCACTACGTAATCCAGCATCAGCCTGAGGGGTGACGTTGGGTGAAGCCAGAAATAGGAAACAGCCAAGAAGATTGCAGAAAAAGCTTTGCTCAGTGAACCACATCGATGTCACAGTCACACAGCATCAAATCTGAAGATCCAATAGCCTTGTGAGAACTTCAGATGATTCACAAGCCGTTTCTACCGATGCTTCATGTAATGAGTTTTATTATTAGTATAGTCTTAAATCAGATAGTCAGAACGTCTCATTATTTCAGATTTACTTAATTTAATGGTTCATTAGTAAGTAAGTAAGTAAGTAAAAGTTTATTTATATAGCGCCTTTCACAGATATAAATCACAAAGCGCTGTACAACATAATAAAGATCAGGGCAAATACCTCTAACCAATAAAAACATCAGAAAAACAATAGCAGTGTTAAACGTAGAAAATAAAATCATGAGTATAAACAAAGTGAAGGTGTGAACCTGAACAAAGCCATCTTTTTGAAACATTTAGGGAGGGAACGCCTGGATGAAAAGGTGAGTTTTTAGATGATTTTTAAAGACCTCTACAGTGTTAGAGAGACTGAGATTTTAAGGTAGACTGTTCCAAAGTCTGGGTGCAATAGTCTGAAAGGCCCTGTCCCCTTTGGTTTTCAGTCTGGTTCGAGGAACAGCCAGGAGGTTTTCAGATGTGGATCTAAGGTTCCGAGAGGTGATGTGTGGGGATAAAAGCTCAGATAGGTAGCTTGGAGCCTGGTTGTTAAGAGCTCTATAGGTCAGGACTAAAACTTTAAACTGAATTCTATATTCTACTGGAAGCCAGTGGAGGGACTGTAAAACTGGACTGATGTGAGCTCGTCTGAGGGATTTGGTTAGGAGTCTGGCTGCTGCATTTTGGATGGCTTGAAGGCGTGAGAGGGAGGTTTTGCTGAGACCAGTAAAAAGAGCATTACATTAATGGAGAAAATAAACGGATATTGTTTTAGGAAACTAGAAAAAAAGAGAAAAGATGCAAGCTACATCCTTTAGCTTTCAGTCCTGTGGCTGTTGACCAGTGAGGACATCTAGTAGTTCCGACTCTGCTGGATGACGCAGTGATGACATGAAGGCTCGTACACAAATATGAAGAACAACCTATGGTTAGGATCAAGTTCACCAAAAATATAAAATGCTTTTAATCTTTTCAGACGCTGTCCCTGTCTTACAGATAAAATATGAAAAATGTGGTTAAAACAGTCAAAGGAAGTCATCTATGTCTTAAGCCTTCCATTTTTGTATGAAACACTTACCTCTGGCACTTTTGCCAGCAGTAAGCTCATTTTCGGTGAGAGATGGACTCCGCCAAGGCCACCCTTTGTCACCGATTTTGTTCATAACTTTTATGGACAGGATTTCTAGGTGCATCAAATGTAATGAGGGGATCCATTTTGGTGGCCTAAGGATCAGGTCTCTGCTTTTTGCAGTTGATGTGGTCCTGTTGTCTAAACGTGTCAAAACGTGATCTTCGGCTCTCACTGGAGCGGTTCACAGCCAAGTGTGAAGCAGATGAGATGAGAATCAGCTCCTCTAAATCCAAGACCATGGTCTTGTGTTGGAAAAGGGTAGAACACCTTCTCCAGGTCAGGGACGAGGTTCTGTCTCAAGTGGAAGAGTTTAAGTACCTTGGGGTCTTGTTCATGAGTGAGGGAATGATGGAGCACGAGATCGACAGGTGGATTGGTACTGCGTCTGCAGTGATGCAGGTATTGTACCGATCTGTCGTGGTGAAGAAAGAGCTGAGCCAGAGGCAAAGCTCTCGATTTACTGGTCAATCTAAATTTCTACCCTGACCTATGGTCACGAGCTTTGGGTAGTGACTGAAAGAATGAGATCACGGATACAAGTGGCCAAAATGAGTTTTCTCCGTAGGGTGGCTGGGCTCTCCCTTAGAGATAGGGTGAGAAGCTCGGTCATCTGGGAGGGGCTCGGAGTAGACCTGCACATCGAGAGGAGCCAGCTGAGGTGGCTCTGGCATCTAGTTAGGATGCCTTCTGGACACCTCCATGGTGAGGTTTTCCGGGCACGTTCATCCAGGAGAAGAACTAAAGGAAAACCCAGGACACGCTGGAGGGATTATGTCTCTTGGCTGGCCAGGGAACGACTTAAGATTCCCCCAGAGGAGCTGGTCCAAGTGGCTGGGGAAAGGAAAGTCTGGGCCTCCCTACAAAGGGCACTGCCCCCAGCGACCGGACTCCGGATTAGCGGCTGAAAATTGATGGATGGCACTTATCTCCATAAGTCTCTCCTCAAACTGCTGAAGTCACCTAAAAATCTAGACTGAATAAGCACTGAGTGTGAACACTCATAACCCTCAAACATGTGCTCTGGTTAGCTTTCATGATGGTTTAGATCATTTATTCTCTCTTTAGTTTTACAAAATTCGTTTTGCAGTCTCTTAAGATTTGATTATTCACATAAAGTTTGAAAACTAACAGTTTTGTTCTGAGATTACCATTTTTATGTTGTACTAAACCGTTTTTTGTAAATTCTAAATATAAATTAAAATATGCACAACATCGAGTTTTCATTTTATTAAGGTCACTCAGAGTGGTTTGTGTGCACGTTTTATGATATACAATATTTTTATGAGTCCTTGCTGAATTTACTTTTGGCTTCTACACTGCATTCTTCATTCGCTCATGCACACACACGCACACGCACACGCACACGCACACGCACACACACACACACACACACACACCACTAACAAATCTCATTTAGGGCAAACAGAATCCCACTTTATCCAGTAAACCACACAAATGTGTCACGTCTTTGTTTTTGGAGGAGCACAAGCATTTCCGGGCCAAAGGCTCCTGCTCTGATCATGCTTTCTGACAGAGTCTGTCCTTATTCAAAAGGCTGTCCTGTGATCCCAAAGAGACCCAATCCCAGATTATCCGCCCCAGCTGCAGGAACTGGATAATGACTTCATTATGTTCCTGATGAGAGGCGATGGAGAGAGTGGCGTCTGTTTTATCAGTGAAAAACACACCTATGTTTAACAAACACTGAAATCGTGGGCTCATGGTGGTGATGATCAGTGAGATTTAAACAGGTTTCACTTTGAATTACTGTGATCAAATAGAATGAAATCCAGAGAATAGGGGGGAAGGGAGACTGTCCCTCCTTTACAGTAAGATTATAATTAATGTATCCAGGTCTGGCAGAGAGTTCACAAGATAAAGAGCAGATATATAATGTCTTAATTACTCACATATTAGTGATTATTTAGCACAAGGACGTACCTCCCCCGCTCTGGCTCTGCCCAACTTCCCTCCTCAGCACACTGGCTCTGACTTGCCCAGCATGATGCAGGCTTGGCTCATGCACCACAAACACACACCGAGGCTGGTAATTATTCTGGTTATATGGTAGTAATGACAGAGCGAGCGGAGAAAGGCAGCTTTCAAAGGAATGAGCATAATCACTGTGGAGGAGGTGCCACCGCCGCTGCTCACTGGTATGTCACAGCAATGCAGCAGACCTGAGGGTGACGGAGGCTTTAAATCAGAGATGAGAAAGGATCGACCTGCCATATGTTGCAACAGGGATATGTGTCAACAAGCAAATGTCTACCAATGTACCGAGAAGTGTGTGTGAAGACTTCTTATACTCTACAAAAAAGCATTTAAGTGATAAAAACAAACCCTTCAGATAAAATGAGTATTTCCAGAATGTGTTTAAGTAACTCTAAATGAAAACAGAGAGTGAAATGGATTAAAGAATGGTTCAAAGAGCAGCTGGCGGTACATATGACTGGCAGACGGTGGACAGGAACAGAGGAGAGTATGACACTGCATCACGGCACAATACCACATCGACAGGCTGTCTGAGGACAGCACAACCAGTGTTCCAGTCACCAGAACTCTTAGGGTAGAGAGAGTTGTTCAGGAGGGGGCTAGTAGCTCTTCTGGTACTCTGAGTTTGTCCTCTTCAACCTTATTTCAGTATTTAGAAACAGTTTTAAAAGGTGGAAACCCAGCAGCCTGTTTAATCAGATCACAAACAAGATGCAAGAGTGGGAATTAGACTGAAGGTTTAACTGAGGCCTTTAGATTAGAGCAGCTGAAAACCTACTGACCGCATTTAGTGTGTGACTGTTTACAGTTTCAGTATCTATACTGTAAAACCCTGGAGTGTAACAGCTGTGTTTTACACTAATTCACACGCGCACAATCTGAAAAACAGAGACATCTTTATCTCTGCTCAGTTTAGTTCAAGAACATCAGTC